TATCACCCCTATAGATCTGATTCTGCCTTTTAACTTCCTTAAAACCGATCGATCTAAATTTTGTTTTACATCTTAGTTCCATACTACTAAACCATATATATCATCATAGAGAGATATATACCTGAAATTTGTTAATGTCAGATATGATATTGTACAATTTGTCAAGTTTTGAACAGCTTTAAAACCTTAAACCTTCTCAAAACCCATCTAAATTATGTTTTATCTCTTAGTTCCACACCACTATATATTACCAACCATATATTTAAGGAATAAATAATGATAGGCCATTCAATATGGTGAAATTCAGCACGAGTTGGACAGAATGTTGTACAAAGCACGAACCGAAGGTGAGTGCATTTGTACTATCATTCTTATTCCGATTCAAACATAAAAATTAGTAAAAGCCGTGTCTGTGGAACGGGCATGAAGGAAGAATACGCATGCTGTCAAGATTCTGAAGTCGGCCGGAAAAATTTTAGAATTTGTTTGGGCTGTTCTATTTTACTCCCCGTTTTAGATTTTATACGGTGTATAAACTTGAAGTCAGCCATAGTTAAATAGTTACAGTAGTTACGGAGGGAGTAAAAAAGAACAGCTATCCCCGGACAGAGCCCCAGATGTGCAGCTGAGATGTCACTCAAAACAATGCAAATTGCAGATTGAATAGAGCATGGTCGTGCATCTATGGAGAATTAGAGAACGTTCTATATTGGCTATGCTGCATTCTGATTGGTTGAGAAATTCGAATAGAGCACGGTCATGTTTGAATATATAATCATTGAGAGAAAGATGTAAAAAACAAATAAGGGCCATCCACAGTTATACCTAAAATTAATAAATTCCAGACCTGTTATTGTACAATTCTTAATATTTTTAACTTGTTTAAAACCTTAAACTTGTTTAAAACCTGTCTAACTTATGTTTAATATCTTAGTTCAACACTACTAAACCATATATGTCATCAAAAAGGGATAGGTGTAAAAAAAACATAAGGCTCGTCCAAAGTAATACCAAAAAATCATTAATATCAGCTCTGATATTGTATAATTCGTAAAAATTTGAACTTGTTGAAATCCTTAAACTTCTTTAAAACCCATCTTAATAATGATTTACATATTAGCTCCACACTACTAAACAATATATACATATACATTGTATCATCAAAAAGGGATAGATGTTAAAAATATAAGGGCCAAGCAAGATTATACCTTAAATTCATTAATTTCTGATATTGTACAATACGCCAAGATTTTGAACTTGTTTAAAACGTTAACCTTCTTTAAAACCTATCTAAATTATGTTTTACATATTTCCACACTACTAAACCAAATATATCATGAAAAGGAGATAGGTTTAAAAATCATATGGGCCAACCAAGGTTATACTTGAAATTTGTTAATTGCAGATTTGATATTGTACATTTCTTCAAATTGTTTAAATCCTCAAACCTTCTTAAAATGCATCTAAATTATTTTTTACATCATAGTTCCACACTACAAAACCATACATATCACCAAAGAGGGACAGATGTAGAAAATATAAGGCTCATCCAAGGTCTTACCTAAAATTTGCAAATTCAGACCTGATATTGTACAATTCTTCAAAACTTGTTGGAATCCTAAAACCTTCTTAAAATTCATCTAAATTATATTTTACATCTTAGTTCCATACCATAAAACCAGGAATATCATCAAAGGGTGATATAGATGTAAAATATAGATGTAAAAAACAAAAGGGTCGTCCACGGTCATACGTGAAATTCAAAAATACAGATCTGATATTATACAATTCTTCAAATTTTGGACTCATTAAAATCCTTAAACACTCTTCAAAACCATCTTAATCATTTTTGAATCTTTGATCCACACTACAACACAATACATATCATCAAAGAGTGACAGATGTAAAAATATAAGGCCCATCCAAGGTCTTACCTGAAATTCGTAAATTCAGACCTGATATTGTACAATTCTTCAAATTTTGAACTCATTAAGATACTTAAACCTTCTTAAAATTCATCTACATATTATACATCTTAGTTCCACACTATAAAACCATGAATATCATCAAAGAGGGAAGGATGTAAAAAACGTAAGGCTCGTCCAAGGTCATACTGGAAATTCATAAATTCAGACCTGATATTGTACAATTCTTCAAATTTTGGACTCATTTAAAATCCTTAAACCTTCAAATCCATCTAAATTATTTTTACTCATTAGTTTCACACTACAAAACCATCCATATCATCAAAGAGGGACAGATGTAAAAAATATAAGGCTCATTCAAGGTCTTACCTGAAATTCATAAATTCAGACCTTATATTGTATAATTTTTCAAATTTTGGATTTGTTAAAATCCTTAAACCACCTTAAAAACCATCTAAATTATTTTGTAAATCTTAGTTCCATACTACAAAACCATAAATATCATCAAAAGGGGACAGATGTAAAAAATCTAAGGCTCATCCAAGGTCTTACCTTAAATTCGTAAATTCAGACCAGATATTGTACAATTCTTCGAATTTTGAACTTGTTTAAAACTTTTAACTTCCTTAAAACCCATTTTAATTATTTTTTACATCTTAGTTCCATACTTCAAAACCATATTTATTATCAAAGAGGGATAGATCTAGAAACCATAGGCCTCAGCTATAGTCATACACAAAATCATGCCTCTCAAAAATGTCAAATTTTTCAAAAAATCAACAATTTTTTTCTCGGCTCATACTGATTCAATCAATTTGAACCTTTCAGGGCTTATAGGTCTGCTGCTGGGCACTTCAGGTGAATTTTTCCAATGTCTTCCAGTGTCTGATTGAAAAGTGAGGCTCTAAATAGTAAGAAAATGGGTCACGAATTTGCCCCCTGGGTTACACACTTTGTACTATTATTCAAATTCTGTAGGAGTGATTGGCATTATTTATTTTTCAAATGATTCATATATATAATGTCTATGTATGTAACTTACAAACATCAAGATATCTAAAGTTATTGAGAATGAAAAAATTATTTTGCCGGGGTGGGGTGTTTTTGGGGGGTGAGGGGCTAATCCCTGAAAAAAAAGAATTATGTACCACTCTGTGAAGCTATCACCTAGGTAGAATTTTCATCCAAGACTTCCCCCTAACTGAAAATGCTGCCAAACCAACTATACTCCATTTATTAAGAATTTTCCTTCTCGCTCTTAGAGTATATTGTCTGTGATGCACTATTTGAACAGTAATTTGTTAAAATAGTTTTTCATGTACCTTAGACTACCTGACATTATAAACTTTTTAGGAACCTGGTATCTGAGCTAAAATTAGCCAAGAGTTTGAAATTATAACCTTAGTACCTAAAAAGTGACAGAATAGATTTCCTTATGTTAAAGTATAGTTTGGGATATTTGGGGTTTGTTTTCTTGATCAAACCCGTTTTGCTCTTAAGTGCTTTTACTTGCTGTGTTTTATAATGCTCTTTGTTCTCCTCCCTTGGGGCACTTTGCTTACGAATTTATCTCCAAGTCAACACTTTGTCTGTATCCACTTAAAAATGAGCATGATAATAATATGTGTAGACAACAGACCCATAAAGAAAATTTAAAAAATGTTAATTTTTATCATAAAGAGTGAAAAATATGTATGCTGTAGCGTAGCCAGGATGGGGCAGATGAGGCGATTGCTTCATCGTTTTTTAACATCCTTTGAGAAATATTCCTTTAGCAATTATTAACGAGTTATAAATGTTTTGCATAACTTTTATTGATTTTTAATCTGAAATCATCAAATTCTGATTCAATTGTGAATAATCTTATTACTTAAGAGTTATCATGTTCTTCTATTGCTAGGCAAGCAAGGCAAGGTTTGGAAAATTGTTTGCCTTTATCTTTTTAATATAAGGGTTAGTGAGCAATTTTTACATTAAAAAAATTGCCATGGTTTATATTGAAGAAAAACACTTAAGGTAGGCTAATAGATTCTGTGATCAAATATGACCCCAGGGATTAAAGTTTGAGTCTATGTGTATGGTTTTTCTATTAGACGATGAAAAGTAAAATGTAACTATCCTCACTGATGGATAAAGGCCATAGTCAATATTTCAATGTCCAGTAAAGAATATATGGTAGGCCCATAGACCATTTACAAATTTAACCTCATTGATTTCTTTGAATTTAGAAGTCACTTAGATTATAGGTTTATCAACAGTAATCCATATGATTTCAAAAAGTCTGAGTGGGCTCTGAACCATCACAAAATTATCAGCGATATATCTATATTCACCTGACCCCTAAAAGTATTTGTTTTTTGCAACCCAGCTCACTTAAATATATGATGAAAGATCATGATGAAATCATAAAGCTTCATAACAAGTATGTTTATATGTTTAACCCATGGGAGGATGTTCAGCCTGGAAATTATTTGAAACCAATACATTCCTATAGGCTAACAACCAAATAATACTGTGCTGCCATTTGTGAAGCAGACTCATTCAGAAAAACAATCTAGTGAACTATCATTAATTTCCTATCTCAATTTCTCAATGTCATAGACTTTTACTCACATATTGATAAAAAATAGTGCAAGTCTTGTTTTGATACTGGAATTCAAGAAAAAACATGTTCCTAACAAGCATGAATGTTTATGTACATATTCCCCACGAGTAATTAGAACTGGGAGGATTTCTCAGTGAGCTTGGACAAATATCATTAGAGAGGTTCTGATAAGATAGAACAAGGCACACCTGGATTAAATGAAGCCAGATGTTGATGCTGGGAAAGTATCAAATCAAATGATTTTCAAGGAAACATGTATTAATGATAGAATGTTTTTGTTGTTGAATGTTTTTATATAGTATTTTATTAGTATGTACAGCTTGTAACTTATTTTATTGATTATGACCAATTTTACCTGGATTATAAGCATTCTCTGTAAAATGTTTTTTCAAATAGACATGTAAGGCCAGATTCTTGAAAACATACAGCGTAGAAGTGAATAACTTCTAAAAATATATTTTGGTACTCACTGTGTCTAGAATGTGATAAAGAGAGATTGCTACTGAAACTTGAACTGGGGTCCCATCTGACTTCACTGGACGTGTTGTGATGTCATAAAAGTTTAGAATATTTTGTTTGAGTATGTGTTCATTAGATATGCCTCTGCCGCCATACCCTGCCACATACTTGCGGAATTTCTTTGAGCTTTTCTTTTTCATTTTCAGACTGGCTGATTCTGGAAAAAAATGAAAGAAATTCAATTAATTATCAATAATTAACATTTTTATGAAAATAGATAAATGTATATATTTGACCAACATGAGATTTATGAAGTTTAGTTTGAATAGAAAAATGAAATCTAGAGAAAATATTTTACTTTGAGAAATTAGAATTTTGATTGGCCAGTATGTATCAATGTAACAATTTTGTTATTGTATATTTCCAGATTCTACAAACAATATGCTAGGGAGGCATTTCAGGAGGCCTGGGTAAGACTTGGACTGCAACTACATATATCAGCCGCAATACAACATCAAAATGATACAAATGGGTTGATTTTTATATACACTGTAGATGAAAATAGCTTGGAAAGTTCTTCGACCTTCTGGTGCAATAAATTCCTTTTGGAGCTGCAACCAATCTGAACATATGTGGAGGGATGGCTTTGGCCTGATATCTCTTCAATATTCTCCCTATATTAAACACTGATATGGTGCCATCACAAGACACACATGTATGGTACCATCGATGTCAGTGGAAGATTTATTATGAGTCAAAAACTGGCAAATTGACAAATATATTTCTCATCAAGCAAACAAACAGAGCCTCGTTGAAGGCCTGAAGTGTCAGCTTGATAAAAAGGACAGCTTAGTTTTGATCCAAATTGGAGGAATAAATCTGTTTCTCTTAAGTAACACACATAAAAATGAGGAAATTACCCATCAATGAAATTTCATGGGGTCATGTTGTTAAAAGTAAAATATGTGCAAAAGAGAGGAATCTGCAAGGAATATTGTTCACAGACACCAAGTTGACGCTCTGAATTGTACAAAAATATTATAAAAATTATACTATTCTTTCAAATTCTAGACAGGAATTTACATGAAATAAACATAAGTAAATGGACATTTTAATGTTTGTAAATGGTCTCATTTGATACATACTAATCTAGCAAATATGGTTAGTATGCAGTTGTTATCCAATTATAGATTATCATTGACTAAACCCTTTAAACCATAGAGATGAAATCACTTGTGAGTAGCATCAGTTAATTTCTCAGTTTAATTTAGGTTTGATTTTTTTTATTTCTCCATTCAAACATTACAAGTACAATAATTGAAACAGTTCAGATTTAATTGATTTAATTCAAAATAAGTTAGTGCCAAATTAAGTAGAAGTACAGTATAACAGTTATTAAAATGAATGAAACAGGACATCATCGTTGAACATTTTAAATAAGATCACATAATTACCCTTAAAAATATAGTTTTATTCACCCTCATACTCCAATATTTATGTTACTTGATACGATGAGAGTTCCTTTGCTTCTGTACAAAGGAAATTGGATACAATTAATGAGAACTTATTACATTTGCTTGCAGTAGAAACAATTGTCACTTGAGAGACTAAGTCTGTTAATATCCCATGTCTAACTTTGAAGATGTGAAGTGAAGTGGTTATTAGTTAAGTTTATTGTGACTTAATTGAAAGAATCGTGCAGTTTACAGAGTCAAGTCACCTTTTTATGAATATCCTTCCAAGAAAAATGGGATTAGTTTTCCATATTCCAGATATATGAAAATAGAGATGATTTATCGCTTAAATGTCAAATGCAAGTTAAGTTGATGACTAACATTGCTTTGTATTTTAAAAGTTAATAATTTTCCCATCCAAATTAAAAAATTTCTAATTTTTCATTTTACAATATACAGAATACATGTATAATATGGAATTACAGTAAGTGTTCATTCAAAAAAATGAATGAAATTGTCAGTTATTTAATGTTGTTGATTATAAGTATGTATTTTATATTTGTTTAGTGTTGAGTCCAACCACTTTCTGAAAACTTAAAAATACTGGGGGTAACTAAAAAATAACTATGTAAATGAAAGAGTTTCCAGTAAAAAAGTATGCAAACAATTTGTACATGTCATCAAGTAGAATATTCATTCAATCCTATATGCAAATCTCTGAAAATCTCATTTAGATTTCAAAGCTATATAGCAAAGAGTCTATTGGTATTCTGATCAGAATTGAGAACGAGTGATGAGAAATTACTACACTGTATTTTGTGAGTGTAATGCTATTGGAGGAGGTAATTAATTAAATGAAGCCCCATGACAAAGCACCCATGACGTGTGACCAGACAGATTGATGTAATTGTCACAAGACCCCATCTTTTAACATTAGTGTTTAATTAGAAAAATGGGTGCCATTTAGAAAGTATTTGTGCCCCAGTTGTATCTCGGTTGCATTATAAGTATGGTTTCTCATAAATATGGCCTACTTTGTAATTACAGTGTGTCTAGGTCTAATGGACGTAATCGGGTAATGGGTTGGTTTTACAGAGATTGAAAGATCAAAATGAGTTTATTTTAAGGAGATACTTAATTAAAAAAGATCTCAATGTGAATATACTGTAAATGGTTTTGATTTGACTCTTATTTTGATTTGATTTTGTATTTGTGTAATTTTATAGTCCTCAACATAAATCTGTCACATTTCAAATGTAATGTAAGTACATTTATGTTTGAAAAGTAAAACTTTCACCTCCTCAGTAAATACTGCTCAAAAAATCTGTTGACCAATTTTTCTTCAAAATTGCATTTCCAAGTTTCCCATATTGGTAAAAAGTGGATGGTGCTTGGTGGGTGGTTTAGCAGTAAAGTGGATTACAATACATAGAATATGTATACGTAGAATTTAATTCCAAATTTTTTGGAAGACTCCGGAGGCTTCAATTCACAAATGTTATATTGTATTCTATGGATATTTGGTGTCACTTAGGGACCTTCTTTCACCAAAACCTTCACTGGTTCTAATCTTCCCATGTTTAATTAAAGATAAAGACAAACAACATCCCCATTAGAGAAAGAATTCTCCTTGAGAACAAGACTACTCAAGGCTAGCACTTATTCCCAGGGGAAAAAATGTCAAATGAATATAAATGAAGGTTGGAGTTTAGCATTTTGAATCAGTATGAGCATTACACAACATAGTTACCTCAGGAATAAAGGTTCATGTAAAATCAAGTTAAATGGAATAAGATTGAAGATGATTTGACATAAGAAAAGTAATTATTATTAATTTGTTATGATTTACTTCAATTAATATACATGTTTAATACTAGATGCCCAAAAGAGGGCATATTCTCTCATATATCAAAATAATTAATTCTAAAATATTACAATATTTTTGTAGAGAAATTAGTAAAGTATGAGACAATGTCAATATATTGATATATGTCCATAATTAATTATGTTTAGGAGTAGGGGGTAAAAGTCTACTGCATTTTGTCAGCTCGGTTCAATTTTTTAAAAATGGAAGTGACCTTTTATTTGAAAAAATCAATAAATGTTTGATTACTTTTTGAGGGATGGGATAAGTGATATTGATTACATTTTGGACAATATTGGAATATTGAGCTAACTGGTCTCTAAAACGGAAGAATTTATTCATTATTTTGGCATATGTTTCATTTTAAAAGATTTTCTTACTAATAAATTGTGATAATATTTCATTTTAAAATTGCTTTGTGGCATTTGATTCTATCTTATTTGATTGTTTTTATTGAATGTTCATGTATTGAATTCATTTGATACTTCATTGTGTAACAAATTAATAATAAATAACAAATGTAACATGATTTGATAAGTTCATATATTTTACTGTTTAACCTTTTTGTGATCAATCATTTCAAATGATGCCTTTGGTAATGAACAGAAAAAAATAGAAAGATAAAAGAATAATGAGCCCTTGATGAAACGTCCCTGTAGCCCTCTCATCTTGATCTTTTGCTCTACCAAATTTTAAAACAAATGTTTAATTCTGTTTTACTAGTTTATATTTAGTGTATTAAGTATGTTTCTATGTGCTTTATTCCTTGCTGTTTCTACTCTTAATCATTCATTTTTGTGTTTAAAACAATTCAACCATTCAATTTATTAATAGTACTCAAGTAAATGCACCATCAAACGATTGAGATTTGATATATTGGTCTTTAGAGATTTTACCTAGATATAAATTATAGTACAAAGAGGATATATTATTTTATAATATGGGAAGCATAAACTCATTGACTTTCAAGAACTTCAGGAACATCAATTTCTTGTATTTATGGAAATAAGTTTTACAATGGCAATATATACATATGATATAGTGAACTCATTAAACCCAAAGTATTTCACTCTCAGGCATGGATTTACACGTTTGTGCCCCATGTTTGTTCGCTTTGCTCTCTCGTGCAGATATCAATATCACCTCGTAGATAAAAATGATATTCAAAAATCATAGGATATCCTATAAGTCTCACCCAATAAAATCAAGCAAGATGGATATCTGATATTGGAATATTTTTTCAATAGTGTTTTAGATAGGATCATATACTGTTACTCTATTTACATCAATACGAGCAAAACATGATCTTTGCATGAAAAAATACTTCTGAGAAAATTGTATTTTAACCGATGGTACAGCATTATTTGAAAGCTGATAAATATTTGTATTCAAACAATATTGTCATATAACATGTACAGTATTCTAGGAGAATATCTAGAAAGGATAAATATGAAGATATTCCATCACATCAACATCTAGGCCTATATGGAGGTTACTGGTGAGAAATAGGAAATGGAGTTTGAAGATGGCAAGCAAAATAATCATGATTCTAAATGTAGTGGTGACATATTGTCATGGTCTTTTTGTGATTGGCGATCGGCAGTTGGCGTCTGTTACAAATGGTGGTGACATTTTGCATGTTAATGCCTTGTTTAAGAGTAAGTTAGTTTTGTGCAGAGTATATCACTTTGACAATCAATTAGTGCTAATATGTTCAGATGAAGAGAGTATCTTGATACATTGATCCTTTGGGTTTTGTTTTTGCTAATCACCTCATTCATTTGCATTACTGATTATGTTTACAAAGGGCTTTTTTGGGTCATTGGCCTTGTAAAGGACATTTAGAGGAACTATTCTCACGAGAAGATCTGAGTGAGAATTCCTTAGATGGGGAGGAACTTAATTAAATGGATGATGTCAGGCCATGTGATAATAGCTAAGACTAAGATGGGCGACTCTACAATACAACAGGGTCAGCCTCATTTTTTTGATGGAATCATCAAGAATATTCTTGTGTAGATTAAGTGTTCAATGAAGCGATTAGTGGTATATTCAAATATTGTATCAACTACTTTTGGAGATATTTTGAGATATCATGTTTTCCATCTTTTGGATCACTCTCCCTTGTCCATCCCCCATGATAATAATCCTCTGATAATAGCCCTCTGACCATCCTGATGGCTAAATAAATCCGAATTTGGCTCATATTGTATTGTAATACTGAACAATCGTTTATTAGGAAAGGGGAATAGTTCAGCTATATGGATATCAATACAGCTTTTGGGTAGGAGGAGATGAATGGGGAAATGGGAGAAGTCAATGCACTTAGAGAATTTGAAAGAACAACAGACTGACAGTACTGTACTGTAGATGATGAGATATGTTTGACAATGATGAGGAAAATGAATGGTACAGCTGCAGCAGCAGAGTGGGACAGTAGGGTGAACAACCTTTTAGCAAATTAAAACATGGTTGCACTTGCCATAATAGATTAGCCCAGTTCTCCCATTGAGAAAAAAAGATATAAACTATCTCTTACCCTGACGCCCAAAAAGCTTGTAGTTATTAACAAATCTTACTATTATAGAAGGAAATCAACTTATTAAGAAAAGTAACTAATTTTCAGTCTCAATTACCAAATAGTACAATGTAATGACGCATGTTTTCTTTAAATATAACTATGATTCTGAAGTTTCCATCACTAGCCAACTTCAACTTGCATCATTGTCATTTTCAATTAGAGAAATAATCACCAAGATACAAAATGATATTCAAGAAGACTCTTGGATTAGGAAAAATGATTGAAAAGATCAATGTTAGGATTGAAACTGACAAACAGTCGTCCCTAAAGGACGTCTCACTGGGTACACTAACTTAATTGAGATTATGACCGGAAAAGTTTGGAATTGTAAAGAAATACTTCAGAGACTTGAGTTAGAGCTAGATTGAAAGTTCTAAAGACAGAGGTCTCCAAAAACATAATAGATAAACACCCAAACTAAACCTAAATCAATTTTCCATTTGTGCTTCCAAGCTCAAGGATCTCGAAATGTCAATAGGCCTATTTGACTGTAAATGTTAAATGGGCATAGCATTTCCCCATTAGATCCTCCATGTTAAACAATATACAATGTTTCTTCTCAAACAGATATCAGATTAATTTAAAAGTACAAAGATTAGAGGTGAGTCGGGAGTAACTTTTGAAAAATTGTCGCACTTTTCCAATATGTTTTGCTCTCATAATCGGCATGCCTTTATTAGGATTGTTGGGAAAAGTTCATTTGAAATTCAAGAGAATCTGCAAAGACTATGTGTTCTGTACTGAAGCTCATCCTTCAAAGCTTGCTCAATCAAAAATAATGGCAATGTGATGATTTGAGGAGACTTGACGCAAACCTAGATTTTGAAAGACGTATTTCAATGTCAATCCCAATTATCTTGATATGTATCTTTCTACTTTGGAACTCGCTCTTCAATTTAGGAATGTTGGATATTGAGATGGGTGCCTCTCAACTAAAATATCACATCACGTATATAACATACAAGAGGAAGGAGATTGGGTTCATTATTATTCCCTCAAATGAAAAATCACATCTTGATACCGAGACCTGTATAATTAATTTTGATAACCCTGTTCAAGGCCTCTAGTTTACTCAATAGAGACTCGATGTAAAATAATATAACTTTTAGCCTTGTAGTAACTCTCACTTTCGTTTGACATAGTTCATTCTGATCTATCAGACGCTCCTTATCCTTTTGTGAAAGATGGTGAGCTGATACCACAATTTGCATTTAGTTTTGTTTTCAAAGTATCAAAACTGCTAATATTTTTTGTCTTTGAAAGCACCTTAAAATGTTCCAAATCAAATTATATATGATAAGTGCGTCTAACAGAACATTTAAAATTATGTATTGTATCTTTGATATTAACAGAAACAGTCGTTTGTATCAGGATTAGTTCTACAAATTATTCTGTTTGGTTCTCGCCCATTTAAATGCTATATTTTTGGATGGGTGATAGGGGTTGGACCACTGAGTAATGATTTCCATCAGTAAAAACATATTTCAAAAAGTCTTTAGAGACCATCGATAATATAAACCACATAGGATTTTACTTTTCTCCATTTTTTTATTCTAAGAATAATGGATTCTATGTTTTAAAGCGAACGTTATCATATATCGTATATCGCACCTTATATCATAACTTATAATAAACTGGCATTCCAAGTACTGCCATGGGCCTACAGTCTAATACACATCCTCTCAGATCAATTCTTAAAACGTCGGTCAATTGGTTTGTCGGTACTGTTTTCTTTGGTCGTGCGTAAGACTGTCAGTTAACGTGAATACTAAGAAGCCATCCATCTCAACTCGTCGAGAATTACCAGGTAAAACGTCAGTATCGATTACATAACTCCAGGCAGCATTCTATTAGCCTATCACTTTGGTACGAGAGCAAGGCAAGATGGCATGACCAAATGATGAAAATCAATTTACAAACATGAGGTATGACGATCGAATAATTTGGGTAATTCTGATGTTGATCTAAGGTCTCAATAAGAAATAACTCACTTTCGTTTAATTACTGTTCTCAAGTCAATTCTTCAGACCCTACCTTACCAATGAGTTAATATGGGCAATTCTTTTTTTCACGGTCATGGTTATGGATTAGATTCCCAAATGACCAAATGATTTCACCGGGCTTTTCCCGGCGGGATCCGAAGTCACGCACCTTTAGCAGGCATACATGAAGACTGGAGTAGAACACATATGCGACGTGACATATAAAATAAAAAATAATTCAAAACAGTATTTAGTATTTCGTTTTGTAAGGAACCCCAAACCCCCATCATACAAAACCTAAAAAGAAAAACCTTTTGGAAATATTTTTTAGAAACCTCTGATTTCCCCAAAACCACATACATTCCTCGTTCACAAGTCAGGAATTTATCACAATCAAATGTGTTGAGTTTTCGAAAATTGCCACCCAATGTACCAAGGTTAAATGTGTAGAAAAATCCAGACCAGGCGTAATAAAATATAGTTTGTGTATAACTTACTTCCAGTTAAGTTAAATTATGTTAGATACCTGGAATTCCTGGGAAATATGGTAATTATCACATAAACCTTAGAGAGAAACATATGGTTACCTTAACTGCCCAATGGATGTGATTTGTTTAGAATAACTAGATTTATTGTTGAAAACAAGCGAATCAATTTGTTATAATGGTGCTGTTAGCTCTGAAAAATGAGCGGTCTGAAAAATTCGACTTTAATATTCGCGATCGCTACTTTTAGTAATCTTAAAACCAACCCCGCCCTTGGTTCATCCGTCAGACATGTTCTTTATTTCAATATCATATTTTCTCGCCAGCTGATCAATCCCGTAGTGAAGTTCTCAAATAAAGCGGATGATATAACTCCTAAATTACATATCAAGCTCTTATTGCCCTTCTTTGAAAAGACGATTAAATACCATGAGTTAAGATACTTGAATTAGCCGAGAATGCCAGGACTCCTCTCATATATAAATTGACACCGCCTCCAGTGCCCCCCATGTATAAATCGACCCCCCCCCCCCAGTGGGCTCTATGTATAAATCCACACCCCCTCCAGTGGCCTCCGTGTATAAAGTGACTTCTCCCGGGTATAAAGTCAGTGTCAGGATTGATGAATTATTTAAAAGGCAAAATAGAAATAGAAGATTGGATTACATGTGGAATAAAATGAACAGACATGAGAGCAGACTTTTAATGGTGTAATAAATGAAGAATATCAGACTCTTCATAAGGTCTGGAGAGAAATGGAACTGGTTTTTTATGATCTGGGTACATCTAATAGTAAGGTATCCACATTTTTACGTAAACCAAGAGAATTTCTGAAACAACTCCAAAATGGGCCCTTATTAATTTTTTCAGAATCAAATCCTAAATAGTTCCAGTTCTAATCATTGGATATTTTTGTTTGTTATTTGTCGAAAGCATGTTTTGAAAAATAGACCATCTCAATATTAGTAACTGGGGATCACCTTAGATCAGCTATCTTATCTGAAACTTACTGGAATCTCTACACCTGCAACTGATATGTAGCATAATATGTTTCATGTAGTCATTTAACCTATGTTCCTGCTTGGTGTTCTGATAGATATGTAGTACATGATGAGATTTGTTTTAAAAACTCAATTTTTTATAAGTTCCAAAATCAGAATATTATCTTCATCTCAGGTTTTATTGATAGGTGGAAATGGTCTGAACTAATATTTTGAGAACTTGAGAACAGTGACTTTTTGGAGAATATTAAGATATTCTCTATTTTTACATTATACATTGAATGACACGAATGAACATCCTCTTCGGGTATCATGGAATTTTTCGTTACATCCATGAGGTAATTTTCGTTACGTTGAGATAATCGAGGAAGTTATCGAGGTGAAATGAGTTTTCTAAGTGGTTTTACTTTCTTCACAAATTCTATATAATTCAGCTTAATACAATTAAGTTCAATACATCCTGGTTGATTATTCTTTAACGACTCAATAATAAGTTTAAACATAACACATTTGTTATTTAAAAAATGCCCGTCCCCTCTTACTTGGCTCTCGTTATACAGCATCGAGATACTGCGCTATAGTATAATTTTCGCTTTAGACCCTCCCTTGGCGCGGGCCTGACATTTGGGTTTATGAGAAAACGTTTTAATCATGTTACAATCTCTAAATTCATACATACCAGTTATCAAAAGTATCAGGAGCAACCACGTGTAGCAATGATGTTGAATTCGTAACAGAAGAGAGAATATATCCATTTTATTTGTTAGTTCTTTACATCCATTTCATTGACGTACAGTAGTTTGAAAGTGCAAATAAAACGTGGATTCTATTTATGTTAAAGCTTACATCAGTCAATCAATTACATCCATGTGTGGGGTTTATTGTCTTATTTTAATGAAATCTGAGTACTATGAAGCACAGCTACCATTTAATCCGTTTCATTTGTTTTTCTAAACTCAAGATACTGTCATTTTCCATCCGTACATATTCATTTAATCGTATACTGGCAGTTTCCAATGGTTCTGAAGCAATAATAACACTATTTCCAATGTTTCGCTTCCTTATGGTTTCCTATCTGTATATCTGTTTGAAATTGAGCAAAATTGATTACAATTAAGAAGCACTATCAGGGCCAAGATTCAATTTGTTCTTCAGAATAATCAGCCGTCTTCTTTACTTCCCATTTGGCCGAGTAGTGAAATGAAGCAAGCCTGCTACGTCCTTTTTATATCCGAATACACTGAGGACAGAGGCTATTTAGTAATAAGGAGAACAAACACTCTTAAAGAATCGGAATCGAACTATTGAAAAGTGCATAGATGAAAGAAATGTGCATTCCTCTAGATTAGCTTTCTTTTGGTTTAAGATACTACAGTTGTTCATCTTTTTGGTCGACTACTTTAATTTTGAAAAAGTCGAAATAAAGAAAATGCCCAAGCGCCAGGCTGTCAATACCAATACCCTTTGCATTCGTTTAATTTGCGTGAGTAGGCTATCAATATTCTATACTGCACCAGTTCTTGATACTGATTTTATATCCTTGGCCACATGAGAACACCATCAGATGTCAGGTCTTCGATATTCTTTGTGTGGTTAGCGGACCCTAGGCGGATTTTATCTTCCAATTCTTCATTTCAAAGATGACGATACTGATAGAGAAATAGAAAGTCATAATACACTCTCGCTTCATTTTCATGCAAATGCAAAAGAAATGAAAAGGGACTATTCTAGGTTTGGAGAACGAAGTTCGTCACTCTAATTGAGTGTTACCCCTGCTTCGGACAAATTTGATTTTTTACATAGACATAGATTTGAATGTCTTCTTTTGAATAGTCATAATTTAATTGGGAGATATTTCTAGATTTTTCATCAAAAATTATAAGCGCAGTACATTGATGAACTTCTCTCCAAATCGAGACTTGCATTTCATTGAATCGGTCTACTGCACGTTACCCCTACTTCGGACAATTGTGATATTTTTTACATATTATAGATTTAAATGTCCTCTTTTGAATATTCATAATTTAATTTGGGTGATATTTCTATATTATTCATAAAAAATTATTAGCCCAGGAGACTGTTCTCCAAACCAAGACTTTCTTAGGCCTTGGAGGATGGCCTTTGGACACGTTTGCTTAAGACGTTAGTCGGCATTGGTGTAACTAAAATCTACGAACCGTCCTAAGCAGTTCACCATCGTCTTTACCAGTTCAGTATTCATCGAGTTAGAAGCAGCTAAATGTGCTTAAAGGGAATTTTATCGTATATCATCGATACTACAAATGCGTTTTCCCAATTGGAAGTGTTAGATTGAAAACTGGAAATACCAAACCGGCCATCGCCGCTTACAAAGATTCCAGAGTAATAAGTCAACATCCGAAATCAAACTTTCAAAACAGCACACGTACGGTATCGACAGTATATCAGGGTACCCATAGAGGTTATTTACTAGAAGGGATTGAATATGGGTTTTATACCGAGCACTGAAAAAGTGGAACATGAGACAATAAAACTTAGCGTACTGACTGAGTATGTGTTTGTGTTTCAGACAGGCTGTGTAATCTGTGCCAAAGCTTATGTAGGATACACATATCCAGTAATTGAGATAACTCTCATTTTTTTCAACAAGGTGCGATTTGAACCGGAAATCAGTATCGAATTATATGTGATACCAGGGGTATGTAAATTCATTTATTGGTCAAAATGATATATTGTTCGGATATTGTTTGTGTCATGCAGTAATCATGATGTAATGGTACCATGTTAATTAACAGGAAATTCAATCAGTTTGAACGGCCTTGTTCTGTGTCAACTCGCTCTTTGAGAAAATAGACGATTTGATAGAAAAATGAATCATGAATAACAATATAATGGACAGAAATATGCATACATAGTTTATCAAGGTTTATTCATTCTTTTTCAACAAAAGTGACTTGATATTAACAATCCACTGAACAAAAAAAGTTCAGATATAATTTATCCAACATTCATTATTTCATTACAATTTTGTGTTTATAATTTTAATAATATTTAAAAATTTGATATAGTCAGAGTTTAGTTTATTAACTAATATCTACTAGAATAGTACGGTACCTTTATGTATCTATTATTTCTCAGTATTACTGACATCATTATTTTGAAGTTTTACGCATTTATTAATTGTGAAAATGCTGAAATAGTATAACTTGGCTACATCGCAATTGTGCCATGAAGATGGATCACTCTGACATAAGCACATGACCATTGTGACATAAGCCCATTTTCTGTGTGACAACAGCACATGACCATTGTGACATAAGCACATGATCACTCTGACATAAGTGCATGACCATTGTGACATAAGCACATGATCACTGTGACATAAGCACATGACCATTGTGACATAAGCCCATTTTCTGTGTGACATAAGCACATGACCATTGTGACATAAGCACATGATCACTCTGACATAAGCTCTTGACCATTGTGACATAAGCACATGATCACTCTGACATAAGCACATGACCATTGTGACATAAGCACATCATCACTCTGACATCAGCACATGACCATTGTGACATAAGCATATGATCACTCTGACATAAGCGCATGACCATTGTGACATAAGCCCATGATCACTGTGACATAAGCACATGACCATTGTGACATAAGCACATGATTACTGTGACATAAGCACATGCTCATTGTGACAAAAGCATATGATGACTGTGACTGAAGTACATGACCATTGTGACACAATGATGAACGATCATTGTGACATAAGGACTTGATGGCTGTGACATAAGCACATGCTCATTGTGACATGCTCATTGTGACATAAGCACATGATCAATGTGACATAAGCACATGATCACTCTGACATAAGCACTTGACCATTGTGACATAAGCACATGATCACTCTGACATAAGCACATGACCATTGTGACATAAGCACATGATCACTCTGACATCAGCACATGACCATTGTGACATAAGCATATGATCACTCTGACATAAGCGCATGACCATTGTGACATAAGCACATGATCACTGTGACATAAGCACATGACCATTGTGACATAAGCACATGATTACTGTGACATAAGCACATGGTCATTGTGACAAAAGCATATGATGACTGTGACAGAAGTACATGACCATTGTGACACAATGATGAACGATCATTGTGACATAAGGACTTGATGGCTGTGACATAAGCACATGCTCATTGTGACATGCTCATTGTGACATAAGCACATGATCAATGTGACATACACCACTTTTCAAACTAAACCTTAATCACAAATTAAAGTCATAAGATTGAAAAGTGTCTCTGAACTTTGCAGCCCATTGTGTTTCCTCTTCCTTTGTAGACTTGCAGTTCTTCCAGTTGACCCTGTCTTCCATGTTGAGAATCTTTTCATCTGCCAAAGCTTCTCTGGAAAACAATACTTAAAACATAAAGAATAAGTTCACATTTCAGAACTGATATTACACCATTGGTATGAAATATTGTCTCGGTCATTATAAGGCCTGCATTTATCTTTCAGTTGTCAAGAATATATTGCTCATCAAGTAGAATATTTATAAAACAAAATGAAAATGTGTGACAGCAAGAAAATGGCTGCATTTATCTTTCTGTTGTCAAGAATATATTGTCCATCAAGTAAAATATTTATAAAACAAAATGAAAATATGTGACAGCAAGAAAAGCAACATGAAAATGAATATCTAATAGTACTGAACATTGAGATTGAAGTTATTCATTAAACATCCAAAATGGATATTTTAGATCTGGGGGAGTTGTTTACTACCCTGCGTGCAGAGTCTAGTTAAACTACACTCTGCCTAGTAGATACCATATTACAGTTTAGTAGCCCCACCCCCACGACGGGTACTGGTGACAGTTTGGGTAATAAATCACTTTTGACCTACGCGCTGACCTTTCCTCCACCAATCAGCGAGCTTGAAGAAACATGCGCCAAATGCGTTCTTATCAAATATGCGCATGTCATTGGTCAATTCCGGGCTCAACGATGACGTCAGAAAGAATGACCATATATAGAACGTCGGTCAAATTTGGCCGACGAACACTGATTGGCGCGGTGAGTTCACAGGTTTATTTTAGTTTGAAAGAGTGAAGACGAAGCTCTCTTTTAAGAAGTGAAGTCAAACGAATGCAAAGGGTATATGTTTACCTTCCAAACTGAAGTGGAAAGAACTTCTTAATCCTATGTAGCAATTTTTCACCAGAGGGCAGCTCTGCATAAAAGTAAGGTGCACCAGCTGGGACAATCTAAAACAAGGCATTAACATGACAAAATGTCACCACCTAAAACAATTTGGTCAATTTAAAGCAAGTTGGAAAATACCTTTTGACCTTAAGAAGAACTTCTGAGAACATGTAGATGATTTTGAAAAAAAAATTTGTCAATTTGAAACAAGTTGAAAAAAGACCTTTTTGACCTTGAGAAGGTCATTGAAGGTCAAAGGTCAAATCTTAAGTCAGATATGAACTTCTGAGAACTTGTAAAGTCAAATTTGAACTTCTGAAAAGATGTAGATGATTTTGAAAAAAAAATTTGGTCAATTTGAAGCAAGATGAAAACAGACCTTTTTGACCTTTTTTGACCTTGAGAAGGTCATTGAAGGTCAAATGTCAAATCTAAAGTCAAATCTAAAGTCATATTTGAATTTCTGAGAACATGTAGATGATTTTGAAAATTTTTTTTAGTCAATTTGAAGCAAGATGAAAAAATACCTTTTTGACCTTTTTTGACATTGAGAAGGTCATTGAAGGTCAAATGTCAAATCTAAAGTCAGATTTGAATTTCTGAGAACGTGTAGATGATTTTGAAAAAAAAATTTAGTCAATTTGAAGCAAGTTGAAAAAAGACCTTTTTGACCTTTTTTGACTTTGCGAAGGTCATTGAAGGTCAAATGTGAAATTTTAAGTCAAATCTAAAGTCAGATTTGAATTTCTGAGAACACGTAGATGATTTTGAAATTTTTTTTTAGTCAATTTGAAGCAAGTTGAAAACAGACCTTTTTGACCTTTTTTGACCTTGAGAAGGTCATTGAAGGTCAAATGTCAAATCTTAAGTCAAATCTTAAGTCAGATTTGAATTTCTGAGAACACGTAGATGATTTTGAAAAAAAATTCAGTCAATTTGAAGCAAGTTGAAAACAGACCTTTTTGACCTTTTTTGACCTTGAGAAGGTCATTGAAGGTCAAATGTCAAATCTTAAGTCAGATTTGAAGGTCAAATGTCAAATCTAAAGTCAAATCTAAAGTCAGATTTGAATTTCTGAGAACATGTAGATGATTTTGAAAAAAAATTTAGTCAATGTGAAGCAAGTTGAAAAAAGACCTTTTTGACCTTGAGAAGGTCATTGAAGGTCAAATGTCAAATCTAAAGTCAGATTTGAACTTCTGAGAACATGTAGATGATTTAGAAAAAAATTGAACTCAGTCTAAACAGTATTTGTTAAGTTATAGGAAGTTGTAAGAAATTGTTACAGACGCCGGACGCCAACCTCCAACCGCCGGACGCCGTCGCAAAAAAAACGGAGACCATAACAATATGTCACCACTTTTGGTGGTGACATAATAAGGAATATACTGCATTTAAAGTACATCTGTATATTTCTGGACTAGCTTTTTACCAGTAGTAGCACAAAAATAGCTGGTGAAAATAGTTGAACACTGCTACTGCATGAAAATAGCTTACTTGCATTTTCAGGAATGCTGACGCATAGTGAAAATTAATGAAGATCACTGTACATGACACAATATAGAACTGATTGCTGGAATATAACTTTCTTTCCCTGGGGATTTGTTCTGAAATTTCTGAAAAGGGGTGTGACCACTACAAACACACTCCTCATCTAACAGGCCTTTAACATACCAGTTATTAACCATGTCCTCAAGTATGTTAATTTAAAAGATGTTATGTAACCTTACTTGTTTCAGATCTGAATGCTTGGGAATCTCAGCAAGTTCAATGTTCTGCCCCTCAGCCAGTTCTGAAAAGACTTCAGGGACATCTCTTGCAGTGCTACCATCTATTGGAATTACCTAACAACACAGCGTGAGATTTATAAATTAAATATTAAAGAACAATATCTATAAAGTTTCATATTTTCTTCAAAGTAGAAGATTGATTAGGCAAAACATTTACACGTGGGATGTATTAAAGGGCCCTAAAGGAGTCTCAAAATGTTAAAAAATTAATAAAATTAAACATATTTATGAGGTCCTCACCTGGATCTGTAAGTGCGAAGTCTTAAAATTCCTCTCAAAGAACACAACACCTTTTCCCTGACTTTTAAAATACTTTTTCAATGCAGCTTTATATCTGGTGAAAGTTAAGAATATAAACAGAGAAGTTCAATGAGATCACATACATATACATAGTAAACAGACAGAGAGGTAGATAGATACCAGTGTTTATAACCACACATATCATCATGGGACCCTTTGTTTTTACAGATATTTGAACATTTCTATACATTATGACAAGATGCCAGTTATGATATTTCAGAATGAAATTCCCTTAACTTTTCCAGACAAAGCTATTCATTTCCAAGTTTTTCTGTTTTTTCCATTTAGTCCATAAACAAGTTGTATTTAATTATTTTTGACTACTTTTCAGCTCTAGAACATGAGATTTAAAGTCGTTTTAGACCTAATTTCAAAACTCCCTAACATTTTTGTATGCCTGAAAAATACATTTCTCTGAAATTTCCAGGTATGTAGGAACCCTCCCCCTCCCGTTAACCTTATCCCCGCTAATTCCACTATCCGTCCTACTAAAACATGACCATCATTCCACAAAGGATACTTGTCAATTTCTTCAATTGCATCATCAGGCAGAGTCACTGTTGACTGGTAGTGTCCTATAGGTAAGATCAATACATGGTCAGGTACTAGGCCACCTTTTGCTAATGCGAGATATGTCATGGTTCCTACACTGACCACAAGGTGCTTCTCAACCTCTGGACTTGAGAGACAAAACCAACATGGCCCCATAGGTTGCGCTGGAGGGAAACATAAAGCATTAACAATAAAACATTGATTCATATGGTACCTATAATTACATTCTTCAATTACTCTGAGCATATAAAATGACCAATTTTTATTCATTAAAATAATTTTGCTGGAACTACTTTCAGTTGAATTCAATTTCAATTGTAATCTTCATATTCAAGTAGTACATATGACTTGCACTGACTTGACAAGCAGTACAAACAGAAGATTTATTTTTGTATCTAAAGCTTATATATTTACGTTGTTTTCTTGGAGCTTTCTGGTCTGGTCCTCCATCTTTAGAAAAGTTTTGACGCTTTTTTCCTTTATCCATGTTTTCGCCTGCCTTCATGTCATAAAAAAATTGAGACCCATCCTCTTCTTTCTAAAAAATAAAAAGTTAAGAGTGAAAAAATAAAAGGGAAACAGATGTGAGTTGATGTAAAGGGTGTCTTGTCAACTATTTAATGCTGAAAAATATAGAAATCATGTACAGGATGGTAAGAAAAAATGGAAAACCTGTCGCCAATTTCCTCATATCTTTGTCATTTTAGGACATTACTCCCTGATATTTGGCACCTTTGTACAACATTCAATTTCCTACCAGCTAACAATATATTATGACCATCAAATTGATAGTCACAGTGTTCCAGAGGGGTCATTCATCAAGCTATCGCAAGCACGTCGCAAGCCTGCGATGTCGCAAGGGCCCTTTTTAGCGATTACGTCCTATTCATCAATCTCGTGCGACTGCGATCAGTAGAATTTTCTGCGACGTCGCAATGAAATACCCCTAAAATGGCCCAAATTTAAGCGACCGGTGGTACCCAGTCGCAGTGATTTAAGTTCACAAAAAATGTCTTAAATTAGTTGAATTTCTTTATGAAATTATATAGAAATTCTAGGACGTATAGTTCGATATTCGATCCATGTTATATTAAAATTGCAGAGCATATGCATTATGTTTAACATGTTTGTGGTGCTACCAAAAACAGCTAGTTTTCGGCTTGTATTTTCAAGTACTTCACCGTGCGACCGGTCGCAGTGATTGTGCGTTACACGTGGTTTTGGGTTTTGACCCACGTGGCTGTGCCCACTCAGTATCCATATTGTCAATCTTGCATGACACGTTAATCGTCTGTTGGAAGCGTTTATTCGTTCGAAATGGCGCAACTGATGGTTGATTTCAACCGTAATGCTCTGCGTAGAGAACGCGTACTTAGAGATCGTACAGATCCTCTTCAAATAAACGATAATGTGGACCTTATTTTGCGATGTCACATGCCTAGGGTTAACTATTATAAAAGTTTACGAAATGATACAAGAGGTTCTCGAAAGGATAACTAACACGTGTACAAGCACGTCCACGTGGTAATCACTGCGACTGGTCACATGGACATCGCAGACTGCGATTTGTTAATGAATAGGTCGCAGTCGCAGTCACTGCGACCTCGCACGATGGTCGCAGTGTCTGCGACGTCGCAGTGATTGCGATAGCTTGATGAATGACCCCTCAGCACTTTAAACAACATGCTCCAGTGGCCAATATTGCACTTTCGGCGAATTTGCACACATCATCCAAAATGTCTCTACCTAACTTCAACCTGTGGTGATACACCAAAAAAGAGTGTACGAGAATAACCTGAATAACCTCAGGACAACTGCAGACCTCAAAAAGGAGATCATCCATGTCATTCAGGCCATACCTGCTGAAAAATGTAGTCAGATCATTGACAACCTGTTCAGATTTGCCAATAGTGCGATGGTGGCCACACTGGGGCATCTTGTACAAAGTGCTGTACCATTGTGACTATCAATCTGATTGTCATGAAATATTGTTAGCTGGTAGGAAATTTAATGTTGTACAAATGTTACAAATATCAGAGAGTAATTACCTAAAATGACAAAGATATAAGGAAAATGCAGGGTTTCCATTTTTTGACCACCCTGTAGTTAATCAAAAGTACTGAGTACACGTACATGAAAAAAGTATGACCAAACAAAATAATAGTTTTTTGCTTAAAACACTTGTTACCAATTAGATAAATATATTACCCCAAGCAAGTTTTTGTCTCATAGTTTGAATTTGATGTGAAGAAAAAAATCCTTGAGAAATTATAATATACATCATTTTACTTTATCTTTAAGCCTACCCTAGTTTTGTCAGATTTGATGAGTGATGAATCCAACTTAAATGGGCACTCAGTAACATCTTGAGGTTGCTCAGTTAGTTTGGCAGTATCCATCTGCGACATTGGGGTGATATTGAATGCATATAGCCACTGGAATGAATTGAATCACAAATAAACATATGGCATAAGCATATAAATAAAGCGTTAATCGTTTATCATGTATGTAGAACGCAGTCACACTCTCTAAAGAGAGCTTGATCTACACTCATCCATGCGCCTTTCAAATTAAAAGCCTTTATCATGCACAAAAATCAGAAACACATCTGATTGGTAATCGGCTACATTTTTATCCACCTGTTCATAGCTGGCATTTTCATCTAATATATCTAAACTCCACAAAATTGTTTTTAAAATTAAAGCTATTTCAATGAGGGTAAAAGGACCAGTGCAGAAAGTTCATTAAAGATTTCCAGAACAAATGATTTTACTTCTACCCTCTGGGTCTCAGGAATTCACCATCTGGATTCAACACTTCCCTTCTCGATCTTACCTTTTTCTTCTGTGGGTTTCCAACTGAGGCCAGGCCAATGAACCTGGAGACATGCTTTTCTCTCTCAGCCAGTACCCTGTGGTTTCTGCAGCAAGAAACAATGGACTTAGAAGAAGTAGGGTTCCATTATTGAGATATGGCTTAAGAATCTGGCAAAGAAGAGGTTTTTGTGCAGCCAATTAACTGAGGAAATGATTTAGAACAGAAAAATGAACTAACAAGGTCCATCCAATTCCAAAATTTTGTTTCCAATCTGCAGTTTACATTTTCATCTATCATCATTCATGTTTGAAAGTGGTTGGACCTATTATTGATAACTCCTCTGCAATTATCTACAAACTGTATTGCCCTTTTCCCCACTACAAAAACATACCTGTAAGGTTGCCTTTCATAGAATGAGCCTTCCAGTGCGGCAAAGTGGTATCTAGGCCTCAGAGATAGAGCCAGTTGGGATATAATCCTTGAGCCAGTTTTTGTACTTTCCACACCTTCCTGAAACAAATAAACATCTGAGTCCACCTGCCTCTCAAGTTCACTTTTGTATCAAAATATCAGTTTTTTTTGTTGGTTATTTTTTGTGGAAATAATTAATTTTGTTTTGGTGGGGGTAAAAGGATGATACTGGCTACTTAGTATTGCATTCAACATGGACATCGTGTCATTTCATGAAAATATACATATGTTTAAGCATCACATACTGAACATAGACAAAGATTTCAACTTACTGGGCTTGTTGCATATTTCTCAACATCGGCAGGCCATTGTGACGACAATAAAATATCAACTCCTCTGAATTTTGCATCTACCAGGGGGCCTCTCAGAGATTCCCCTGTAGATGAATCAAAGTGTGTTGGGTCAGCAGCTTCACCCTCCATACCACTGATGTAAGCAATTTTCAGCCCTGAGCTCCCTGTGTAGACCCCTTGACTACCTAGATAAAACAAAATGCAACAAATGTTGGATTTTCTGTTGATTGATTTTTTCAACATTTCAACAATAATGAAAAACTTAAATTGAGGACAATGGCCTTATTTTCAAATATCTACTATTAACGTTTGAGATAAAATCTTTCACAGAATTAGAAACAGTACAAAACAATTCAAAACATCTGTGGTAATGATGGTGTTACTACTAACACTTACCTAGTAAAGTTACATTCTCACACAATTCCCCACCATCATCCTCAGTGAAGAATCTTTTATGAGACTCCTTATTTGGCCCCAGGATAAATGTAGGTATAGGCACTGGAACATTGACAAATAACAACTCACTTAATACTTGTATATATTTAATGTTAATTCACTAATGAAATAAAAACAAATAATATAAAAAAATGAAATCATAAAAAATACATTTGCTAGTATTGGCACTTGGTTAAAAACTAATGTGTATTTACTTGATAAAAATTTTGTAAGTTGTTGAAGGGGAATTGAGTGTGAGATAACTTAAATTTTGTATAAGGTAAGCTGAACAAGGGAAGGGAGTCTCAGCCAGGTTTAATTAAGGCCGATTTTTTAATAAAGATCAATGACTGGCTCTTTTTCAAATACATGGAGATATTACAATAGCAATGCCTTAAATATAATATATTGCATTTTTAACTTGATATAGTGATCAGCGTGTATTGTTAATGATGACTTAATATCTTAATTTAGAAAAGACAGTGGCTCAAACATTTTGTCTTAGATTATACAAAGAACACAAATGTGTACAAAATGTCCCCACCTATGGGTGATCCCGTCAAATGGTTATCCTAAAAATGAGTAGACAAGACTTTACCGACACAATTTGAGGACGGAAAATCCAAAATGGCCACCTTAAAATTTACCTTGAAATTGATCCGTCACACAGTTAACCAGAAAACATGTAAAAAAGACTTTACAGACGAGATTTGAGGACGGAAAATCCAAAATGGCTGTCTTGACATTTATCCAGAATGCCAAAAAACTAATCTGTTCTAGATATTCATACTAAGAATCATCCCTGAAAATTTGAAATTAATCTACCAAACGGTTCACCTGGAAATGCGTAGACAAGACTTTACAAACAAGATTTTAGGAGAGAAAATCCAAAATGGCTGCCTTGACATTTACCCAGAATGCCCAACAACTAATCAGATCTAGATTTTCATACTAAGAATCATCCCTGAAAATTTGAAATTGATTTACCAAACGGTTCACCTGAAAACGCGTAGACAAGACTTTACAGACAAGATTTTAGGATGGAAATATCCAAAATGGCCGACAATAAAAAGTGATTATGAGTTTTTGCTGATTTCTTTTTACAAAATTATCACATATAACTACTGTTAACAATAACATAGGCTCTTACAACAAAGTACACCTGAAATTATTTATAAGGCTACTAAATAGTTAAAGTATGAAAACTGAAAAACACCATTCAATATGATACAAAGTATTATCGTGCGCTAACTTTCCTTAAAACATTCAAAATGGCTGATATGACTGAGCAAACAGGTCCAAAACCTAATCAGATCTAGAATGAAGTGAGCTGAACAAGATTTTAAAGTTTTAAAAGCAACTGTGAAGCCATTTTTCTTAAAGTTTGCAGACAAGGATTTTAGCATTTGACTTCAAAATGGCCGACAGGAAGTAGGTATCGAGTTAATTTTTTTTCGTCCACATCTGTATGCACTCATAAGTTATCCCTGAAAATTTGAAGGTGATATCTGTAGCGATTTTGGAGAAAACTGCCGGACGTACGGACGGACGGATGGACAGACAGGCAGACGCGCCTAGGCCGACAATATGGCCCCACACTATGTGGTGGGGACATAAAAAAGATTGGCAAAGATGGATATTTATTAGTATTCTTACTATGTTTTTAAGCATCAAAGAAAATTATTGAACAACTATGCAAAATTTTAGGTATAACAGGGCCAATTAATTATTAATTTCAATTGCATGAAGTTCATCTTAATAAAAATACCTACACGCAAAATGAACCATGCAGGTGCATTTTAATAAATTAACTGGATGCTGCCCATGAATTGTGTTTATCAAATTAATCATATTGCATTGTTGAAAAGATCTAGAATAGACATCTGAAGACTGAATTTGGCTGCAATTTAGCATACTGGACAAAAGACAAACATGTTTCAAAATCGTAAGGCATTTAGAAAAATACAATACAAGTACATTCATGTGTTAATTGGATATACACTCCTAAATATGATATGCTTAATCATTTACATGAACGACCAAACATCTTATGATAACCGACTAAATGGACTACAGGATACAAAAGATAAAAAGCAACACAAAAATGTATTTTTTCTCAAACTTCATAAAACGGCTAGCTCGACAATACAAAATATATTTTTTCGTTATGTTGACTCAAATGATTTGAATATGGCACTACCAAAGGAGGGAGGAACAACATTTAACTATTCTCATATGTTTTCAAGGGAATTTGTTCAACCATCTGTTAAACCATTCAATGTGATATGTCATCACCTACGATATCATAAAAATGTTCTTGGCATAATGCCAGCAGATACTAAATCCATTACAATCATCAGGAACCCTGACACACAGTTTGTTTCATCCTTCAACTATTTCAATTTCAAAAACTGCTTCAAAGGGATCAAAACGATTGAGGAGTTTGCGAGAGTTTTACCGAAAATCAAAAAAGAAGGATCGTGTGCAAAGATTAACCCACAGAACTCGATGCTTTATGATTTTGGACTTCCTTTTACTAGCATCACAAACATTACTGCAATAAAGGATAAAATAATAGAAGTTGATAAAACATTTGATTTGGTGATATTAAGTGAGTACATTGATGAAGGATTAATCCTTATGCGAGAACTCCTCGGGTGGACAAACAAAGATATCATTTATCTTAACAAACTCGTTAATTCAAGACCAAAAGAAACAATCTCAACTGAAACACAGGATAACTTACGGGAATACAACAAAGGAGATGTTCTCCTCTATGAACACTTTAATAAAACATTCTGGCAAAAAGCCAAACATTTTGGTATTCAGAAACTGAAAACAGAAGTTGAAAATTTTCGTAAATTGAGACAAAAATGGTATAACTTCTGTATTGAAGCAACATTACCAGGAGACCAAATAAAAGACATTGACTTCAAGGCAGACTATAATGATGACAAAGTTCTGGCGTATAATATGAATGAAAATGCAAAAGAAACAGAGCTATGTTATCAGCTTATTACTCAGGAGTTACAATACTCAATGTATTTTAATGCGAGGCTTCAAAAATATTGGTCATAATTATGGGAAGTTCCTTTCTTTGCAGGCAGAGCTCCAAATGGGAAGTTATTTTATTAGAGGGTGTATATGAAGAGCTGTTTTCATTTTCAAGTTTTCAGGTGGAGTGACGGGTTAAACTATATTGGAATTGACTTTGTTTCTTCACAACGGTTGTCATTCTGACACCATTCCTCATGCAATAACTTCATGGGGCCTCTAGAATGACCAGTTTTTGTGCTGATAGAGCTATCCAGAATAAATATAGTGTCAAATCAAATCGATTAATCTTACCTTTCTTAGAGCCCATAACGTAATGAGCCCATTCACTGTCATCATCGCCAAAGAAATCTCCAACACACAGTAACAACTGGAAAAAATTAGTGTTCTATTAACAGGGTTCCTAATTGGCAGCAGGCTCACGCTATATTGATGGCAGACTACACTACAGGCATATTCAATGATATTCAATATCAGGTTTTATATGCGTGATTATGCTCTGACCATGGTATAATGGCTAATATGACATAATTGACATTATATTTCTTGTACTTACATCAAATGCTCCAGTTTTCTTCTGGATTGAGTCGACTCTCTTATAAAGTGTTCCAAACTTTCCCTGCACATCACCAGCTACCAATCTAAAGAATTGAACAATATTACATATGATTTATACAGATCATTTAACTGATGTTCTTTCATATCACTCTTTGCAGGACAAAAATACTCTCTGGAGCAAATCTCAAATATTATTTGTTCAGGTATTTAAAATCTCAGAAAACTCAAGTGTCTTGTCTGTGCTTTCTTTTCCATAATGTGGTGATGTAAACTTCAAAATGGTAAAAACTGTTTGAATGGTACAACTTCAATTTGGTGGCCATTGTTTGGGTAAATCCTTCTTATCAGAAATTAGTTTAGAGAATACAAGAGAAAAATATTTGATGGGGGCTTCCAAAGGGTACATCAAAATTGTAGATAAAACTATTAGATCAATCCATTAGAAGTACTATTCAACTTTCTACAAAGTAAATTAAATCGATAATTTCCATTTTCCATTTTTCCTATGGCTGCACATGTTATTTTCTGATATAAAATAATGTACAAGTATGAAGGGATTTGTGTATCATAACAGCATCATTAAATTGTCTTATTTAAGTAAACCTGGTAGGAAGTCAATGGTAAATCCAGGAAATGCTCATGTTTCAAGAAAATGGCTCCCTTTTCAATTTTCCAAATTTTTTCTCCAAGTTTCTCAACAACACTGGACTGCTATTAGATCAGTTTATAAGACAACAAAATGATACTTTCCTGAAAAAAGCAAGGAAAAACACACATGCCTTCATCACTAAGCAACCCAAACAAAAATTTTATCAATACTCAGTATTTTCCAAAATAGGTTTTATTTCGATCACAATGCAGTGCAGATCAATGAGACAATGTTTCGTGAACATTTATTTTACAACACAGAATGGATTCGTGTATTGTGGTGGTAAATCCCAAAAACATGAATGAGTAAGCCAGCAGCCAGCCTTTGAAAGAGGGTAAGCCAGATCGGTGTATTGGTGTCAATGGCTCAAAATAAAAATAAATAAAAAGAACTCTGTGAAAAATTTCAAAATTGTAAAAAGTGTAATCTAGACACACAATGTCCCCTAATATGTATCCAACAGACTGACTAGAAGTCAGTCTGTTATGATGTACTACCTTCCTGTGGAAATTGCAACTAATTTTTTGCACAAAATTATCAATTAGAGGAACCATTTCTTCAATAAAATAAACATTACAAAATTTCAATTAAGTAGTAAGGTACAATTAAATGCAATAAAAAGTAACACACTTAAATGCAATACTATATTACATTGTCACGGTCATGCCAGGCCTTGCAGAACTATATAACATTGTCACGGTCATGCCAGGCCTTGCAGTACTACAGTATATAACATTGCCACGGTCATGTCAGGCCTTGCAGTACTATATTACATTGTCACGGTCATGCCAAGCCTTGCAGTACTACAGTATATTACATTGCCACGGTCATGCCAGGGCTTGCACAACTATATAACATTGTCACGGTCATGCCAGGCCTTCCAGTACTACAGTATATTACATTGCCACGGTCATGTCAGGCCTTGCAGTACTATATTACATTGTCACGGTCATGCCAAGCCTTGCAGAATACATTGTCACGGTCATGGCAGCCATTGCAATACAGCATTGTCGCGGTTATGCCAGGCTTTCACGATAACATTACCGCGGTTATGCCAGGCTTTCACGATAACATTACCACGGTCATGGCATGATCCTTGCGCTACTTAAAAACACTGAATAACATGGTGACGGTTACGCCAGGCGTTAGTCTTGCAACAGATAGGGTCTCTATAAGATACAGTTGGGGACAAAAAGAAATGACAGGTCGATTTTCGATCACCATTTCCTAATTATGGTGGTCTGAAAGCCCATAATTTCCAATATTGTCTAGATACATATCCCTTAAAATTTGTATATTTTACATTTTGTATAATCTCATCCACTGATTTATGGCCTCTTGTAAATTCTCTTATTTTTAACATGGGAAATCCTCACTTCAGCAAATCCACCTGTCATTTATTTATGTCCCCAACTGTAGAAGTCAATTTCGATTTGCTACAATACATCGGTCCATAACTTTTATTACCTTCTTCCAAGTGAAAACTGACAGACACAAAACACGTTATGTAGCTAGTACGATCCTTGTAAATTAAATAATAATCTAAAGTATCTACTTACACTCGTAGTGTTGTATTACTCATGATATCGTGAAACTAAACAACCAGAACTTAAATTTTGGGCTGGTAAAATCTTCCGGCATGAAAGTAGAACCGCAGCAAATAAAAATCTAGGCCATGAAACGCCAAATATAGATTACATTTCAATATAACAGAATCGGATTTGCCCGAATTTAGTCGTCTAAAAGTCGATACAAAACAATAAATCTTGCTATTTTGGATACTTTTTTCCACAAATTTACTATTTAAGAATTGAATATTTAGTTGTCAAAACTACTTTTGAAAGTTTTAACGGGTGTGTCAAAATTGTTTACAAATGGCGGATGGACGGCAACATTTTTAAATCTCTGAAACTTACAGATTTTGATCCAAACTGCGCCATTGTACATACTATTATTGTATAGAGCTCTATCCATTATGACTGACGGTTTCGGTGCAATTACTTGGTGGGGCTTTAGCGAAGCCCTTGATCTCCAAGACAAAGGTTAGTTCTGTAAGGCCTAGGCTAAAATTGAAATGCATTGATACAGTTGGGGACATAAATAAATGACAGGTGGATTTGCTGAAGTGAGGATTTCCCATGTTAAAAATAAGAGAATTTACAAGAGGCCATGAATCAGTGGATGAGATTATACAAAATGTAAAATATACAAATTTTAAGGGATATGTATCTAGACAATATTGGAAATTATGGGCTTTCAGACCACCATAATTAGGAAATGGTGATCGAAAATCGACCTGTCATTTATTTTTGTCCCCAACTGTAGTGCATAGGCTAGGTCTAGTAATAAAAGAACCTATGGAAAGTGTTTGGGCACGCAATGTTTTAGTGGATTTTGATTGAACAGAATTGTGAAATCAAGTTCAGCAGCCCCATGCAGACATTCATGAATTCACCGTTGCGCATTGTGAATTATGAACATTACTGTACCTCATGCAATTGTATTTAGAGGAATTATTAGGCCTTGCATGCGGTGTTGTTAGAGTCAGTTATTCTGTGCAACATTCTCAGAAGTTTCAGCATAAATAAAACTTTGTTCGGCAAGAACACACTTGATCCTCTGTTACCTTTTGTGATGCATCTTATTTGTCTTGTAAACTCAAATGGTTACTATTTCTAATTTTTGAGCCAATTAGGATACTACATAAATAAATAAACAAAACCATCGGGCTATCTTAATATTTTCATTTCTTTTTTGATTAGCTGATAATTAATGATTTAATGGCAATTCAAATTACGGGAAACTAATAGCTAGCCAATACGGGGAATACCATGATCGTCCTGATATACTGGGATATCTGGATTATCTGACCGTATTGAGAGTCTGAGTTAAGTCAAACATGGTTACTGAAATTGCTGAGGTGGTCAATACAACGCATTGGGGATTCCTTTAGTCATCATAATTCCAAAAGTCTTCAAAACACTCAATGTCAAAGAGAACAATTCAAAGTACATGTAGATCGGATAGATCCTAGATGTTTTGTAAAGGCTATTGATATTTTTTTTAGCAAACCTTACTCTGATTCTGATATCAGATATTCCTTATTTTTACTTGGAATCATATATTTATTAGGACTTGCACTCTTTGAGTCCATTTAAGGCTACTTTACTGGAGTGAACTAGCTGTTTCCAGTTGTCATAGACTCTCCATAGACTATTCAAAAGCCTGTCAGCAGTTTTGTTCGACCTTATTGATGAAAAATACATAATTGTCATTTTTATTTCACTACCAAGTCTCCAACATCATTACTCAGGCGCGTATCGTGGTCATTTTGCAAGGGTACGCCCCGTATGTGGATGAATAAAAAATTACTTCTTACATTCAATAATGTCAAGTGATACTCAGGTATATACGTACTGAATTTGCTGATTTTGAGCGTGTACTCTGCCGGGATGGACCCCATACGGCCTTGAAGAAGCGTACAAGAATGACGCAACTCTTTGAATCACGAAAAAATTTGAATCTTTGAAACACGAAAACAGTGAATGACAATGAGGGAATCGAGAACTTATTGTTACCCTACTATCACACCAAACTAGTTTTTACTACGTTCTCGAAAACGGGCTTCATCTGTGTACGGACGGACTGGACGTACTTAGAACCGTTTGGGGTCTTTTTACAAACTTCATCGAACGTACTCGAACGGGTAGATCCCCTAGAACTTAGAACATGCTCAAAATGTTCTCGTGGTCGATACGTTCTACAATTAGAACGAGTGACAACGTACTACCGACGAGCTGGACGTACTACGAACGGAAACGTCGTACTTCAATCCTACTAGGGACGTTTTATCAACGAGTTGAACTGTCTGACATGTCTGAGGACGTATTGAGAACGAGGCAGAACTAATTGCAAACGAGTTTAAATTGATTAAGAACGTATTTAAGACTGCTTATGAACGAGTTAGCAAAAATATAGCTACACAACAAGTTGCCACTGCGTTCTTCAAAACTGGTTTTAAACTGTTTGCGAACGGAATGAACGTAGCTGCAACTTTTTAAGGTCTATTTACGAACTTCATGATCGTTCTCAGACGGGAAGGTGATTTTAGAATTTTGAATCGATTCAAAATTCGATGGCGACCATACCGTTCTGTAATCAGGTCATGATGACCTTCTAGACTAAGGGACGCGTTATACGACGTTGCACACCCACTCTACTATACCTAACCCCTAAAAATGCATAAGATACTCTGTTTGTCTAATTGTATCGTTTAGTATATTTTTGAAAGTATCGTATTAACATCTAACGTCATCCGATAAACCATTCATAAGGAACAGACAAATAAAAACAAATATATAATTATTACTAATAAGCCAAATGGGTTGCTCATGAACACCAAATGCAAGGTATAGTAGAGTGACACCGACGTGGTGCGACCCGAACGAACTGCGAACGAAATGGACGTATTGAAGACTGTTTAAGAACGAAGTAGCTAATTATTTTAGACATATTTCCCGACCACAGCCAGATTGAGCCCGTTTTACGACGTTTTCGTAGGACTGGCAAGAACGGGTAAGAACTAGTTTGGTGTGATAGAGGGGTTAATACACTTGTACAACAAAGGTTTACACATCATCAAAGAAAATAACAGTAAAATACTGAATTTCATGTTTTTTCAAGATATTTTTTCAAATTCAAACAGTACGCCTGGGCGTATTTTGCGTACATGACGATACGCGCCTGTTACTGTATGAATAATTATTTGTGAGATTTCAGCTGAATGTTCCAAGTTTCTCTGATTGTTACATACATGTACTCCTGCATATTATTGATGATTTGTGATCACCAGATGGATTCTATCTTGTAGTGACGTCACAATTAGTTATTAGGCCACTTTGCCATAGCTGTTTGATTTTTGAGAGATTATCTTCTGTATTTCGTGCTTTATTGATTTATTTTTCACAAAAGTGTTTGATTTGACTAGATCAACATTCATTCTAATTCATTCACATGGCAAGTCTAGGATCTTACTGATATGATTTAGATAGCGGTTAAGCGCCCCCCGATTTTGAAAAAAACGGGGGTGCTTATTGGCATCGATGTTTAGTATGAATTTCATCAAAACTTACTTCACACATATAAAGATATACTCATGATCTAATCAAATTGGCATACCTGGTAAATATCCGACCCATGGTTTTCATAAAAGAAACTATAATATTTTCAGCTCAAAACTCATGTCGTCATGTGTCCGCCATTTAGTCTCTCCATCATGTCTAATATCAATTTTATATGACGTTATGACAACAGTATCCATAAACAAAATACCTGTATTCTGGTCAATGATCATGACATGTGATATAACATTTTACTTTGAAAAAATCATGATCGAATTCAACCTCATATTCTTTCTGTATCAATAAGTACAGCAGACTACTAGTATAAGAATGAAGAACTGGATATTGCATATTTTGTATTTGTTTATTTTCCAGATATCAATGCGTCTTTTAAGAAACTGGACATTGAAGAAAGCAAAGGTAATCTTTTCCTATATAATGCAATTTTATCTGAAATTTAAATATATTAAAGAATGTTTCATACTTGCTGTCTACTCAGTTTGGCCATAATGATTTTGAGGAAAAAGTTTATCATTTATGTAGTGCCCTGAAATGCCTGTTGGTGATGCATACATTATTGGCAAAATGCTCTTAACATCATTAGTACATGAAGCAAATCTAAATTCTACATAGTGCCACCTGTGATTTGGTCCCTCATGTTCATTGATAAAAAGGTGCAAATTGCAATTAGATTTTCTGGGAACATTCATTGATGTTAAAAACCAAATGAAGTAAGTCTACTGTATGCTTTTACAAGAAAAAATAACCACCCCTTACTGCATACTATCAACCAATCAATTACATGTTATCTTTTTCAGATGAATTAAATATTCTATTAATTGGAGCAGGTGATATAAGACACATACTCAAAACTGTTGCCAGATCATACCGTTGGTCAAAGAAAAAGATACATGTAAGTTTACTGGTTACTATATCTAGTAAATAATTATATTATTTATCAACCTTTAAATGTATTTTTGTATATGTATATATATATGAAACTAGCCTAAGTAAGTGTCCAGGTTCAGGGTTCAGGACAAAGGGTGAAAACATGAGGGACTCATTTTAATAGATGTACAATCAGTTCATTGCCCAATAATGCGATTAACAACCACATTTTCCAAGTTCATGAGGCAAACACATTCCAAGTTCATAAGGCAACCACATTTTCTAAGTTCATGAGGCAACAAGATTTCAAGTTCATGAGCCAACCATATTTTCCAAGTTCATGAGGCAACCACATTTCCAAGTTCATGAGGTAACCACATTTCCAAGTTCATGAGGCAAACACATTTTCCAAGTTTATGAGGCAGCCACATTTTCCAAGTTCATGAGGCAACTATTAATTTCAAACATTGGTCTGGTCAATTTAACCAGTATCCATCAAATATATTTATCAGCAAATAAATAAGGTTTCATTTTTGGTGACATTGACAAAGGAGTCCTCTGTTCATGTGATGCTTCATATAGTTATCACAAATGAATTGAGCTTTTATCCTCACCTCCAAACATATACTTCTGTTGGTAGACAATGTAGATAAGAAGTATATATTATATTTACTAGATCGGTACTTAACTCAATTTTTCAATAGTAATGTTATGTCATCAAAGTTGCATGTTAATGTATAATCTACATTCCTATTTGTTCCCACAGTATTATCAAACTTTGGGGAAACTAAATTACATGAATATACAATATTGTAACTATTCTTATTATATGCAAGATGAAGGCTTATTTTTTCCATTTTCTAAAAATGGAAGTTACCTGAGGAGTAAATTTCTAAGCAGTCTAATTCCCACTAGCAATTATTAATGCAGTTGCTGTTTTTTCCAGTTCTATGTTGCTGAGAACAACTTGGAATTATATGCTAGAGATCTTCTCATGATGACTGTAGCTTTAGAGAATCAAGGCAGGATGGGATTGCAGGGTATGTTCCAGCTCAGTCTTTTATTAAACAGCCAATGCGTCTTGAGGACAAAAAATTATTTGAGACATTTTACTCACACACTCAATCAAATATGATAAAAACTTTAATTTGGGTCAATACTGAAGTGAAAAAAATTACTTGCATAGAAAACAGCATTTGAAGTTCAGAGATCAAAAGAAGTGAATTACCACTTTTCACAAAGTACAGTATATGTTTTAAATAACTCTTGGATTAAAAGATGGTGTATGGTTGAAATTCCTATCAAAAATGAATGTTTTTCAATAGCATTGCTAAACACTTGAAATATATAAATTGATAGATCGAAAATATTTTTTCATGATCTTGTTTCAACTCTGATGTGATCAGTTTGAGCTGTTTTTGGTGTCAAATGAAAGATCAGGTACTTATTAATCCATTGGAAATACTATGAAGAACAAATGTGAAACTTCATTTACACATTTTTTTCTTTAAAGCATCTAATTTAAGATGTTTCTATAATATTGAGCCATCTACAAATTACTGATAACTATGGGTTTTGAGGACTTGTATTGATGGCAGTTCACTACTGGTTGTTCTTCATACCCATCTCAGTCTTTGTAAAAAGGTTGCTATATTGTTTCAAAATTATGTAAAATAAAATGTTTTGTGCGATTTCAGATAAAACTGAGCTCTTCTTAGAGATATTTGGAAATTCCCAAATTAGATACCAAACTTGTGAATATGTGGAAAAAATGACTAATGAGTTTATAAAGTAAGTATATATTTGTATTGTATCTCTGGGTCTTAATCACGTTTCTTGATGTCTTATAAAAATCTCTTTTCACAGCCCAACCCTCAATGAAAAAAAATTAAAAAACAGACGTCTTTTAATTGTTGTATTATAATTATGAAAAACTAATAGGTTTACCTATTACATTATCAAGCTGATTGCCCGTTTGATGATGGTAATATAAATAGACTGTATGTATTGTAATTTACTCAACCCCTTTATACCTTAATGAAAACAAAGTGTTTGCATATTTACAGAATGGTCACAGATGATGATTACATGGAAAAGAAAATGCCAGTGTTTGATATGTCACTTTTAAAGGTAAGTGTATCAAGCCATTCATTTAACAATTTATCATGTATAAATCATTTCCGAGAAATAACTCCATTCTGATACTCAGACCATGCCTGTCTTGCAAAGAATGCTACTATATGGAACTGATAAAAGGTTGTAATCTGTATGCTGTATGCTGTATCGTGTACAGCGAAACCCCTGCCTCAAAGCAATTAATTCTTTAATACAGTATCTTTGCAATCAACTTTTTGTTTGTTTGAATTACTCAGTGCATGTCCATTTACATGTTGTATATTATAAATTAATTATGTGGTACCACATTGTAATACGTGTTTATTTAATCAACCCCGCGATGGACTTTTATGGACAGAATACTCTGGACATGTAGCCTACATGGTAGCATAGCATAGCATAGTGAAACTTGTAGTATGTTTGGCCACTTTATCTCTTATCTTACCCATTGCAATTGAGGAAAAATTGAATTCAAACAGAAGCATGCTTAACATCTAATGGGTTATCAGAAGTTTTGGGAGGGAATATTTCAAAGAAACAAAGATGTGCTTGGCTTAGCTCCCTCCAAAGTCAGATATATCAAACACTTTTGAAATCATTAAAAATTTGAATATTTGCTGAATAAGGATATTCCCAAAAAGTGATTGTACTGGACATTTATTTGGGACTCTACATGAGATTGTATTGAATCTACACACTCAAAGCTCCTAATTGTTTCAGTTTAAAGAACGTGATATGCTTGAAGGAATCTTGAAGTTTTGGAGGAACAAAGATAAAACTGTTTTCCCCATTGAAAAATTCTGGTAAGTCAGTAAAAACTTGTTTTAGTGTGAACAAAATTGCATGAGTGTGCAAATGAAACTGAAACATCTAAAATGAATGAATTAGATTGATTGAATGATTGATTGATTGATTGGTTGTGTGTCAATTGTTTGTTTGATTGGCTGACATTTCCATCATAGAAAACATAATACAAAATATCTATAACAAAAAATGTATTACACTTGGCTCACCTCTCGAAATATGATTTTTTATGCAGTATACAGGTTGAAACAGTATTAAGGTCACTGTGGAGCTCTAACAAATATTTGTATTATGTACAGGGGTATAAAGAAGAGGAGAATTCTAAAGATTTATAGAGCATAAGTACTAGGAGGACACTGCTGTTGAATGAATTATATTGTTTTCATCATAAGTTTTCTGTATGTGTCAAATACACATATATGGAGAATACACATATATGGAGAATACACATATCTAGACAATACACATATCTGGAAAATACACATATATGGACATAAATCAAGAAACTTTACCTTAAAATTCAAAAATGACTATTGATGACCATTGAACCCCACTTAGGATTCATGTGTAGACTACACCAAGCTTTTTTGGCAGGTTCATTCGCTGCAGAGTGAACATTTGAAGAAACAAAACCTGCAATGTTTTTATTATTAACCCCACCAGGGGCGTAGCCAGGAAAAGTCAAGGGGTGTGATTTTTGGGGTTCACGACTGCGAGTGAAGTGAGCTCCAAAAAGGGGGTAGGGGTGTTTACCCCCGAAATTTTACATTGTATCAAAAAAATTTACATTGTATTTAATAATATGTGGTGCATTTTAATCATTTCAAACTACAATTTGTTAATGTTTTTTCAACAAATTTTACAAAATTGCTTTTTCTTTCTTAGGGGGGTGGGGGTGCGCCACCCCTGGCCACATCCATGCCCACTAAATGTTCAATACATGCATTGACAGTTTAAAAACATTTTCTTGAAATGTTTCCATTTGAGCCTATGAGGCATTTAATAATTAATTGACAAGCTCTGAAACTGTTATCATTTGGAAACTATGAATTTGTCCCCTGGAAGATGGTCCATGATAAATAATCAATGTTAACTTGTGTCCTTGGATCAAATGTCTTTGAAATCCTTTGTTTGAAGATATTACAGATGGCACTGATTTGCTCAATTAGAGCAGGGCTTTTTTAATTTTTTGTCAGCTTTTCTCTTCCTTTACCGTATCCAAATGGTTTGTCTCCAATTACTTCACTATAGGGTGTGGTAATTTTGAATTAATTCTGACCAGTTTCTCAACTTTATAAATTCTGTGGTGAAATTAGATTTTGTCTGAAACCTTTGTTAAACAACCAATTAAACCATATCATAGTTGTCATGACGAGATTAGTCCTCATGGAGTACAAATTATAATTTTTGATGAAAAGTTATGAATGTATATTTGAATGTATATGTTACGAGTGATTATAACCATTGCTTGAAAAATATTCTCACATTTTCAAAACTGGTGTAGATTTTTCAGAAATTAAGAGTGAAATTAATTTTTCTCAAGAAAGAACCAATTATGGTATGACAAATATTTTAGAGAGTCACATCTTTGGCCATGACCATCAAAATAGTATGTTTTCTTTCAAGTGAAGTCCCCGGGATAATAGAATTATCAAACTGATACCCTGGAAAATCATGGATTAGGATCCTACCCAAGTAACACATTTTTCAAAATATCTGACTTATTTTCTGGAAAGAGGATATTATCACATAAATAGATTATTGTACATATACAATGAGAGATTTATAATCTTTGACACCAAAAGCCTTATTTGGAAGATTAAGTTTTGGTGACCAAAACTAGGCTGAAAAGAGTAGATAGCATGAGTTTTCCCCAATGAAAATAACATATAATATACTTTAGTGTCACACTCTGGTAGCTTTACCTTATCTATAAGACTAATTCTACTTATGGCTAATCTGTTTTTTTCAGTCAATAACTTTTTCAGTAAAGGGTTTTGTAATACATGGACAGCATTAATTTTAGGGATTATTCATCAAAACAAGCTAAAGTATTTTAGTGGTAAAGAGTTAGTAGTTACTTTCTAAACATGAAGGAAACAACAAGGAGGATCGCCATCTGTGTTTTAGTGTTATTCTCTATTTTGCTAAATGGCACTTTTTTGTATCATCATGGTCTGACATTAAGGAACAAGAATATAATGGTGCAAGAAAAGGATATCAGTGGATTGCCACGGCCACTCTGTTCATCTGTTGATACAACTATCAATCCATTTGATACATGGTGGAAAAATTACAGAAAGTCTGAAGATTTTGGAGATGTTATGAAATGGAATCATTACTTTGATATATATCACAGACATTTTGCGAGGTTCAGGAACAAAGAGGTAGGCTAGCTGTGATTTTGAAATCAAATATTTTTTTTCAATAGTGTTAAATACCCATGAACTGCTACAATTTTAGTTCCATGACAATGACTCTTTATGGCTTAAGGCAGTTATACACTTTAACAAAAAGTTGAAAGCAAGAAAACAAAATTTAGCATCTCTTCATAGTTCAATGTAGCATCACTTTATTGTAGCATATTCATACTGACATCATTTCAACGTAGCATCCCCTCATAATGACATCACTTAAATGCAGCATCCCATTATAGAAGCATCACTTCAATATATCATCTCTTCATTATGATAGCTCTTCCTTGAATCATCTTTTGATATGATATCACTTGAGTGCACCATATATTCAAAGTGACACTATTTTAATTTAATATCACTTCTCAGTGACATCACTTTATATCATCACTTTATTGTGACATATCATCACTTTGTTGTGACATTACTTTATTATGGAATCATTTCATTTAATAATGGTCATGTGTTAAATGTCATACACACAAATGCCAATCTGACTTACATGTTGCTTACTTTGCAGATGACTTTGCTTGAGATAGGAGTAAGAAATGGTGGATCCTTAAAAATGTGGCGAGACTACTTTGGACCAGGTGTACAAATCTATGGCATAGACATTGACGCCAAAACAAAACGATTTGAAAATAAACTCGAGGGAGTAAAGATCATAATTGGAGATCAGGGAAATGCAACATTTTGGACTGAAGCACTGAAAACATTGCCAAAGTTTGACATAGTTATTGATGATGGGGGGCACAGAATGAAGCAGTTGAAGGTTACATTTGATCATCTATATGAGCACGTGAAAGCAAATGGTGGGATTTATCTCGTGGAAGATCTTCATACAGCTTACTGGCATACAGAGTATAGTGGAGGCTACAAAAGGCCAGGAACTTTCATAGAATACACAAAAGATCTAATCGACCAACTGAATGCAGATCATAGCAGAGATAAGAACTTTATTGTAACTAATTTTACAAGATGCACACAGAGTATGCATGTGTACGACAGTATAGTTGTGTTTGAGAAGTCACCACATCCTAAATATGATGTAATAATCTCACAGTAAATCACAGATCTGAACTGAAATAAAAGTTTGACTCCGGAAACAAGAAACTCTTATAAACGTGTTGTTATATTTCCCGACATTGAAGCATATACACTTATAAAGTCACCGTTATTAATAAATCATACTTACTACATACAATGTAAATGTCTCTGCGTTTCAATTAATACCAACATATGTCTGCCTAGTCAGTTCATGTACCATTCAAGTATAATCCTTATATAAACACTGTTTATAGTTAACTTATTGAAATCAGTTGAAAGGTTTTGCAGAACATTTGTAGCTAAACATATCTAAAATAATATGTTTGAAACTTATGTACAATAATAGTGAATTTGCATTCAAGGCATTTCAAACTATAATTTTTAATGTTTTTTTGTTTCTTTTTTTCGTGGGGGTGGTATGATACATCACCCCCCCCCCCTGGCTAACCCCATGTTTACACAGGTTGATCAGTTAGCTCTGAAAGAGAATCATAAAGACTAGAACAGATATAATTTCAAATGTTTTTATGTACACCTCCAAAAGTGATGATGTATTGTTATAGTCACCATTGCTTTTTAAAATCAAACACAATGATAACTCCTTTTTAGTATTTTTCCTTCAGCATTTGTGCATGCCTATTACCTCACCATTTCATATTCAATTCTATCTAAGTTGCATATTGACCATAATTCCAACATTTGTTCTTTTACAAAATGCTTGGTAAATTGGTTATTTTGAATTTTCCATCCTGCAATCTTGTCTACATTGTCTTGTCCATTGCCAAATTTTAGGATCATCTTACTTTGGCATTTACTCATAATTCCCAAAAGATATGAACATATCGTACATGTTTGTGTCCTAATTTCTAACCTCATTAATTTTAATATAAAAGAATATTGTATCAAATAGTTCATTTAAGTTTTCTTTTGTTCTACAGGGAATACAGACTGAGACAGTATTTAGGCCAAAGATATGATGCAATCCCAAATGTATTTGACTGGGACTACAGTATGAAATTATTAGGAAAAGATGTAAGTGCTGAATTTACAATTAGAATTTGCTTTTCTTGCCAGGTTTCTTTACAGTTTTTGGTCCTCTCCCTTTGGGACTTGAGCATAGATATTTTAAACAATCTTGATTCACATAAGATAAAAGATAACTTCCGGTAAACATGGCGTCGGACGTAATTATGAACGGCTCCCGAATATCGGACTTAGATCCATGCATGGAACGTGCACTTGCCCAATGTGAGGCTATACCTCGCTATGAAGTGGCAGAAAACTTATTTATGGATTATGATGAAGGTGCTTTACATGAAGGACGTGAAATCTTGTTTCAAATGGCAACAGAAAAATTGGATATCAAATGTACAGAAATATATGGCCCACAATCTGCCCGGGGACTCGAGCAGACGTTGGAGCTAAAATTGAAGAACCGAAAAGGTGAAACTAAGAAGATAAGTATGTGCAATGATATTTATGAACTATATATCTATGTCAGAAATCTAGTGACTGATTTTCCGAGGTGTGTGCTTGGCACTTCAAGTAAAATCCCTGAATTAGTTACTCTCAAGGGGCAACGACAGAATCGGCCAAATAACGTAATTCAACCATCTGTTTTGGACTTGTCTGCTAAAGTAACGGAATTATCTATGGACATCCGTAAACTTAACTCTGATAATGAGAAGATAAAGAGTGATTTACAAGGTAAAATAAGGAAACTGGAAAGCGAAGTTAAAAAGCTAGAGGAGAAAGTAGGTCATTTGAAAAACAATAACACTGGTCAGTTGGCGAATACAGCCAATAAAGCCAATACATGTGAGCAACGCGGCGGGGTAATTACCAATCTACCTGAAAACATTGCACCCATTTCAGGGCCTGTGAATCAATTGGTATTACCTGATTTGAGGCCAAGGAATCAACAAACTATTATTGATAATCCGATGAGTTTCAAACATCAAGCTAATACTGTTACACGAACCCGAAACATTTCTGAGGTCACAAAGACTTTGATTGGAACTACTGACTCGCAATCAGCTTCTGTGTCAACTCAAGCAAGATCTAGTGAACTAAAGTCAACTGCCGATGCGGATAAAATACAAGATGGCGGTATAGCGCAATCTACGTCAGATGTACCTAGCCAGGCTCCTGCTGTTCAAACACGCGACGTTGATATTAAGCTTTTATGCCAAGACAAAACAGATCATAATGACAGTAGCCTACCCGATGTTGATTGGGTTGAAGTAATGCCTAAACGGAAAAAGAGGCATAACACTGCGCCGATTCCCAGTATGATGGTTAAGGAAACAAAGCCGTTAACGTTTGCTAATGTTGTGAAAAGCTCTAAACCTACACCCAAGCCGATCCCCAGTCCCGTGAATAAGAAAGTGTTGAAATCTGCGATGAAGCCTGCTCGATTGCTTCGAGGTATAACTGCTGTTAAACATGTGACTTTATATGTTGAGAACATTGCAAAGGACGGATGCGAGACGGATAATGACATTGTACTACAATTGAAGGACCACGCATTAACGCAGGGTATTAATATTAACAAATGCTGGGTTGTATCAAATAAATATAGCAACACTCGTGTCGGTTGTAAGATAACAGTTCCCGTCTTCTCTGTGGTTAAAGCCCTCGATTCAAACTCCTGGCCAGATCCGATTTGCTGCAGAAGGTGGGAATATAACAGAAGAAATGATACTCGGTCCTATAGCGCCTTTAAACGAGCTTTAGGCAGGAGAGATAATGATGAATCGAGAAACTGTAGTGATAACAGTATCAACTATGAAGACATTTATGAATCAACAAATGAGTACTATAGGAACACTGTATGGGATTCGCGCGGCAATAATCGTGTGTTCAATAATGACGACAATGATTGGTGAATCTCTGACTATAACAGCCTGGAACGCAAACGGATTAAGTGCCTCTAGTCCGTACCTAAAAACATTATTGTCTTCCTCTGATATCGTCTGTTTAAGCGAGCACTGGCTCTATGAAAGTGCTCTTGATAATTTGAGAACGTTCGATCCACTTTTTGACTGTTTTTCTGTGAGTAGTAAGACATTAGATTCACTTAACCAAGGTCATCGGATAGGTAATGGGGGAGTTGCTATTATGTGGAGGCGATCCCTTTCAAACTATATTTTCCCACAAAAGAAACTTGGTGATAGTGATAGATTTATTGTAGTCAAAATTGCTCAACCAGACTCGAGAAACATATTTCTTATCTCAGCGTACATGCCACAGCGTAATTGTAAAAATTATGTTTTTTCAGAGGTCTTAGATGAACTCGAAGATGTTATAACAACAATGAAAGATGACGGTGATATTATTCTCATTGGTGACTTAAATGTTAATTTAGGGCGGTTGTATGGTGTTCGTGGAGCTGGAGTGATAAGTAAAAATGGCATCTTGTTAAATAATATGGCATTAAGATGTAATTTAAAAGTTGTTGATCTAACAGAAAAATGCACAGGTCCTGAATACTCTTTTTATAGAGAAAATGTTGGAAGGTCATACATAGATCATTGCCTTATATCTGAGATATGTAAAGTTAAATATGTTAAAATTCTAGAAGAAGAATTATTAAATAACTCTGACCACTTACCTTTGCAGGTTGTTCTCGAAACCACTGCGTCGGCACCGATCACTACTACTCAGCACATAAGCAACTCTCTTACCAAACCAGCCTGGAATAAGATTGATAGCACCAGTTTATATGAAAATTACACACGCGTTGTTAGTGAACGCCTTGCTCCACTAATTATCCGTGTTAGACAGATGATAGAAAATCGAGAAATGACAACAAATGATCTAAATACGATATTCGATTCTTCTGCATCTAGAATATATCCCTCTGAGTTTTAGACTTGGAGTCTTAGTTCCTATTTTTAAAGGAGGTAATAAAGATAGTCTAAATAAAGACAATCATAGGGGAATAACTCTTATTTCTACATATATGAAAATACTAGAGAAGCTGATGGTTGACAGAAGTAAGAATGTTAAATTATCAGAAGAAATATCGTGTTTGCAAGCTGCGAATAAGGAAAAAACATCATGTCTTCATACTTCTTTTTTAACAAGAGAAGCCATCAGCCATGGGTTGGAGAATGGTGATGACGTCATTGTGACGTCAGTAGACATCCGTAAAGCCTTTGACAGTGTGTGGCATGCAGGTCTATTGTACAAGATTTTCAATATTGGGATCAATGGGAAACTTTGGAGAATCTTGCGCTTAAGCTATATGGATTATAAATGTGCAATACGATGTGGATCAGATGTATTATCGGAACCTTTTAGCATTTCCCAGGGTGTCCATCAAGGTGGTATTTATTCGATGGAATTGTACTCTTTATATATGAATAAACTCTTAATTGACATTGTAGCAAGTGGCAGAGGAAGCTCGATTGGTGACATAGTGTGCACATGCCCGTCTTACGCGGATGACACTGTTATCATCGGATATCATACGAAATCTGTTCAGTATATACTAGACCTAATGCATGAGTATAGCAAAACCTGGAGGTTCAAATATCATCCTGAAAAATGTAAAGTTGTAATTTTTACGAACAGGAAAACCATGACTGATCACGCTGACCTTAAGCTTGGCGAAAGTGTTATCCCAGTTGTACGATCAACACAGCATGTTGGCCTACCCCTGTCTACAGATAGCAGTAATAGGGAATTCATTGATGATGCGATATCTAAAGGACGCAGGTCGATGAATGCGTACATTGGAACTACTACCAGCTGTACAAACCCAACGAATCCTCTAACTGCTTCTAAGTTATATTGGGCAGTGAGTGTTCCTTCAATGACTTTCGGTATGGAGCTGATACACTTTAATGAGGCAGAATATGAGACGCTAGAGCAAGGGCATCGGGGAATAGGCAAAAAATTGCAGGGTCTCCCGGTAAACACACCCAATGTTGCCGTTCTACCTCAGCTCGGATGGCATAGTATAACTTCCACTCTCATAATAGCGAAAATGATGTTCTTATTACAGCTATTATCGATGGCCATTGGTTCAGTGTACAGATGCGTTGCGATCAAAAGAATATTAGCTTACAGAATAGGAGGAAGGCAACTGAGCAAATTCTCACCAATAAATGATTTTATGATACTTGCCGAACGATATGGAATATTGCACTTAATATATGACATGATTGACTCGACCACCTTGCCATCTAAAGACTTGTGGAAACAGAAGGTTGGGACAAAAATTCGAGATTATGATCTGAATCGATGGAGAAGGGAGGCGACTACATATCACAAGTTAAAGCTATACACGGACATTGTTCAAAAAGTCAAACCAATAGTATGGTGGACTATAGCCAGGCAAGATGCTAGATATATCCGAAGATGCTCTCTTATGGTTCGACTACTCACCAGCCAAGGTAATCTGAGAGTAAACGTTGGAGAATGGGAGGGAATTCCAATGCGGGATAGACTCTGTGAACTGTGTCAGCATGAAGTTGAGACTTTAGAGCACTTTACGTTGTTTTGCCCAAATAACAATGAAAACAGGACCCAAATACAAATAGTGATAAACAGATATTTGAATGATGAGCACGTGACGACTTCTAACAAACTGAAATTGGTCTACGGAGGCGATGAGCGTGTCAGTCATGATGAACTCAAGGCAATGTCCAGTAATGTACGTGACATGTATATTAAAAGAACGGAGAAAAACTGAAATCCACATAAGAATGGTGGGAGTAGTGATCGGTTGCCGAGGATTTGATGTAACGATTTACCTAATTAGTAAATAGGTTTAAGCAAAGATATTTTACCGATATGAGTCTATGTATATAGTTTTACCAAGATGAGCCTGTAATACACCTATTAGTATGTATTTATATTTACAATGTGATTTGGTTTGATAAATGATAGGTGGACAATATCTTATTGTAGCTAAAGGGTAATAGGTAAAGTGTAGGTTAACTGACGGCGTCAACGCGGTAGCCTGGCGTCCGTCAACAGCAAATATTAGGTGGAGAACTTGTCTTTCTTATTGTATGTAACAGATAGTAGTCACTTGACGGCGTCAACGCGGTAGCCTGACGTCCGTCAACATCAGGGATTGGTTGTAAATAAACATTTTAATTGTTTTTATTTTTGTATGTGTCTTTTATATGTATTGTAATAATTAATTATTATTATCTCCAAAAATGGAGGCGAAATAAATATAATAATAATAATAAAAGACTGTTACGGTATGTGTAGTTGAATAATGAATGTTGCAAAGCCAATATTATGAAGATATAGAAGATGTTTAGTGGGAGGGATGAAATATGAATTTTATTCCTAGGGAAAATATGATATTGGCCAAGGAAAATATCACATTGACAAATATCACAATCAATGGACATCAGAACCATCAACTACCTATTTATTTCATAATATTTTATCTGAAACTTATTCATTTTCAAGTTTGGTTTGGTCATCACCCAATGATGGTGACATAAAATTATACAATTTAATTCATCATATAACCCTTTCAACTTTTATTAACAAGTTTTAAAACAGAACGAAAATTGTAAAAATCAAGTGATATCCCCAGGAATAGTTCTGATACTGCATCTGATTTTGACTGATACAGGATCCAATACAGGATATGATATGGGTTTTGGCTGATACAGGATTTTTTGAAAAACGATTTTATTCTCTGTTTATTTCCCAGCCAAAACATGTTATTATAGAATAAAGAATATTCTGCTCTGTCATGTATACGTATATATGTTTTTGTTTAGGTTAGTATAATACGAGGTTCAGAGTATAGCAGTTGGAGAACCAATGGTGTTGCTTTTGAGATACGAGAAGGAAACTACAATCAACCAAATAAAACTCTTGCCTCAGGCCTCACTTTGAAAAAGGTATGGTTACAATGATAAAAGTCGCTGCAAGTTTCTATAAAATTACATAAAGACACCAAAATGGAATATCACGTCTATATTATATAAAATATTTTAAAGAAATATAGAAAAAATTTCTTCGATGGGTCTCTGCCGAAATTCTTGTTTATAATATGTTTCTTTAGAAAAACATTTGATGGATTTAATTGATTCTCACAATAATCTTGATCTGATGAAAATGAAAATCTTGATCTGATAACTTTTTGGGTTTGCTTGGTTAAAGATTCATTGCAAGTTCACGATATTTATGTTTATGCTTCCACAAAGGTGGGGATGTATTGTCACTTTTGTCTTGTATTCTTTTGTAGGATGGAGAGCGTATCTTACGCCGTGGATACTGGGGAGATATTATAGTCAGCCCATACATCTCTTATGGAATAGATTGTGAAGAGAAATCATTCTTCAAAACCCAAAACAAGCAACATGTCAAGGTGAACATCATGTTTAGGCCAACAGCATTTCAATTTAAACATCAAGACAGAATAAACAACATTTTAGTTTAAACATCAGCATCATTCCTCCTCCAGCTTTTTCCTGTACATGTACTCATATTGGTTAGGAGTGCCATTCTGCTAATGCAGAATTTTATTTTCTAACTTGGGAGGGCTAGTGGCCTCCTCTCTGCTTGGTTTTTCTCAAATCACCCTAATCCAAGCTTAATCTTTCTTCAGAGTCCCCTTTGACAAAGTTCATAAAATCATGTCTTTTTAATTGTCTTACAGTCAGCAGTAGATGTATCTGAATACAATATCTTATCTATGCTATATGAACTACAACACAAGTCTAGATACATACCTCCTGAACCTTCAGAGGAGAAAACAGATAGTGGAAAACAACAGGCTACATTGACTGGTTAGTGTTATAAAGTTTTTCATTAGTAATTTAGTCTCCCCTAAATATTTCGAAATGGGCAGGGTTTATCATTGTATTATATTATTCTGTTACTAAGCTAGTCTAGTACAAGTTCTATGTGTAGAAGTAAGGTCCTTGAAATATATCAGAACAACCAGGATTCCATCATGGTATTATTATTACGTCACCACCAAAAGTAGTGACATATTGTTATGGTCTCCATTTTTGTGACAGCGGTTGGCATCTGCAATTCGGCATCTGTAACAAATGAGAGGTGGTGACATTTTTCATGTTCAAGCATTGTACCCCAGGTGTATGGAATGAATTATGCTTTACAATCTTTATTTTAGAAAACATGCTTTACAATGATTTCTTGTCTTGCAACGAATGCATGTTTTACAATGAAAGAATGTCTTGCAGTTAATGTGTGTATTGCTGTGAATGTACATCTTACTAGACATAAGTACCTTATGTTTGTTACAGAAATCACAGAAGAAGACGAAGAAATTGAGGCTAGTGAAGAATCTCCTCTTGAGAAAGTCAATCTCCTTGATAAAGAATACAGTAAGTGACACTTATTATTACTTCTTGGACACTCAGTAGTGTATGCAGTCTTTGTCCGACAATTACCTACATTGCCTCCCTGTCCTCTGAATGAAATTTTACACTTTTAAATTAACAAAGTGACCTTTTACTAACCACCCACTAAACATAATCCATCATAAATGTATATAATTGCGAATTATTCAGTGTGAAACTTATAGGTAGTAAGCTAGCACCCAAAAATGTATTAGTTCGTGAACAAATTGAAATTACTTGTTTCCTATGTATTTTTATGTGATACTTCAGAAAATGTTTGTCTGACGCGCCGTATCCGGGGCGAAAGTTGTCAAATTGGCGTTTTCGACCCTAAAATGGAAAATTACAGGGGGTACTTTGTCATCACTCGATAAATAATTCTGTTAGTCTTCAATCATCATAATAATTTTATGGGGAGTTGATTGGATCATGCTGAGGTAGTATGTAAAATTCCAATGCTCTGTCACTCATGGTTGTCATGGAAACCACAATTTTCGTTCAAAATATCCTTAATTTTGCAAAACCTGAACATGTACATCATGTAGAATATGGATTATTTTTCGAATCAATACATATCAGCACATTTTAGCACACTCAAAATAACCAGTACAGTTCAAACATTTGTTTAAATATAAAGGATATTGCAATTTACATGATTGGTCAGTGTCAAAGAACATACAATTACATGAGTGATCAAAAGTGGGCGTCGCCCCCATAATAGTAGATGATTGCTATACTCTATAAAAACAGAGTTTAACTTGACTTTTGAGATACATTTACACTAGACTTATTTGATTATATTTTATATCAAGCATTTCTGGTAAATAATGTACATCTAAGTGTCATAGTTATTGCATGGGGGGGTACAGAGGGGGCTAGTAAAAGAATTGGGAGGAGGCAGAGCTAATCAGCCTTAAGTATAAATCTCATCTACATATATCTGGATTTCATGGGGTACATCTTCTGCATGGGTCTTCTTCATATTCATCTCAGTATATGGGATATTACAACTTACATGATTGGTCAGTGTCAAAGAACATACAATTACACAAGTAATCAAAAGTGGGCGTCGCCCCCATACTAGAGTAGATGATTGCTATTCTCTTTAAAAAAACAGAGTTAAACTTGACTTGAGATACATTTACATTGGACTTCTTTGATTATACTTTATATTTTCTGGTAAATAATGTACAATTCAGTGCAATGGTTATTGCATGAGGAGGGGTGAGGTTAGTAACAGAATTGGGAGGGGGCAGAGTTAATCAGCCTTAGGAATAAATTCTTTCTTTTGGACTTCTTCATAGAGTATTTTCTGGGTCTTCTTAGTTATCTCAATATACTGTATATAGTTAGCATTAAGTATCAATTTCATATTCAGAGTTCTGGATTTCATAAGATACATCTTCTGGAGTCTTTCTGATTCATCTCCTGGTGCTATATCAACAATCATTTGTCTGAGAATACCAGTCAATACCCAATGCAATGGTGGAGTCATTCAGTTTCCATCCATGTCCATCTTCTGCTGGAATGTCAGGGTTTACAATATCACAGGCTGGTATCGAAATATTTGTCCGCTGTGACGGAGCATGCTATTTTTCATAAAAACACTAAGAATACTTCACGATTTATTTTTTAACTCATATGTTTCGTTATACCATACAAAATTACTTACTCCAAGCAATGGATATATCATTTGCGGGTAACTTTCACTTCTGTTTGAAGTCCAATTACGCTGGGAAGAAAAGCTATTGAAAATGACGCCGGAGTATCATACTTCAAAATGTACCATTTCTTGTTTAACTTTCTAATGGCACGATATAGTGACACGATAATATTTACACATGGTTTCAGCATAACTATGAAGGTATAAATGAGTTGTTGAAGTATTTGGTCTTTTTAATTCTTTTATAAAAAATAATGTTTAATTTTTTTGTCCGCTGTGACGGAGCAGTTGCAAATGTGAACCGTGAAAATGCTCCATCACAGCGGACAAAAAATATTAATATTATTTTTTATAAAAAAATTAAAAAGACCCAAATGCATTAATATTTCATTAATACATTCAGAGTTATGCTGAAAACATATGTTAATATTATCGTGTCACTATATCATGCCATTAAAAAGTTAAAAAAGAAATGGTACATTTTAGAGTTTGATACTCTGGCGCCGTTTTCAATAGATTTTACTCCTAGCGTTATTGGACTTCAAACAGAAGTGAAGGTTACACGCAAATGATATATCCATTGCATGGAGTAAGTAATTGTCTTTGATATAACGAAACATATGAGTTAAAAAATAAATCGTGAAGCATTCTTAGTGTTTTTATGAAAAATAGCATGCTCCGTCACAGCGGACAAATATTTCGATACCAGCCTGTGAATATGGGCCATATGCACGATAAGTGCTTTGTAGTAAGCTCTTGACAAGGTGGAAGAAGACTGATGTCGGTTCCTTCATAGTCTTTGATTGTTTTATGGGGTCTAAACTTCTATTTCAATTGGTTTATGTGGTTTTGCTGGTGTAAGACATTGTGGCTTAACATAAATGTTTTTTTATTATATTAATCAGTCTTCTTTTGTTTGTCCAGCACTACACTTTGCTGTATTCTGTGCTTATCCTAACACATTGATTGAAGGACTTATAAATGAAAGATATGTAGTCTTTAAAATGCACATGAGAGATGGATTGAAAATGTGTTTATTCCTTGTGACAATATTACTCTCTGGGCCCATATGGGCCCTAAGGAAATATCATACTAAATTTCATGGATTCTCTGATGGGTTGTTTTGTTTCTGGAGCTGGCAGAAAATACATGTTTTTCAAGATACTTCTAACAGCAGAGTGATTATGTGATAATTAAATCCAAAATTCTATAAACGAACCTGATAGGAGAAGAAGTGGGTGGTGGCACATCACCTTATCAAATGTAGAAATACATGAGTCCCTTAAGATTGGAATGAGTTCATGAATAAGGATGCAAACAAGAAGCAACTATACCAGTTACACTTAAAGCAGATATGAAATGGTATTTTTAACCTAAAGGAAGCAATATAATTTTTTGATAAATGTATTTGGACATGTTTTCTCATCAGTAGTGTGAAAACTATTTCACTCTAACGATCGTTATAGCTGCTTAATAAGCAATATTCGAATTGGTTGTGACGTTATTGGCCCCCACGTGATCTCTCACTGGTCCCCACGTGGCCCCCTGTTTTGGTCCATTAGATCATGATGTCATAATGCCAAAATGTTTTGTTATTTGTTTACACAATAATCCTATGGTTGCCGTGACGTTGTGATTACTAAGGAACCAATAAATCAAAGCTATATTTTGAATATGACGTTACCAATCATGTGGGGGCCAATTTGATTGATCAGTTAGTTTTATTTCGTTATCTATGACCGTTAGCAGTTATCTAACATTCATTTTAAAATGGCTATCGCAAGAACTCTACGTTGGGCTTACAATGGAGAAAACCGCATTTTTGTAGCTGCAAGTTGAGAAAAGCTATTTCAGTTGTCCTCAGTTAATTGAATAAGACCAGAATATGCCAAGAAAAAATCTACTGTGTAGCAGGTGGGAAATGCCATATCCTTTCCAGTGATCATCATGATAAACCATGAAATTTTATTTCTTCCCAGCCCTTCAGGTGAGACAGAAAGATGCTATGAGTATCAGAATGTCTAGTTATGGCAATACAATTAAACAACTATAGATGAGCCTTCTCATAGTCTGATCATTTTCATTCTTGTGATTTATCGCATGATATTGATATATAAACAATCTCTCAAGAGAAAATACCACTAAACACTTGCAGATTTGAGAGTCATTCAGCTGGGACTCAATATGGTGCTCCATCTTTTTAAAATGTGCTATCCTGCCCCTTCAAAGCCTGGCACTTACTTCATCTAGCGAAGGTATGAAGACTGCATATATTATGCCAGGCCCTAGATGGGAGTAGTAACAGAATAATTGGGAGGGAGTAGAGCTCCCTCCTAGGTCTGAAAACTACTATTATGAAGGTGATGATGCGTACTTTTGATCACTTATGTAATGGTATGGTCTTTGATACCAATCATGTAAAATGTAGTACCTATATATTGTAATGAAAATGAAGAAGACCCAGAAGATGTAACCTCTGGAAATCCAGAACTATATAAATGAGAATTATACTAAGGCTGATTAGCTCTGCCTTCTCCAAATTCTGTTACTACCACCCCCCCCCCCTCCGCTCCCCATGCAACAACTTTTACACTTATATGTACATTATTTACCAGAAATGCATGATATTAAGTATATTTAAAGAACTTCAATATAAATGTATCGCAAAAGTCAAGTTAAACTCTGTCTTTTCAGAGAATGGTAATCATTTACTATTATGGGGGCGACGCCCACTTTTGATCACTTATGTAGTAGTATGGTCTTTGACACTTACCAATTATATAAATTGCAATATCCTTTATGCTTAAACAAATGCTTGAACTTCCCTGGCCATTTTGGTTGTGCTAAAATATTCTTATATCTGTTGATTTGAAAAATAATCCTCATTCTATATTATGTCCCTTTACAGGTTTGGCCAAAATTAAGGATTTTTCAATGAAAATTGTGGTTTCCATGGCAACCATGAGTGACAGGTGATTGAACCTTAACATACTACCTCAGCATGATCCAATCAACTCCCCATAAAATTATTATGATGATTGAAGACCAACTGAAGGATTTATTCAATGATGATAAAGTACCCCCTGTAATTTTCCATTTTAGGGTCGAAAACGCCAATTTGACAACTTTCGCCCCGGATACGGCGCGTCAGACAAACATTTTCTGAAGTATCACATAAAAATACATAAGAAACAAGTAATTTCAATTTGTTCACGAACTAATACATTTTTGGGTGCTAGCTTACTACCTATTAAGAGCATGAATCTACATTTGATTCAAGGTGCCATGGCGCTAGATGATGTCAAGATCACATTTCTCCCTATTGGTAGTATTGGAGACCTACACAAGAAGGCAAAATTCCAGAAATTGTTCAACACAATATATTTCTCCAACAGGTATGTCATGATTTTCAGTGGATGTCCACATTTATCACATGATTTATATTTTGAGTGCCATAACAGCTTTGATATCAGTGTACAATGCAATGGCTCAAGGAATAGGCTGCAAGGTAGGCCACTCATATTTTTTTTGATTGGTCATTCCCTGATGTGGATGCAATATGCATGCATAATTCCATAATGTGGATGCAATGTATTTTTTGAGCTGGCTGATGTGAATATCAGCTCTAATGAATGAATCTACTTGCTGAAGGGCAAGTGAATATTTGAACTAAATATCTGGATGAAATAATTGTTGTTCTGAGAATTTTTAATGATTGTAAGTTCCTTCATTGCAATTTACAATTGATCTTCTTCAATACGTGTATTTCATTTTGCAGTATGGTCCACCTGCTCAACCAAGACTTAAGTGCTGTATTTGCTGATAAAGCCTCACTTGTACTGGAAACTTCAAGGTAAAAATGCATGTTGCTAGTTTTATCGAAGCATCGTTATATTTAAGTTAAAGATAGTAAGTCCTCTAGACCTCAATTTTAAAAGGTGGTTTTGGACTCCAAGAGACTTTAAAACTTTAGTCTATAAATGGTACTCTTGTAAATGTGAAATGGATATACTTTGAAAAGATACTAGATGCAAAGTGCTGCCATAAAAGTGAGTGTATATTTGAAAGTCCCTCTACCTTCATAATGTTAACCTATCCCAAATCTATTTGAAAATCATTGTAAATTACTCATTTTTTCAATGACAAGACTTTGGTTAGGTCCAAATTGTAAGGGTTGATGAAGACTCAAGAAGTTCAAAAACATCACTTCCTCACATTCATGAAAGTACAACACAAAGCTCAAGTTTGAAGACAGGGGCACCAAGAACACAGAGTAACATGTTTATTTCTTATTTAGATTTATGTTGGAGCTTACGAAGGAACAATCTCAGGAGTTTCTAACCAAGGTCACTGCAATGGCTCAAGGGATAGGCTGCAAGGTAGGCCACTCATTTATATCTCTATTTTTGGCGTACATCAAGTCCTTCAATTATATGAATGATTTTTATATGGTTCTTTACATATTTGAGATTTCAAAGGACTAAATATAGATTAACTAAGCATTGTGTGTTAGTAATTGAAGATCTTCTACTTTCAGGTGGCTAGTGATGCATGTGATGTTGAAAAGGACTCTTTCAAATGGTTCACATTTACAAGGTAGCATACATGTGTTAGTGTGGAAAATGATGTGATGTCCAACCATGAGGCCGCTACAAATATGAGGGTGATAAAACCATGAGTTGGTGACAATTACAATCATGAGGAAGCTCCCACATTTAGGCATTTCTAACCATAATGTTGCAACAGCCATGGAGTTCTGAAATTGGCATAGTTCTGGTCAGTATTGGCATGAGTTTGGCCAAACTGGCATGTGTAAATCAAAATTGGCATTTTTGCATATTGGCCATTCCTCTGGAAAATGAGAGCCCTCTTCTGATGAAACCTAGGGGCATAAACTAAATGACATGTGATAAAATACCATCATGACCATAGGACAGGACAATAGACTCAAAGGATTTATACACACAGTGATCTCCATATTATATGCTCAAAATGACTGTTACAATATGTCTTATACTCAGACTCAAAACTACCCAAAAATGTTTTTAATTTATAACGATCTATAAATTGCAATAAGAAAAAAACTTAATGCAAACTTTCTTTTTGAAAAAGTATCAAAGGTTTCTGTAGCTTTTTCAACTTTTCTATAGGCAATAAATCACAAATGACATGGTTGAATGATTGTTAAAAGGTATTAACAGAAAAATAAGTTTGTAAGTCTATTCATTGATGGGGTACATTCCAGGTCCTTATTAATTAAACTCTTGATTACCCAAAATGATGAATATCTCTGTCAAAGAGTGAGAGATTCTTCTCACAAGAAATTTTTTATCCATACAACACTGTCTTAAGATTTTGTTTTCAAGTGTGTGTTGTCAAATGGTGATTTGGGACTTTTACTAATTTAACTGAATTGAATACAAATATTGTATAATCTTATTTTGATAGAAACTGGCAAAAAATGAAAATCCTGTTTCAGATCTTGTTCAGAGACTGCTCTTGGGGAGGTTAAATATGCTAATTGATCTTAATTACAGAGTCTCAACTCTACTATTTTGTTATCAATGATTCCGTCCTGCCAGTTGTATTATACACAACTGTATACATATTTTCAGTGTTAAATAATATTCCAAGTTATTCCAATAGTTTGTGTAAAAATAGAGTTATTTTATACTGTGATGTGGAAATCAAAACAAATAAATGTTTAAAAAATATGTACTATTTCTTAAGTTTTAGGACTGATCTCGAAAATCCAATGGTATTTTGAAATTAAATGGCACTAGTCTGTATTTTTAGCTATATGTGAATATTTCAAATCTTTGGGGGGGGGGCTGTAACTTGCACTATTATGCTTTCATTAAAATCTTTTAAATACTAACATAAGACTATTACATTGACAATACAGAGTCGTATATCCATATTATTAAATCTTTTGAGCTGTTATGCTTGTGGGGTATGACATCTATTGAAAAAAGTGCATCTTGTACATTTTACAGGCATGATGCTCCGACCTAAATTCATGATTTCTCAAAATCTCAACCCCGTTGGTGTTATGTAAATACAAAGCAAAGCTACAAACATGTTTAAAGTATATTTAAAATACAGTTTATTCGAAAAACATGTAGATCTGATTACATTTATTTAAAGACAGAAAATAAGACACAAATTCAGAGAACTTGTTCACCATTGGTTGAAAGACCATTCCATCACTGATGCAAATAATAAATGTAACAACTACAAACAACATTTACCTAAGAAAACATTATTTTCATCCAAATATTTTAACTTTCACATTTTGTTAAAATGATGTTTATCCAAGAACAATGAATTCATGATCTCTTCAGTATACATTGAATTTTACATTCACAAATAATACAAATTCCACTTCCTCGTATAATATTCTCTCTTTGTAAAAGTGAAGTTAAGATTGCATCGATATAATTACTGTTAACATTGTATAGTTTTGGGATAGAATAAATCTCTCAAAAGTTGGTATATTTAACACTTACTTAATTAATGGAAAGTGCATGCATACAGCAAAATCCCTCCCTACATTAAATAGTATGTGGTAGTACATAATTCAGAAAAGTGCACAGAGAAGTACAAAATAGGATTTATATATACACATTGTATTCATACTTCCAGAGGTTGCCTCTAAATATAGCCTGTATATGCTAAACATCCTTAACATGTGAAGTCCATATGTTAAATCCACATAGATTGTTCTCTATTAGGCCTCATCCATGTACACAATAATGAGAGTATCAAACAGTTGACAGTAAAAGACTGAAGACCATTTCCAGAAATTGTTCATAGTTGATTGTGACAACCCCTCTTTGCTGAGTATCATGTTTCCTAAATGCATCTGTTAATGTCTGAAATAAAAAATGAAGATGACAGTAAAAATTTGAAGACTTCTTAAAATGTACAACACACAAACTATCAGTCTCAAAATTTTGAAACTTTGAAATGTCCTTGAAAATATTTTTCATGTGTATGTTAATACCTATATACATATTATCTCACATAAACTTATCTAGTTTTATGAAAACCTCAAAGATAAATGAATGAATGCTGTAAAGTTAGTTTTCAAAATGAAATGTACATGCTAAACCCATTCCTCATTGAAACATTTCAACATCAACAATGGGACTGTTTCCTTTATTTCAACTGTGCCATCATGCAAATACTTGAACACAGATACAGTAAAACTAATATGTGGTTCAGGAAACTGGACATGTAAGACATGGCTGCAATGCTATATGCAATGTTGATGTGAAAAAGTCAGTCGGTCCTACAGCTCGTGGCAGAACCAAGAAAATGAAGGGCCCTGTGATCAATCACCACTTGGGTCCCGAATTGAGTGGACTGACTTTTTCACATCAGCCCTTAGCACAAGATTTCATTGTTTTTCATTAACCAATTTGATCTTAATCTTACCTGGAGAGATACACAACACTGGACGAAATCATCAAATGCAATTGTGCCCCTTCCTTGTCTGTCAAACTTACGTACCAACATTTGGCAGAAGTTTGGTGACATCCTATAACCTGTAATAATAACACACAGTGATAAATACCACACTTTTTGAAAGATTCAAAATGGCCGACAAGTAATTCACCCAGCACGACTAGGGACAGTAATCGGAGCATATACCTATTACAGCATTTCTAAGATACCAATTTGATTTATACAAAACTGCATTATTTTCAAACATTAGTGAATAAAGTGAAAATATGAGATACAGTACATGGGGAATAAATTGAATAGTGTGGATGCTGATGGGAAACAACTTCAGTTGATTGACCTTACAGATGAATATGATTTCCAGAAATGTTGGAGTATTTTAGAACCAAACAGAGGTTAAGCCACTACAGTTGAATTCTTACCAAAGCTTGTAAGGGCAACATTAAGCTCTTGGTTGTCAATAGATCCAGAATTGTCCCTGTCATGACTCCTAAATGTAGTCTGCCAATCCGTCACATATTTCCAGAGTTGTTGGAACTCCTGGAAGTTTATAGTTCCACTCCTGTCCCTGTCAAACATTCCTATAAGAAAAGATCAACATTTTTCATGATGTTTCATAAAGTTGTCATTTCAGTTACTTATTTCATAACATGTCATTTAAGATCAAATATGAATGAGGCATTAGTATGCTGTTCGTTTGGTATGATAGAAGCATAGGCATAGCCAGGGATGCGATGGTGCGATCCTACCCCCCCCCCTCCGTAACCAATAACAATTTATTTGAAGCTTCTAGCTAAATTTTGAAGGAAGTTGCATCAATTTTTGTGAAATTCAATAAATCTTCAATTTTTGGGTTTCTTATGCCACAATTGCACCTCCGACTGAAAATCTGATTTTTTGGCGATATGAAAGCTCACTGAAAGCTGGCTACGCCCCTGAGAAGGTATCTTGTGCTGGAGAGCAAGGGTACTTGATGGAAAATAGTTCATAACATAGCTCACCTATCATCATCCTCACAGTCTCTGGGTTGAATGGGGTCCATGTTCCTGAAATAATTCATTCATGAATCATCAATAAATCATACATTTCCTGATATCATTTTTAAAATAACTGTTTTTTATATATTCCCCTGCAACTCCAAAATTGCTGAATACCAAAAAACAAGTTAAAGTTAACAATACCACTGAATTTTAATGTCAGTTTCCCATTTTCAGAATTTTCTATTTAATTACCATTAAATTCTCATTTACCATAAATCACACTCATCAGTACATGACAATGATTATATTGTGAAACATAGATGGCGAGTAAAGGGTTGTGATAACATATTCTGTGTCTAGCTGTTTCTGATAGAATACTATATGGCACTGGAATATTCCAGTGATATATTGATTAACTGTATTTGCAGTAACATGTACATTACATTAGAAACTAGATGTATTAGCAGCAAGATATAAACTACTTAAATAAAGCGAAACTCAGCTTAAGAAACTAATACAAGGCATGAACATGCAAAATGCCACCACCTGCTATTTGTTACATACTAGTATGCCATTGGTTACAGATGCCAACCACCAAGTGCCAAACACAAACTGCAGTCCATAAAAAAGTTGGGAGACTATAACAATGTCACCACCACCAATATATCACCACTTGTTATGGTGACATAAAAACTATCTAAATTTTGTAAAGGAAAACCAAGACCACCATATTCTATAGACCACCATATATGTCTTACCATTAGAGAGTGCCTGTTGTAACTCAGTTCCACTAATGCATCCACTTCTATCTTTATCTATCCTGGTTGAGGAGAAAACATACACTATAGTAGCTATGTGTCATCTTATCTGTTATCTATCTCACATACCCCATACATGTTGGGGAATGTTGCTATTATAATGTGCTGGTCATCATTTTATATCATAACTCTTAACAGACTGAGGATGGGACATCTCACCAAATTAAACTTTCATTGTTGGCTGCTAATGGTGTAACTTCTCTCCCGAAATGTTTTTCAAAATGTAGCCTTGCATCAGGTATCTGACCCCCCCCCCCTTTCTACTTTACCCATATGTTGGACATACAGGGGGAGTCACAAGCCATGAAGTGAAATGATTCAGTCTGTGGAGAGTTAAGGAAGAATGATACCAGCAGCATGGTGGTCATCGTTTTCTTTCACATAAATACAGTGCACAAAGAAGGCAGGATTTAAATGGGTCAGAAGCTATGTGATATACATATGTAGGCCTAATCATAAAAAAAATTGTGTGATGGTTACACCCTTGGTATAAGCAGTTACCTATAACCAGTGTCACAGCATGACTGTGGAGGGGTAAAGGTTATTTTTCTAATTCAAATCTATTAATTATCATTGACTTTTTCATGTCGAATTTCAAATTTGAAATCTATGATGCCTTCAGCTTGGAGTGTTTTTCCCATCCACCCAGTCTATTATCAGTAGCTGTATCTACCAAGGGTGGTTGAAGAGATACCAAAATGTATGGGATAAATTAGTTTTGATTCAAAGGAAAACCAATGAAAACATCTTATGTAAATGAAATGAAATTATGAAGAAAAGCCAGACCACCATGCATAAGAGACTGGTTAGAAAGGAGTAAGAAAGGCTAAGAAGTGGGATTACATTTTCTTATCATGTTGCTTGTTTGCTGCAATTTGCTGTATTTGTTATAAATACTGAAGTTAAGTTAAAGGGAAAATATTCATTTGCATCTTGAAATGGTGGGTTTAGTATTGGGATAATAATGGGTGTTGTAACGGAACATTTTCACAAGATTTATATTGATAATTTTTGTTTATCTAGATTATGATTTGATTTTGTACCTATATCAATTACAGTCCTCTTAATTCATTTGAATGACGTACAATGAAAGGTTGAAAGGTTTCATGAAAGGTTGGGTCTTTCAGTATTTCATTTCTATACTACAATCACTGCAACTAAACAGCAAACGAGCAATATTATAAGCAATCAACAAGATTTCATGCTTCGATCACATCATTCCAACTGGCATCAACATCAGAGAGCTGTTATTCTGCAAATAATTACCACATTAGTGGATTAGTGATCTAAGTGGTTTTCATTGTGAACCTAAAAGCAAATGTCCCTTACAAATTTTATCATGGTGTTTAGGTTCTTATAAAAACAATAATTTGAACAACTTCTTGTGAATGGTCTTTAAGATAATCAAGTTGATAATTTATACCATCATTCAACACTTTATTAATGTGGAAGTGATTGTTTTTTTCTTTTGATGATCATGATAAATTTTGTATGAGAAATCTGGGACATACTGTAACCCAGATTTAATTTCAGTGATCCTATATTTTGTTTTTTTGATTGAAATTTTGAATTTTGACACTAACTGTATTTTACCAAATGTTGCAGAAAGCTTCCAAAAAGCAATATTTGCATTCAAAACAAGGTAATAAAAAGCACAAAACATAAACGCACTTAAATTATACCAGTGTTACAGTGCTTCGGCACAGTATGTAAATAATCCCTGGGGAAATATAAAGCAACACAATTAATCATTTGCAACATATCATCATTTTATAACTCACCATTTGATAACGCCTGTCCCAACTCTATAGCAGATATTTGATTACTTCTATCTTTGTCAACTCTAAAACATTTTCAAAAAATTTTTTTGTTCATTTTCATGGATAATACTCAAAATGTGGAAATATACGTGAAGGTTCTCTTCAAGGGAGGTTGCAGGAACTTCTATCTATTTCTTCCTCTCTGCAAAATTCACTGGTGGATTATTTAAAGAGAGTAGAAGGTAGAGATGAGTTGAGAGTATGTTTGGAAAAAGTTTTTGTATTGTCTTTTACAAAATGTTGTGCTCTTCATCGTTCCATGCCATGTCTAAAAACTTCAATACTTCTGACTTTTTCAGGATATTCATTCTATTTTTAAGGTAATATATGCCAATAGTTTTGAAAAAGGGATGTTCACTTTTTTCTACTTTTTTATTTTATTGAGTACCCTATCTAAATTCTTTTTTCAGAAAATAAAACCAGGATTGTAAAGAGAACAACAATGAAATAATTTTGTAAAGACTGCTTCTAACATTTTACACTCTGACTCTTCTCTCCATTCTAATTTCTTAAATACAGGGTAGTCAAAAAATGGAAACCATGCATTTTTCTCATATCTTTGTTGTTTTAAGAGATTACCCCCTGATATTTCACACATCTGTACATCTCAATTTCCTACAACCCTACCATGTTTCATGACAATCAGATTGATAGTCACAACTTTACATCACTTTGAACAACATGCTTCAGGTTTGACCATCATCGCGCTGTAAGCAAACCTGCACAGTTGTCAATGATCCAAATGCATTTCTCAGCAGGTATGGCCTGAATAATACAGATGATCTCACTTTTGAGGTCTGAAATTGTCCTGAGTTACTTCCTGCGAAAGCTATTTGGATTTTGATATAATAGCTTTCCCACGGAGCATTTGGACAGCTCAATGATCGTGACCTTTGAAATCGAATTAAGTCGATCCGCGGCTTACTTTTGGTCTCTAACTGTCTCTTACATCAGTATCATCAATCAATGTAAGTATTGGAGCGCTGGAGTACTTCTTTTTCGATCAAGACTTGTAATTGTTAGTCGAGTGAATCGTTTTACTGCCAAATTCCAATATGGCGGTTTCTGCTCGGACATTTTCGTAAATCTCCGGAGGTTGTCCGAACCTAACTAATTCTCAAAATTCATTTCGTTCGTTGCGTATCTCGCACCTAGCAAACCGCCATATTGGAAATAGGTCTGTAAAACTTTAACTCGATGAACAATTTACAAGTCTTGATCGAAAAAGAAGTACTCCAGCGCTCCAATACTTACACGGATTGATGATACTGATGTAAGACACAGTTAGAGACCAAAAGTAAGCCGCGGATCGACTTAATTCAATTTCAAAGGTCACTATTGATCAGCTGTTCACTTCTCCGTTTGAGAGCCATAAGTTTCAAAATCTAACATGGCTCTCGAAGTGAGTAAGTCCTGAGGTCATTCTCATACACTCTATCTCTGCCATATCCCCACAGGTAGGCACATTTTGGACAAAGTGTGCTGGTTTCCCTACAGCGCATTAGTGGCCACTGGGTATGTTCTTTAAAGTGCTGTAACATTGCTGTAACATTGTGACTATCAATCAGATGGTAATGGAATAAGGTAGGCTGTTAGGAAATAGAATGATGTACAAATGTGTAAAATATCAGGGAGTTATTTGTTAGACTGACAAAGATATGAGGAAAATGGTGTAAGGGTTTCCAGTTTTTTTGACCACCCTGTAAAATATATATAAGCAATCAAAACTAATCCAAAAACAATAATATGATCAGTAACTTGTATTCAAATTACTCCATTTCATTAGATGTCCAAGTAAATGGTATCACCACTGTCCAGTGATTTTATTCAGGTCAATAAACATGGCAAATATACAATAAAAATTTGAACTTAAACTTGAAAAATCAATAAGTTTGTAGGCGGACCAATTATAATCTAACTTTTTGAGTTTGACAACTATAAAATTTAAAATGCATTCATTAATAACAATACATAAAAATGTTATTTGTTCAACATAAGGAAGGATAATTTACTAAATTCTTGAATTTTAGTATTATGGGGTCTAAAATAGGAATTGTATTTTTCCATATAAGTTCAGAGTTGAACTCATAATTACTTCGCTCTTTGTTTGTCACAAAGACGACTGCTATACGCAAAATAGATGCATGAAATTATGTTTCGAAACTGAAAGTTGAAAAATGGCTGAATATCCCGTGTTCTATGTGCATGCGTAAAAAAGAAAGTTATTCATTCCCACGATTCAGAATGATTCGAATTACTTTTCGGCGGTTAGATCGGTACCAAATGAAAGATTATTGCCAAGGAATGGAAAACATGTTTCGAAGATGAGAGTTATTTGTTTTATCACTAAAGGAAAATATTGAAAACATATATTTTCATTTTAAACACTTCTTTACATATTCTTCAGATTTCTCAGCAACTAGTGGATGGATTGCTACCATTTTGGGTAACTTTACTCTGTAGTGTTGTTTGAATCAGCATGTTGATTGTTGAAAGGATTCCATATATTTTTACTGGATATATCTAACAATCATTTTCTACAAATTTCAGGAAGCATCAAAATCGAGCTCCCTTAAACTCTTTATAACAGTAGACTAGTATCGGAGGGCTTGCCCGACCCTCCAGACAAACCCCTGTGGGTTTGTCCGGGAATTCCCCTACAATTTTACAAAATAACTTTATGAATCCAACTTTGGCATAGTCATATAAATCCGACCTCTAGTCTATATTTCTCGTAATTTTTTGTTAGATCTAATTTGAGCCCATGCTAGGACGCAAATGTTGAAAACAAAATAAAATAACAAAAATCCAAATCATCAAAAAGAAACGTGAAACAACAACATTAGACTAGAAAAAATTTCACTGCTTCATTTCGTCAGTAGAACGGCAAATATAAGAAATGGGGAGACCATTATGCAATAATATATGGAAAAGTATATTCATAATGTACATGAATGACATTTGTATATCTTGGATTGCTTCTAGTTTGGCTTATAAAGTGTGTGGCCTCTTATATTTGGATGTTTCTCTGCCATGTTATTTTCAATAAGATTAACATGGCTGAAATTCTTCAAATTACAAGACGGCACAGGCTTATTGCACAAAAAACTAAAAATCTGAAATATACAAATGTCATTCATGTACATTATGAATATCCTTTTCCATATATTATTGCACAATGGTCTCCCAATTTCTTATTTTTGCCGTTCTACTGACGAAATGAAGCAGTGAAATGGACTCTAGTAGTCGAGTTCACTTGACTAACTTTGGCACTGGGTCAATAAATATTACAAGGTGTGTTTAGTGTGTTCTTTACCTTTGAAATATTCCCCAGAGATAGTTTGGATCTGCAGCCATTTCAGCGTTCAGTAGTTTTACTTAACAGATCTAAATATATGGATATCTCTTGAAAAACTTTCGGAACTTCTAAAACGGAAAGAAACTTCTTTCAACTTCCGGGCTAGAAAGTTGACTGAATATTTAACATTTTGGTAATGCACCTACTTTTTATTCTCCATAACTGATCGTACTACATCACTTTTACCGATTGGAAATTAGTTTCACTTCATATAACATCAATCCAAAGCTATAAATTCAAAATGCATATATACAAAATGTTAAGAACCTGGCAATATTGCTACCAATATGTACATTGCTAAGTTTAGTACATTCTCTAGGACAAACAATATGGCGGATGGATTATTTTTGATTCTGTAAAACTTTATATCACATTCTTCCTTAACCTAGGACACTATAAATATAGACTTACAAAGTAAGGAAATACTAGTTCTTAATTTAAAATCCCTTTGTCTTAAATTGTATCAAACGTATCCAATTTCGTGAGTGAAATGTTATTGAAAAAGATGCTAGACTAGTCTAGATCTAGATTCTAGGCTAGACTCTATGATATGATTTTGAAATAGACTATTCTTGGATAGGCTGTAATGCCATGTGTTTCATCAAGCATTAGAGATAATTCATGTTTCAACTTTCTAGAGAAAATAAATTATTGAAGACCTCGAACGGCAATAAATCTTAAGGGTAGCCTAGTAGTTTCTTTCAGAGCAGTTGTACATAGATCTACCTTCATGGTAATGTTCTTTTCTGTTGACCTACCAGGGATGGAACGTTAACGGGTCTTCAATTTTTTTTCTTCCAAGTATTACATTTAATTTAATCTCCATTAGAATGAGTCGAGTAAGCTCTGCTAGCAGTCGTGGACGTGCTCCTACTGCAGCGGAAGTGACACGGTTAAAGGATACAATCAGCTCTCTACAACAAGAAGTTATTCAGGCAAACGCAGCCACAGACAAGGCCACAGATAAACTCAACTGTTTGATTCTTCTTGTGAAGAGGTAAGATTAGAGTTCATATTAGCAAAGAGCATTGATTGATCTCCTCAGTTTTGAATCAATGAGGCCTTGCAATAAGTTAAAAACGCCTAATTGACACTTCTCTTCCAGTATGATGGTCTGTTAATGTGACTCACTTTATTTATATATCCAGTATTTAATTGTTTGAATCATTTATTCCCATTGTTAAATGGACTTATTCAATTGTTAAATGTATTTTGGATGTGTGCTATGTATATTTAAACATTTTCGACATTGAACTTCATTACCTTAAACTGACTTCTTTTTGCAATTTTTGACTGGCATTCTGTATATGTTTTGTAGGGCATGGACTGGTGATAATACAGCAGCAATACATGTAGCTAAGATCATAGGTAAGTACATGTACACAAATTGTATATTAATTAGACATACCTGTAGCTGAGAGAACATCTACAGTAATGCATTTTCAAATGACAGAATTACATCATGATTGCACCATGACATGCCTGAGAGTGTGAGGAAAACTGAAAGGAATTTCCTCAAAAACGGCTAATGTGCAGGGATCTTAGATCCCTAAGAAGGGTCAGAGCAGTCAGGCAATTTTGATATGAAAGAATTGTAGCAACCATGTACGGATGTTTGTAACATAGTACATGTATAGTGTAAATTACTTTGTTTGAAACCTAACCTGTCTTACATTATTTCCAGGTATTGCTCCACCAGATGGTGAAGATCACATTGTTCAGAACACCAAGCCAAAGGTAATAACTAAGCCAATTTGTTGGATGTTAATTATACAAGAAATGTTACAAGGATTTGAGGTTTACTGGTTCAAAACTGAATTATGGACCATTAGACTGAATGAGCTTATCATTTACTTGTTTTCTTTTTCTTACACCTCTTACCAGATTTACTAAAAGAAGACGATGTGATGATACTTTCCTGAAAAAAGCAGTCATGCCTTCATACTTTATTTTGTACCATAGCAATTTTTTCCCAAAATGTTATTTTCCAGCTGTACCTTAACGAATGGCAAGCTCATTCTGTATTGACAAATATGAATCTTCTTTCAGTCTAAGACACTGAACAACTGGGCACTGCTGACCATAGGGCTATTGAACAGAGAATACAAGGCTATAGAAGAAGAAATGACTGAACAGTCCAGAGCATATCTTCTGGCAAGAGAGGGCTACTTAGATGAACAGATGCTGCAAAATCGGAACTCAGTTGCACAAGCAAGACCAAACAGTCCAAATGAAAGTTTTAAAAAGGTAAGACAGTCCCAAAAAGTGCAAACCCACCTCACCTATCTCTGTTCAAATCAAATCAAATCAAATCGAAAGGACTAGTAAGTGAACTAGAACCAAATTGACTTTCAATAAATGGCACAGAATTTAATGTATTTAACAAGTAAATATTGCTTCACAGATAATACTAAAAACTGCTTGATATTAAATCATCAAACATGTAAGAACATGATTATAAAGATACTAGTAACTGCATATTATTTGGATGAATAAATTGTAATAGTATAATTACTGTAGTATTACACTCAAACTCATGGGACAGAGCACAGTAGTTGACCTGAAAAATCCACTCCCTCTCACTCCTTGGTACATAAAGAGTGGGAGGGAATGGATTTTCTTTTCAGGACAACTTTACTTTTTGTTCCGATGCTTGTGGAACAGGGTGAAGAACCTTGTTAGTTTGCCATCTGTTAAAGTGAAAGAGGTTGTTACTGTTATGTTTATCTTCAGTGCCCTTTTATCTGCCTTCATGTTGTATCTGTGTTTTTCAGAAGTCCAAAAGTAGACCGAACTCTGGCTACAGAAACCCTCTCCCACCAACTGATAATGGTGATATAAATGATGGTAATAACATGACTTGGGGAGATCTGTTAGTTGATGGAACAGCCGCAGATAGGAAGTCGACTGGAAATGCAGTAAGTTGATAAGCCCTCAGTTTTAGCCACAGATGGCAAATGTGTTTCTCTAATCTTGTGTTTTTACATTGACAGGTAATTAGAAAAAATGAGAACAAACAAAGAGGAACCCATGATTTGACTAATTTGATACGAGTTTCCCTATTAAGAATGTGTACCCTAATTCAGAACATACTCTTTGTCAGTAAACCATAAGGAGGCCTTCAGCCTCTGAAACATGTAAGTGGACAGGATATTATTCCCTCCCTCTTGTATACTAATGAATAAAATTGTGAATAAATATTTAAAATATTTCAGGCTTTGACTGGATTGTTTCAACTTGAATCCAGTCAAGTGTCCAATTCAAGATCTGACCCTGATAGAACTAACATAGATTTTGATGATCCCAATAGATATACTCAGGTAAGAATTCAGATTTTCAAATATTGTAAATACAAGGTAAAAGTCGAAATCATGTCATTTCATATTGAGAAGAATCACCTGTCCAGTCATTTTATTGTTTTTTAATTATTTGATTTAGCCAAGGCGGTACCATTTTAGACCATAACAACATTCAATACATAGAAAAAATGAAAAAACATTAGGATCAGGGTTAGAGGTGTATTCACTATAACAATTTAGTCTGTTGTATGAAACTGCTCACATATGCCTGTATGTATTTCAGCCTGGTCTGTTTGAGTCCAAGAGCTTTGTTGGAAAGAAGCAGCGACCAAAGAGTGGAGTGGAGCAGAAAAAGAGAGATCTAAATAGAAACCGGCCTAAAAGTGCATGTAAGTCTTTCAAATACTTATACAATTTAACAATATTTATAAGTTTTTAATATAAGTTTCATATAAATTTTTCTCATGGATTTCTTTCAACTATGCAAAATTCAAATTTTTGTCTGAATGGCAATCATGAATTTTATCAATTGATTTACATTATTTTTGCATTTGCTCCTATCTACATTTACTAATACATGTTTAAACATCTAAGATCCAAAACAATATTATGTGTCACAATAAATTCACAAAAATCAATTTTGTGTTGTGGATGAGTGGTAAATTACCTTTTCTAAGTATGAGCGTTTAATTAAATCAATTCAAGGGAAATATATCTACAAGCATGAATGTATAGATAGTTTTAAATATTAATATTTAATAAAATCAAATATGAAGGAAGTACTTGTATTGTCTAAAAACATGCATTTACATTTTCTTATTTTATTCATTACCAGTTATCACAGCGCCTCCTCAACCTGAGCGTCCTTTGAAATATGAAACCACACGGCCAATATCTGGCAAAGGTTCCCTCAAACCAAAAAGAGACAATTACTTTTTCTCCAGTGGAGAGCCTCTAATGCGGAAAATTTCTGGATCATCCCCGAACATAAGTGACCCTTCTCCTCGCAATCCACCACCAATGAAAATCAAGATTCAGCGACCGGAAAGTATTGATAAATATATGGACGATATGAACAAAATGGCTGCCATGGAAGAGGATTTTAGTAGAACTGCAATGGCACTACAAAAAAAATTGGGGATTTCAAGTGATGGAATGATACACTAAAACAATACCATACCAAAACCATATGATATTTTATAATATTTATAACTGCTACAATTTATGAAAAGCTTGCTGTAAATATATGTGACTATTTGAGGCATGATGTCATTTAACATACTTTATTACCCCGGTTTATTACCTAGTATTTTTTGAACCAAGATTTTTATTATTGTCCTGCCCATTGGCCACAGCACATGTTCAGACTGAATATTTTTGTATATTTGTTGTATTCACCAAATATGTTCACATCTCCAATGTCTCAAGACCATTTCATTAGAATGGTGCTTTTGAAATACTGTCATTATTTTAGTCACTATTTTATGCACATAATTGTATTATTCATTTTTTCAATAATTATTTTTCCAAACAATACATTAAACATGTGTTTCAACATAATGTATAGTGTATAAGGAATAAATGAACAGAACAATGAATGGTCTCATAAACGGACACAGCTATTCAGTAAATACAACCTTGATATGTACTATCAGAATTATGTCATCTAATATATAGTAATATTAAAAGGTATGATGTCAGGTTATAGCCAGCTTCTTTAGTGAGATTCTTACTAAATGCAGGGTGTCCTGAAAGTGTGGGGGCTCCCCTAGGCAGACTATACCAGTGTCGTAATAGTATGTGTCATATATGTAATTTTTGCACATTTGAGGGTTGAACCATGATACTTGGCGAATCAGTGTAACTGGAAAAGCTTTAAAATGATATCTGACACATACTATGAAGACATATACTATTTCTTCAGTCAAATGAGTGACTCTATTTATCTTCATTTAAGTTCATAGTGAAGTATTTTTAGTAAAAATTTCAAAGATTTGTTTCCTCCATATCCATAGAGTGAAAACTTTCTCAATTCAGCAAAACATTTCAATCTTCTATTCTTAAATAGCATAATAACGCACACTTGAAATAAGTATTTTTAAATGAGACAACAGAGAGGTTTCACAAAAAAGGTATCAGCTAAAATGTATCCAGAACAGCATCTCCTTTAATTGAACTACTACGCATAAATGTGTGTGAATGTGTTACTGATTTTAGACACATTGAGCGAAAAACTTTTTGTGAAATCTCTCTAATGCATTCTGATACTCGTAGCATCTCTGTCTGTTGCATCGCAGATGCCAGAAGGATAGAGATGGAGAGGGCGTGGCTTACCACGATGCTCTAATGGCTTATTGAAGGTGCACGGTAATGAGCTATGTATAAGTATTTATATTCCAAAGTTTTCCTCTTTTCTCTTGAGTTTTCGCAGTATGTATGTGCACATTATTTTCAAAACCAATATTTGAATACGATGTCCTGAATATTATCTGTCCAGTCTATTTTGTAATGTTTACATGTAATTTCATTACATGAGCACAACTTGTAGTACTATTGTTGTATGTTTTAAAGGGCATGTTATTAAATGTGTAATTTATTTATCCGTCCAGGCCAATGTTTTAGTTGGCCATAAGTCAACATTCCTTGAACACATTAGATAGGCTTAGAACTCAATAAATAAAATATAAACATAATAAACTTATTGTATTATTTATTTATTTATTATCCTACTTAAAAAAGAATGAGCTATATATGTACACATTAAAATTAAACAACAAAATATGATAACCTCTACTAAATACCAGTCAAACTGGTGTAATATTATGAATGAAATTATTTAACAGCCCCTTTGATATTATGTACAAATCCAAAATACCACTATATATTATATCAACTACCTAATAAATACATATTTACAAGCTAAATATAAACAATCCTTTGTAAAAGTATCACAGAGTTAAAACATGAGCTTAAGGTGGTAAACAGAATTATTTCAACATATATTTTGAAAAATACAAAATCCAGTGGAGAATACAAAGATTAAGGACTGATTTTGGCACAGACCAATGTTAATAGTAAAATGTTAAGTTAATGGCTTAGTATTTTGCACAATGAATGATTATCTTCAGATTTACAAAATTGACCCTCGATTTATATTCTTAAAAAATTAAGAACAATACTTATTAACATTATACTTAATGACTGACACCTGGTTTTAACAAATAACAATGATCAATTATAGATTGACAGGATAACAAGATCACAAAAATATTGAAGTGATATTTACAGAAATTATTAGCTGTACAAAAAGTCTCTTTATTGTATCTAAAAAAAGATTCAATATTGTCGTCCACTTGTTTCTTCCTGATTTATGTGATGTGTGTTCAAAGTTTCAAATGTATGTAATGACAACTTATTTGACAAAAATACCATCTTGCATAATGTATTTTAAGAGACAGTCTATATAGCACAATGCAAAGCTCAAACTGCACAAAAAAAGTTCTATTCAGAACACCCATAGTTTTACCTTGTGAGGGAGTCATGATTTTGCATTGTACTACAGACTGACAGACTGAGTATAAAAATCACAGATTTTAGACCTTATTGCACTTTTTTAATGAATTCAAAAATGAATTACCATGAATCATAGGGGATATTAATACTCAATATCAAACATGTATGCATATTTTGAATGTCTTGTTTTGACCATTGATTATGTCGGCAGTTCTTATTGCTCATGTATAGGTTTGTGGTTTCCTGTTCTCTACCATATCAAGCTGGTACCAAATTGGCACTAATCTATCAATAGGTTGGTACCAATTTAGCAGAAAGTCTCAATCTGGTTCCTAATTGACTAAAATGCACCATTGAATAATTATGTCCTCTGAAAAACCTATTTTTGGAATTTTTCAAAAACTTTTTCAACTTCGGTGAAGATTTCATCTACTGTGCCCTCAGCTTTTATCTGAAAGGAAGAGCATGAAAATGTCAATACATAAAAATAACCAATGGAGTAAATAACTATAATTTTATAAATAAATTACATTATGATAACCTGGGTCAATAGAAGTTTTTTAATTAATATTACGTACAGCTGTATTTAGAAACAAAATTTAAATCATCTGATATAGCGATCAAACCATCTTTTGTTACATGTGTTAGAGACCAGTATTAATATTTCAATGTTGTCCCCAAAAGTTATTACTTACATTGCCGACTGACCCCCTCCCCTAAAACTATAATTGAACAATTGATTTTTTGAATAAATTCATTTCCTTTTAAATGTGTAGACTTATCAAATGTTATGGACTTTTACCCCTTCTTCCCAAATGAAATGGACTTGACCTTAACCCTTATGTGACATATTCTCCATGGCAACACTTACTGTTCTAAGTTTTCCTTGTTTATCATAATAAGAACACACAGGCTCTGTGATATCATGGAAAGTTTTCAGCCTCTTTTTGATAGTTTCTTCATTGTCATCTGCTCTACCGCTGGTCTTTGCACGATCAAGCAACCGTGCCGTCATAGTCTCATCTGATACTTCAAAGTACAAGACGCATTCAGCTGGTGTGATCTATAAAAAATCAAATTATGTATTTTATTTTTTTATTAATTATATTTCATTCAAAATATATTATAGACATAAACTACTTTTTTCAAAAAAATCTTCTCAATGTAAAGTGGCAGCAAATAGAGCATATAAAATGTTTAAATCTAACATTTTCCAAAAGGACACCAATCGTTCACTTAAAATCCTTGAATATCTAAAATTAAAATTGAAAAATAGGCTAAAAGGGGACAATTTATAAGAAAGTTACTCATAACTTGTTCTGTCTCCTCTCTTTGTTGAACTTTTAAATGAGTCAGTAAATATATTAGAGTGCCTACCTCACTTTCAAACCTCTCTCCTTGCTCTAATTCCCTTGGGTATCCATCTATGAGGAAGCCTTTAGAGTCTTTCACCTTGGCTAGCATAGCCTCCTTGAGCAGTTCTAACACAGTTTCCTAAACAAAATAAAATAAATAAAAAAACATTTCAATGGCATTAAGATGTACAGGTGTATTATTGAAAGTTCAGTTTTGAATTACCATGGGCTTTCTAAAGTACATGTACCCTTTTCATCAAGGTTCATATTCTATGAAAACTCAATGCTCTTGCAATTGCTTCAGTGAATTGTGTACATGTTCATGTACCATGACGTTTATCTAAGGTACATGTATAGACTATCATGAAGTCTACTGTGTTTTAGTTTAATGTGTCTAAAGATCAATTTGGAAAACCTTAATTTCAAAAAAGGGCAAGGTAAACTTACCAATGTAACAAGTTCCCCGCGCTCCATGACAGCCTGTAGAGTCTTCCCCCTAGGGGACCCAGATGCTACCTCTGCCCTCAGCAGGTCCCCTGATGACAAATGGGTATACCCATACTTCTCTAAGATCTTGGCACATTGGGTTCCCTTTCCTGAGCCAGGCCCACCTATAATATGGCTATCTTTTAAGAAACATGTATTTCTGTTTTTTTCATTATTTACATCAGATATGAATTTCATAATACTGTAAATATATTCATGTTTAATAATTGTTTGTCATCTTTCAACTGATCTACTACTTATCAATTGCATTAACATTGCCCTGAGAATTTTTTTATTCTGAACATTAATACATGTATTTCCTTATATCAATACAGTAGAAACTATGGCCCAATGATTCCATGTTAATGAACCTCCGTAAGTGGAACACCTCGCAAGTGGGACACGTTTTCTGCGGTCCCAAGGGTGTTCCACTTACACGGTTCTACTGTATTCAGTAAGACAATGGCTTACCCTTTAAAAAATAAGAAAAATGAATCTACTTACCACATACAAACACCACATGGCTTCCCTTTAGCGGGGTGGGGTCAAGTTTGGCTGCAAAATAAAGGTACCTCAGAGTTACTCATAGAGGCCTCTGTATATGTACACAATCAACATTATCTTGAACTTTTGTGACTTGCTTCTTTGTGATAAAACACATATAGCTTATACAAGATTAAACAAAATTTACATCAATTGTTATGGGGATAAGCTCAAGTGAAGTGTCATACATGACTGAAACACAAAATTATGGTACATCCCCTGTTCATTTTTATGTTTTGTAATTTTATGGTAAATTCCATTAACTCTATAAATGAACTGTACTTATCTAGTATAAACCAAAGCAAAGACTTAATCCAAAATCCTATATTATACTCTATTTCATGTAGATTCTTTCCTCCTTTTATAGATCATTCTTTAAAATGTTTTGCTAATATGTTTTACTTACCAAATTTATCCAGTTCATTCTCAACTTGTTTAAAGATTTCATCAACTGATCCCTCAGCTGTAATTTGACACAATTTATCCTGCTTTTTGTAATAATCTATAACAGGGGTGGTTACATCATGGAACGTCTTCAGCCTCTTTTTGATAGTAGCCTCATTATCATCTGCTCTTCCACTGGTGGCTGCTCTCCCCAATAGTCGTTTCGTCATTGTATCGTCAGACACATCAAAATATAAGACACATCTGGCTGGAGTGATCTGAAAAGATATTATTTTAAATCACTGTAAAATGTATTTTACTTACAAAGAATGCAAAGGACAAGGTATGGCAGAGCAAATGATTTTTGACAGTAATATATTTTACCATGATCATAATAATATGTTGTATTCCAAGCAAGTCCCCATGATACTTAAATTATCAATCTGAAAAACCATGGATTAGGAACCCAACTCAAAGCCAAATGTCTTATGTCTTATTTCCGAAAAAGAGGACTTTTAGTTATCATTTATATTTCAAACATAGAAAATAGATTAAATACAACACAAAATTTATAACTTCAAAGGTAGAATGCATTGAAAGTAACTTTGGTGACCAAAAGTTGGCTGAAAACAATGGATGGCACGAGTTTTCCCTATAAAAAATAACATTTCAATGCCTGCTCTTTTTCAGAAGTTATTGACATTGTGCAGAAGCAACTTTTGATGAAGTAAATATGAGAAAAGAAGTGTCCTCTTTTTTGGAAATAAATCTCAAAATTTTGTCAAGCCTCTCAAACACTGGCATTCCCTGTAAAGCTATGGGGATGACCTGCTCAACAACAATATTCATTTTTAAGACTAACCTCTTTTTCAAACCTTGCTCCCTGTTCCAGTTCTCTTGGGTAACCATCAATGAGGTAACCCTTTGATCCTGGAGCCTTGGCAACCATAGCTTCCTTCAACAAATCTAGAACTACATCCTGGAAATGGAATAAAAGGGTTATTATTCTAGTCACAATTAAATGAGACTATTTAGGGACATCATCTGATTAGAATTCAAATTGTCAGAAAATGAGATCCTAAAATGAATAAATAAATAGATGACTTTTTATATAGATAGAATATCATTGCATAATATGGAAAGAACTGACATAAGTCACTTAATTTTCTCTCTTTGTGATAAATTGTCCATGCTGACATAGAATTTACACTCTCTTAAAAAGAGTAGCATCCAAAGGGGTGTAAAAACATTAATACACAATCTTCACAAAGTTAAAAAAAATTAGAGATGTTCTCACCAAAGGTACAAGTTCTCCCTTAGTCATTATAGCAGTCAACTCCTTGCCACGATCTGATCCTGAACGAACTTCATCCCTCAAGAGGTCTCCCGATGAAAGATGTGTGTACCCATACTTCTGAACGATCTTGTCACATTGGGTCCCTTTTCCACTACCAGGGCCACCTATTGATACATCAAGAATTCTTGATTTTTGTATTATCTATAGGGATTTTTTGTAATATTTATAGGGATGCTTCTGCTCCTTTTAGGAACATGGAATACTGTAAAACTTGAAGTTTTTGCATGCAACATACTTTTTAAAGAATCCTATGAATATCAATATTTCAACCCACCTGGTCATTTCTACTCATTTGGGAAAAAATTGAAAAATTTCACGAAGAACTTTTTTGAAATCAGTATTTTTGAGAAATTTAATTGTGCAAAGATTTACATTTAGTTTTTTATTTGACCATTGTTCATTTCTTATATTGAAATAATTCAAACTTGGTGGATGGAGTCATAAAGAGGGATGAAAATGGTTAATTGAAATGTGGTTTTATGAGAGCCATTAAAGATTGACTGAGGAGTTTCAATACCTTTAAAAGTGTACTTACCACAAACAAATATAATATTTTTGTCCTTCAACACGGACACATCAACTGCTGGAAAAAAACAAACAATACATTAAAATTTTAATTTTAAAAAAATTATTAGAACTACATGCATGTACTTCTATACATTTTCATTATGACCTTCATTAATCATCAAATAAGTTGCTCATTTTGTATAAATTTTAGTTTGATATGTAACTATGGCAATGTTGAAACAATTCAATATTAAGAACATTGCTGAAGACATTTTCAAGAGATAGCTTGCATTTACGAAGTATAAAGTATAAGATAGTACAATATGGAAAACATTTATTTCCCAGGTTACCAATAATTAAGTATCTATCTTCTACACTACATCATAGTTACTATAATAATGCAAGTACAGGAAAAGCAAATCAGTTATAAAGCATTGCTTAGCTCACTAAAGGTAATAATCAGTAATAATTGAATACAGGTTGTGTTCAGATCTGTTCATGCAGCTCAATCACATATGCCCTTGTCTTACCAGCTTCCAGTTGTGCCATTTCCAAGTTGCTAAAAAGTTTAATTACTAACACTTGTGTGTTTATGTGTTTTGTCTGCTTGTTTTCCAGCCACGTTTTTGAATCTGTGTAATCTTAGCATGGAATATGTATGTGATGTCACATTGTAACACTTAGTGATGTCACATTGTAACACTTAGTGATGTCACATTGTAATGCTTAGTGATGTTACATTGTAACGCTTTGTGATGTCACATTGTAACACTTAATGATGTCACATTGTAACGCTTGGTGATGTCAAACATGTGTGATGTTCAGTCATATTGTGTTATGTGTATAACATTACATGCAATAAAAAATATTGTTGCATATTTATTTGTTAATTCTTTATTTTGTGAATATAATTTGCTGACAAACTGCAACACTATCTGATATGATTTGTTGATTGGCTCAAACACTTGATATGAACGACTGATAATATTCCACTGAATTTTAAGCTGATCTAGGAATTCCATTCTATGGCTGGTTAGACAAAATATGAGGGACTAGCAATTGGAAATTTGTATAAGATGGATAATTCATTTAAACAGCAGATTGGATGTAAAATAATCAAAACTTCTATCTAATATCAAAATCCACTTACCATCGGAATCAGAATCAAAGATATTCCCCATATTTTCAAATCAAATAATTAATGAGAGTATAAAGATTCCTAAAACTTTTAAAAATTGTAACCTGCTGAATGTTGCTTTTGAAGTTTATAATTAAAAATGACTTTCATTTACATATACATGTATTCTAGATCAAACTTTGAAATAAATGGAAATCAATATGTTTCACTATTGTTCCATTACTTAATTCATTGTTTACTGACAACAGGCAACATTAATGGGATACCCTTGCAAAACTTGTTAATCAACCTTCCAAAATATCATTTTGGTTAAATTCTCGCTGACCAATTTTTTTTGCTTTTGATCATTTTTGGCAGCATTTCCCAATTTGAGATATATATATATACAGTATATAGATATATAGACTCTTGTATTGTAAGTTATAATACTAATATTACAATCAGAGGGGAGCATGGGTCACTGTTCATATCAAAAATTATATTTCACTCACAAAAAGGATGGTAACCTGAGGTCATTATATTGAACATGTTTTGTATATGATATTGATTTTGCTGAGGTGTTGTTGAACATTTAAGTAAATGAAGAGAGGAATTGGGGCATCATTATATTCATTTTAATGGGTTTTAAAGGGTTATTAATTTTGTTTCTACAGTAACAGTTACTATAGTAATGGTGGTGACCTCTAGTCATTCTTCCCAATTTCTACAAGTAAAAATGATGTTTCCTTCAAAGGAAATGTGTCTCGAACCCATGGTATATTAATCAAAATTCAACATTCTGCAATTTTTATATACTCTGATACAAAGCTTCTCTCTTGTAATCAAGGATTTTGTATCAATATCAAAATCTATTGATGGTGAAAGTAACAGATTTTATTAATTTTGAAAGCAAGAGATTGAGCCACTTTAATCATTTGCAAATATGCATTTTTCATAACATATTAAGCACAAAGCACAGATATATGGAACAGTAAATGATGAAGCTTAGGTAAAGATTTAAGCACAACCCATTAAGGGCATTCTGAACAATGTGATTATCTGAGAATAAAGACAAATGAAAAAAATATTATTTATTAAATTCAATGTACCAGTATTTAATACTACTGAGATCAACAACTCTTTAATCATACTATTTTCAAATAGACAGATTTTTTAAGTAATCAATTTTGCAAAGCAATAGATTGTTGTTTTTAGCCTTAAGGGTAAAAGCTATGTAAGTGGTCATAAAAGTTAAGATTATGTAAAAGCTTCTTGTATAATCTCTTGTGATTATCTGTCCCTAAAGCAAGCTTAAGATGATTGTAAAATAAAAGTCTCAATTGAGTGAAATTGCAGTGATAATTCATTGTACCATGAAGCAGGCAAAGCTTTTTTAAATTATAGAATTTACCAGTTTCTGTTGTGTGATCAGAATCCTTGATTTTTCCACTAATCTCTTCATTTGGTTTGTCATTGGCCTCTTTGTCTGCCTTTTCACCATCATTTTCTTTGTCTGTTTTTTCATCTATTTCATTTTGTTTTTCTGTGCCATCATTTTTCTCATTTGTTTTGTCATCAATTCCTACGTTTGTGTTTTGGTCATTTTTTTCATTTGTTTTGTCAGTTTCTTCATCTGTTCTACTTTGTTCTTTGTTTTGCTCATCGCTTTCTTGACTTGCTTTTTCATTATTTTCTGACTTCTCACTGTCATTTGAATTGTCATTGTTACTTTCTCCTTTGTCTGTAATCACTTTCTCATTATTTACATTTTCAATATCTTCCTCTACATTTTGATCATTCCTTCCATCTTCCACATCATTACCCAAAATTGTTTTCTCACCATTTTGAGAGTCTTCATTTTCATCATTTTTCCTATCAGCATTTGGGATACTATCATCAGTAGTTGTATTATGTGGCTCACCATCTGACTCAAGGTTTTCTATGTTAGTAGGAATGTGGACGGTTGGTTCAATTTTTTCCTCTATCACAGATACTGTTGGATAAGTAAAGAAACAACATGCATTTATAAATCATTCCAATCATTGTTTGGGTTATCATTATGCAGAGCTTAATTTTAAAGATAGGTATCTGGTATTAGCTGGTTGGTAAAGAATACTTAAGCCTCAGTCACATTTGCTCTAAGGCAGGCACATGGCAGCCGTAACTTCACAAAATCGATTTTACAAAATCTACATCATACTGCTTATCCCTATATTTTATATTGCATATTTCTCTCTCAATTTTGAGAAGCTAAGGTTGCCATACAGTTGCCACAGATCAAATGTGACTGAGGCTTTAGTAGCTATTAATAAATCAACCAAATCACAGATATCTATATGTCATCATAAGGTTGAAGTTTATGTACAATAAAACTTTTCTTATCTGAACACTTGATCTGGGACTGGACAAAAGTGTTTGGTGTTATAAAAGGTGTTGTAATTGAAGTTTTCTGAACATTGGATTCAAAAAAGATAAAGAAAATTGCAATTAAAAAGTGTCTGAATAAAGAGAGCTGTTGGAATATAAAGGTTTGACTGTATTTCAAAAACTCAATAGTTATATCATTGGTATATTGTCTTGGTTACGGAATTTATAAGAAAAGCAAATGTGCCCGGGATGGGTTTTTCCTGGGTCAATTTCTGGTTACATCTTAGTAACTGATGCATGCTTTAAATCATGTAATTCTTACAATTTTAGGAGGACAACATACTATAAAACTACATGTATGTACGAGTCATTAATGAAAGCACAGTTATAAAATTCAAATTATTTTAACATATGGAATTACCCTGTCCCTAAAAGTATATACTGCCAAATCTTTATATGATCCTACCATATGCGTTATTTCAATAATTTCTTTCTGAGACAAATAATAATACTAAGTTGTTATCAGGTTCTTGTGGATATAGCAAACTCTCTGAAAGGTGAACACACTTGGAACTTGGAAAACTTGAAAAATTATATATATATTGGTGAGTTCATCTTACTGAGATGGTTTTAACTTGAAGTCAAGCAATCAAAGAAATAGAAATTAAGGTCTGTGAAAAAGTGTTCACATTACAGAGGTGTTCATCCTAAAGGTATGTTCAAGTTAACAAGTCTAACTATAATCGTAAAAAGTATGAAAAACTAAAAGCAGTTTTCAAGCAGTAACTCACAGTCATATCTAATAACAAAATTTAAACAAACAATAATTTGTGGTAAAGAAATAATAATATTCATAAATAAAATTTATTTAAAATATATGTTAAAGTCTAATGCTACATACATTGCACTATTGCAACTACATGTACATGTACAGTAAGGCACAATATGACAGTAAAACATGTTTATATGAACATTTCTATAAGGTGAACACCTTTTTGATACGAACATCTTTTTGAATAGAACACCTCTACAATATGAACTTCTGAGTATGAATACTATAGTAATACACCTGCTGTATTAAAAATTAACATGTTAGCTAAGAATATGAACATTAATGTTTCAATAAAGAGTGCTAATGCTTAAAAATAATCTCAATATTCATGTTTTACTGTCAACGAATGATTTCAGAAACATTTTAAAAATGAATATCAAATAAATAATTTATATACAATAATAAAAAATAAAAATGATGATGTAGAGATTCCAAGATTTCTTTCTAACAAAAGTATAAGATTTAATTGATTTGAACTAAATGATTCTAGCAAATCAAGACACTTTTTAATGAAACAATTCATGAAAAGCATGGAAGATTAGCTAGAAACTACAATTATGAAAAATATGAAAATGTTACATCTTATTTATTGAAAAGTACAGTGTATGCTTAAGCTAATATGTTAAAGCTGTGTAAGTGAATATAGATGCTAATGCTAACATGCAGAATAAATATTACAATACACATTTTCACTTTGATAGATCTTACTAGTATATTACAGTGATTTGTTACAGAAAATACAGGGTGCATCATAGAATAGTGCAATGGCAAAATGGCTACAGGGTGAGCAACAAATAATGAAATGGATACAGTACTGTTATTTTGTTGTTTAGTCCTTAATTCACTTGAAGGAAAATATACTTGTACATGTACTAGAACTATACTCTTGTATTTTGATCAAAATTGATCTGGGATGAAAAACAGTTTGACTTGCATGAGTTTCATTCAGATTTCTGTTAAATGGCAAAGTTATTAGAAATTACAATTTTAACATGCAAACTGTTGTAGGATTCCTCAAAACAGGTGATAATCTAAAGTGGTCTAATATCTCCTGTTAATGAAACCCAGCATGTAGAAAATTTTAGGTTATGGTTGCTATGGTAACAACACAGCATTCATTCCACATTTCATAGGACACCCTGTAATTTTCAAGTCTTAGCTATTTGATAAAGCAGAAATATCTTCTATAAAATAAATGATCATTGAACTAGAAAGGTAACAAATAATCCACCAACCAGTCATTATCACGTAAACAGTATCATTCATAAATAAGTGAGGATATTGTCATCACTTTATTTGAAACATGCAATATTGTAAATATATCAATTTGCACTAAGATTACTGTTTCATACCATGGTTTGAAACGCAGATTGGTGGAATATACAATAGTGCCAAGTTAATAAAGCAATTGAAACTATGCTACTATATTTCAGAATTAACAAATGTAAACTATTTATAAGAAGCAATTAACATAGTATTCATGTACATTGTACATATATATGTGTATGTAATATCACAGATGTCCAACTAATCTTTCTCCACTCCAGGATTTATTTTGGCAATTCCTCTGAGGTGAAGCTATACTAATCTAACCTCATAGATTGCTATAATATGTACAACTATGTACAGTTTATTTATATACAGATTTCTAATTACCCCGAGTCTCTATGGTTTTATTTTCTGCAGCTTTATCAAGTTCTTTACTGTAGTTTGGATTTCCTTTATCTCCTCCTGTGTTGTTAGTTTCAGATTTCTCAATGACTGGTTCAATTATTTCTTCCACCATTTCTGTTAGCAACAAACAACATGCAATGAACATAAGCAGGGGGAGGGGGGACTGCATCTGTGCTTAAAATGTTAGTATGGGTATCATTTCTATAAGTTATATTGAATTAAAATTCATGACACTTATTTATCTTTCCTGATGTTCTATGGGAAAAATGTTTTCATTCAGGATGAGTGATTTTTAAACAATATTGTGTTTCAAAAATCATAATTCAGAACATTTTTTGCACAGTTTGTATTAATATTTCAAGATGCCCATACCTAGCATTAATCAAATTCATGCAAATAATTCTTAGAAACATCTTACATTTACGAACATTCTTTAAAAATCTTATAATAAGGCTTTTATAGGTATGTTTCCGTTAAAACATTGAGCCCACGCAGTATTTACATTTATGTACATGTTTAGACTGAGATGCGAAGCAAAGCATATACATAACAAATATAGATAATCAAAAATATAGTTTCCATCCTTTCTGTTATTTCACAAGAAGGATGCTGTTGAGCTCAGAATTAAAAAAAACTGGACAATGCACATGTATTTTGATAACAATGTTCCTTGTTATATTTTCATTTCCCTTCTTCCACCCCTTCTATAACATACCAAAAGTCCATGGAAATAAATGTAAAAATAGATACTCCGAATGATAGATGAGCCGGCTTGTTGATGCAAATGTACTGATGCTACTTCTATGTGTATATTGAGCCAAACACCAGAATTCACTTCTTGCTTTAGCATTGATGGTAAATATGTTAAAGGTAGAATCGATTTAAGAATATTTTTGGTTTATGTCATATTTTTACTCCTACTTCCAAAAACCCAAAAGATTCAGAGGTTTAAAAGAAGGTTTTATTCAAATGTCTTCATTTTTTAGAACTACAGGGTCAAAAATTGCAAAGAGATCATTGTTATAGAAATACATGTACATGGCGAAAACAACATGCCACAAACATAAATCCTATTAACCAACAATGAATGCCCATAACCTTTTCTCCTCTCAACTATGACTTGAAAAAAGCTTTTCACTTACCAGATTTTGGTATGGCCTGAAAAATAAAAGGAAGACATGATTAATATTTTTAGCAAAAATACTTATTATATAGAGTGCTTGTCACAATCCAATGTATGAGGTGCGCCCTTCACCCCCCCCCTAATCCATAGTAGGGAGAGATACTAAACATGCGGACCATTGTCTATTTGTTGCACGCATATGAAGAAATAAATATGAAAATGGGCAATAGTTAATACTTACAGGGATAACATTATTCAAGATTTCCTTAAAGGCCCCATGTAAAGTTTAAACCACTTTGGCTTATATTGTAGTCTTACCCAATGTTATCAAAGTGTGATATGTGAAACTTTTTTTTTAAATTTCAAAAAGTGGTTTTTGATAGACTTTTTGTTCCAAAATTTGTGAATTTATTTAAAACCAACTTTTAGAGGTCACTCATATCTTCTAATTAGCCACAATTCATACCAATGCATAGCATTCATCCTCCCATGTTTTTTGCCGAAAAAATTAAGAAAATCGGTTGATAAACAAGCGAGAAATGAACTTATCAGTGCATGAAAATGGTTCTGAGAAAAATGCATTTCAAAATTTTAGTTCTCATAGAAACCAATGGTACAATGATATCTAAAACATAATTTATTTTTCCTTTTAACCTGGTTAGACAATCAACATTGGTTTTTTATGAAAATCTAGCATATTTAGAAAAGATTGACATTGAAAAAAAAAATTCAATTTTTTTCAAAAAGTTTTTGTTACCTTAGTGACATCACTAATTTTCAAAATATTTTTGATAAGCTAAAACATTGAAGTGGCCCATTAAATATGACATTTTATTATTGAAATAGTGTGTCTTTTGTTCAATCTTTGCATTGGTGTTAAAAAGATAATCTTTTTTGAAATGCATTAAGAAATATTTGATGATTAAGAAATTTCAACTTTTTTTGAAAAGTGGCGGGAAATTTGAATATTTGAGAAATGAAATGCTCACAACTTTTTTTTCAAAAAATTTTTTTTGTTCAAAAATCTCTAATATCACTTTTCAAGTCCTGACAAATAGTAAATGAATGATAAAAAAATATTTTCAAACTTTAGACGGGGACTTTAAGAATAAGTTTTTTATTATTCAAGATAATGTTTATACAAAAATATAATTATTATGTGGTTGGCATCATTACCAAAGAGACATTGCATGGTAACCCCATCTTATCCAAATTATCTCACCTACACATATATCCCCCTCACCTTAATGTCTATCCCATTAAGTATCTCTATATTCCCCTTATCTATCCCTCTAACCTCAATCTCTATCACTTACATCTCTATCCTCCTCCTCCTCACTAACACTTCCACCCCCTACCTACTCAGTTACATCTCCATACCCTTAACCTTCATCTCTATCCCCCTTACCGTCATCTCTATTACCCCAACCATCTTTGTTAGCAAATAATAATGAGGAATTGGATAAAATAAGTTTTGATGTAGGACTAAACATAACACATGTAAAAAGTCCAGCTGTTGGGTATGTAAGCCAAAAATAATCAATTTATTTGTTTCCCTGCAGTTTTATCTTTTAGCCCTTGTGGTAAGCTTTACTTTTTGATCGATAACTTCAAGGAACAGCTATAGGCGGAGCTATAGCTATAGTGGTATTTAGATCCCTATAGCATGATGAGAGGATTGAATATGAATATGGGAGAAGTTACATAGTTCTCAGATCCCCTCTTAAAATAATTCCATAAAGATTATCTGACATCTCTGAAAATAATTCTATAGCTTTATACAATTACTTTTATTACTGTATGAAATTAACCAAGCATTTTATTCCTATTTTATTCTATTCTCTGCATATAAGTGTATCACTATACTGTACCTTTAATAAAGTTCACCTTGAGATTTTTTGCCAGGAATATTCACTCGTTTTACTGGGAATTATAATTCTGGAGAAATAGACTTCAATTTGAGGTACCATATCTTATGCCTTCGCCGTGAAAAAATAAACACAAATGCAAAAATCTACAAAAAATCTACAAAGATTCATTCCTTATATCCATCTCCTTCAATGTGTACCTGACTAACAACATATTCATTACACAATGGTATCATTACTGGAAGTCTGCCAAATGAAGATACATGTACAAGCGATACTTAACATATACTTACAGGCATTGTAGTAATATAGTCCTATACCCTGAGTAAACCCTATTACTATGCTATCTAATCCTCTTGTAGAATAAAATATCTGATTGCCTAATTTTGAGATCACTGTGTATGCTATTGATCTGAGCTCCAAACTGTATTTTCTTCTGTCTAGCAGCTGACCAAATTATGTTGGAGCTATTCGGAGTCAAATATCCTCACTGATTGATGAGCCTTCTTCTAAACCTAGTCTGGATTGATACCAGCTAGTTTTAAGTGAAAATAAGCTAGTCTTTACTGATGCTCAACTTCTCTTTACTGATGAATTCAAGCTAGTCTTTACTGATGCTTTACTAGTCTTCACTGATGAATTCAAGCTAGTCTTTCCTGATGCTTTACTAGTCTTTACTACTGAAGCTGGTATTTTCTGATTTCAAACTAGTCTTGAATGATGGCAGCTAGTCTCAATTGATGCCTAGTATAAGTGAATATACTAAATAAATGCAAGGTGGTGAGTATAACCTTCAATGGTAAGTATCCTGCCCATAAAATCACAACCAGGTCTTATATTTCTCTAAAAAAATCAATAAAATAAATGAAACCCGCAAGAAATGACAGAAACAATTAATACTTAGTTGATTGAGGCGTGAAATTGTGAGAAGTTCAAGTGAGTTGTGGAAATAAGGAGAAATAATGTGAAATTAGCATTAAGTGAGGAATATTTTTGTAAGGTATGCCCTTAGTGATGGCAAGTTCACATTGCCCTTGGTCTGCCGGTTATTGGTTATGTTCTTGGTTATGTTTGTGCACAATATAAAAGATGAACAAGCAATGACTCAATCCTTGTTTTGTGAATGTAAACCTTAGCCAATAAATAAATAAATTAATTAATTAACTAAGTGTGTTGTGTGATCTTTTGAGTAAATTGCTATAGCAACACAAGTTAGGTCAATCTAAAGGATGAATGAAGGTCATTTAAGTGTGCGCTTTTCTTTTTTATATGATTCTTGTTATCTTGTTTTTTGATAGGAGAGGGGTGAATACCAACAAGAGAAGATTATCAATAACCAGAAATTAAATTAAGGGTAATTCAGAAAAAGCACAGTTTATTACTTAATTATTCATTCAACATTCTGAATCCTATTGAATACAGAATACATCTATTACAGCATATGCATTGTTAAGTTAAGGTAAGCTGAGGAGAATGAATATCAAAGGCTTGCATCCTGAGATCCTGTACAAACATGTCTAAAAACTCCCAGACTTAATTCTCCTTAAAGTATCTCGCTTCAGAAAAATCACCACTTTGTTCAATTCAGATTGGATGATGAGCATTAAAAGTGGATGAAAGGTTCAATCTATTAATACTCTATTAAGTAATTAAAATGCATATAGTGCTATATATAGACTGTAAAAATACTTTTTCTTCGAGTGTTTAGACATCTTCAAGATAAGTTAAAGTATGACTTATCACTTAACCACTTTCTTCTTATTTTACAGGCTTTTAATTGTACATAATTAATATTTAAATATTCCATGTGAATGCACCATACATATTTAACAATTCAATTATTTTGAACTTTTTATCAATAATTTCAAAGATAACTTTTGCTCCCATTGACATTTGAAATATAAGAAGTCTGAAGGCACCATGCACCTCTACATGTTCTTCAGTGCTCATATTAAAGGCTCTTGTACTCATAAAGCTGTTTTTATCAATTTCTTTAAAGGGTTACATTAACCTCCTATTTATAAGCAATATTGCAACTTTTAAGAAATTAGGGGAGTTTGAACTGAAACATTGTAGTCTATTGCAATGGTATTCTGAGAATCGTAAATTATAGTTGCACCAAAAACAAAATTTGTTGTATTGAAAACAGGGGCCTTTAAAGGATGTACAATAAACTATAACCAGGTCAATATTCACAAGTGCAACCACATATAATATACTGTATATAATGTAAATAAAAATGACTGGGACATACATATATAAGATCAATTTATGCCTCAATGATACCATAATAAGATCAGGTTTTTTAATTACTTTAATTATCAGCTAAATGCCTTATTTTTATAATCCTAACTATTTTTCAAAAACTGAAGCCAACTTTCTCAAGTAATGATGTTCTCACATTTGTGCAACTAAATTTTCACCTGAATGTAAGGAAGTTCTCAAACAACAGCTAAATGCTAAAAGGCTGATGAAATTAATGATGATAGTTTTATCCTGAAGAGTTCTAATATATTACCAAAATCAGAGGGGTTGAATATCTCTGAAGAAACAGTCTGCTAAGTTACAGTGACCTTAATATTACTGTATCCATCAGGAAAACTAACCAACATCACCATCTTATGTCTATTTTTGGCTCTGCCCAATGAAAAACTATGTTGCTAAGCAACAAATTATGAAAACAGTATGGATATCATACATTTGATGATTATTAATTTTTCTTAATTTGATTGAAGAGAATCATTACTGCAAGAATATAAAGTATTCTCTATTTTTATTAATTCAATGAAAAATAGTTTTTGTACTTCTTAACCTTTAAGCTAACATCTTGTGTTTCTTAAGTCATTTGGTATACTGATATCAGTTCAACTTTCATACCAGGCACATATATTTATGTACATTTATAATGACTGAGCAATTAAAAAAGAGTCGTGTTCTACTCTGAATAATAACAGCATCTGCCTATACTTAATTTATACCCTTTCTTTCAATAACTTGAAAGTTTATAATTTTATTTCCGCTATATACCAGTAGTTATTTGCTGACCACTCATTTAGAATACCAGTTATATAAAACAATAATCAAGTACTTATGAATAACTGCTGTTTTTATATACTTAACATCTATGACAATAAACTTAACATTTAAAATGCCATTATTTCTCAGTTATGACTTTCATTACTGAACCTTCCATTTTGCTCCTCCTTACTCAAAATGTTCAACTATTATTAGAGTAAATGAAGAGAATATTCAAGGTCGAGGGATTCCATGCAAGATCTCTACATGCCAGACATTTGTATGATGAATATTTTGAGAAAATAATAAAAACTGAAATTCTTACCTGAGGCCCGAACATGTGATTAAACAGCATTGTGAAGTCATATTCAACTTCATCTTTGTCCCGATCTCCATTTATCTGAAATTAAATTACAATTCTATATTGGTGACTATCATTTCCATAAAGCTATAAATAAGGTTTTCTGCTCAAAAATCAAAAGGTTGTTAAAATTGCCCCCTTTTCACGAAAGTATTAATTATAATATGATTTAAAGTCAATCTAAGAATAAAATAAATAAAAAATGTTACCTAAATTGGTTACATTGGAAACTTTAGGCTTCTATATAAAGTTTTAACACAAAGGCTTTTAAACCCAGAACAACAGTGATGTACAACATTTGGTCCCTTAAAGGCAGAATCAGATCTATGGGGGTGACAAAATTACAAGCAACATGTTCAATTGATTCTCTCTTTAAGCTTCAGTTTGACCAAAAAAGGTTACAAAATTCAAAATGGACTTACCACAACTAGTTTTCCCTGATCATCATAATGTTTCAAAATTGGTAATGTGTTATTTTTGAAGAACCTTATTCTACTTTGTATTGCATTCAAATTGTCGTCAACACGGCCAGTTTCACCTCCTCTGTTGATGAGCCTCTGTTTCATATAATATTCTTCAGAGTCTATCAATATCGTGAGCGACACACCACCAACCTATAACATACATGTAATGCTATCTATCATTCAATACATAATATGTATGTGGCTTTTTATTAATTTTAAGGTAATTCATTTATATTTTAAATAGATGGGACATTCATTTGAAACACTGGATTTCTTAAAGGATAAAGTTCTGGACAAAATATCTACATGTATGTGTACATACAACTGTACAATTTTAAATGCAAGCAAAAATTTTGAATTCAACCTCATCATTTATCAGAGATCTGTAAACAACATATACGGATTCAATATAGATTATTTCAAACTGCTAATATTTCAAACTGCTAATAAACAGCTTACCCATTTATCAAAGACATGTAAACAATACACATACTGATTCAATACAGTGAATTTTTTCCAATTGATAATAATACAAGGCTTACCCATTTGTTGAGTACTTCAACTTGGCTAACATCTCTTGGGTATCCCTCCATCAAGATTGCCTTTGTGTCAGTGTCATTGTATTTCTGAACAGCTTTAGTTAACAAGTCAACTGTGATCTCCTACAAATTAGACATAATATCAATGTAATCATACATGTTATCTTGAAATAGGTTTCCCCCTCTCTTCCCTCAAGTCATCTGAATTGTATGTACATGTACTGTAATTCTGCACTATTTTACTCAATTTATAATTATAAAAAACAGTTCTCAATTCAAATATGGTAGCTGAATGGTTAATGGCATCAATGATTTTCAATATGTGTAATTTTTACGCAATTTTTAAATACTTTCAAAAGGATAACTTATAATGTTACATACCTCAGGGGCCATATCTCCTTTCTGCACAAGATCTGAAATCATTCCCCACTTCTCTTCTGCACTACCTCGCTGAGCAATTTCCTCACGTAAAATGTCTCCCATAGAAATGTGAACAAATCCAGGGAAGTTGGCAATAACATTGCGACACTGAGTTCCTTTACCACTGCCTGGACCACCTGGATGATAAAAACATGAAAAATCAAAATACAGTTAAGTCATATTATTGTACATATGATCAATAAAAGTGACATATTAAGGATAATATATTTTTCAATAATCGCAAATGAAGAATTCACTAAAAGAGAAACCCAGTTCACTTTGAAACTGTAGATACTAGTAAATTGTACATTGAACTAAACTTGCCGATACTGTATGCTTAGATATAATTGACCTACCTAGTACCAATATAATTGGGCATTGTGGCATATCATTTTTTCTTCCTTCATCCTTTACTCCTATGGTAATATCAGGGTCCGGCCAATTGCCCTCTGCAAATGTGTTGTCGCGACTAAATTCAAAAGTGTTTTGTCGGCTTGTTTTGGGACCTCGAGATCTTCGGCCATTAGGTGAGCCGGGAGGTGGGTGGGGAACTAGTCCTTCCATTGTCCCTGGTAAAAAAATAAGTTACAAATATAGCTAAATGATTCTGGTAAACAATGTCTGGAACTGAATGTCATTGATGATCTCCAGATTATCAGCTAGTTCTGTTTTTGTAATATTTAGTTTTTGTTTGTTCAAACACTGTAGCAATATTTTAATCTATCAACAACATGAAATGAATAACGATGAGCTGATATAACAGCAAAATGACAGCTGTAAGGCCAATAACAGCACACTAGCTGAATAGTAGCACAAGCACATCACTAACCTGGAGTAATAGATCTTGCCTCTTGTGTTTGTGCTGGGAATGCTTGGTCAAACATTGAAGACAGATCATAATGTATTTCATACATGTCACGATCACCCTCCAACTGAAACAGAAAGCAAGGTTACAATAAAGAATAAAGAAGAATGCATATTCAATTCTACGAGAACAATCTTTTTTATGGAGATATATGACACTAAAGCTTCAAAAACCCAAAAAATAAGACCCTTCTTGATACAAAAACACATCATTTTGAAATAATCTAAACTGTTTATACATTTCTAAATATGGCTCAATAAAAAATAGGTTTCCTATATTATTATAAGCTTAAAAATATTTTAACTTGGATTTTTTTTATTTTAGTATGAACTACACCACAGCTTACTACTCACCACAACCAGGTAGCCACTGTCATCATAGTATTTTGCAAGTGGTAGAGTGTTCGTTTTAAAATGGTGGAGTTTTGCTGAAACTGCATTCATTGAATCATCAATTCTGCCAGATGATTCATGGCGGTCCAAGAGTCGTCTTTGCAGATTTGACTCTTCACAATCAAGAACGAAAACCAGATCCACTTTTCCAACCTAAATGAAGTAGAATTTTGTAAATGTAAAAATATTGGATTAGATGTTAATGTTCAACATTTTGTGTGCAATAAATTCAAAATCATTCATATTTATTCATTTATTTGTAAAGTTACTGTAAATTATCTTATATTATTTTATATTTACATGTATATACAAGCTGTTCACTTTTTTCCTTTTACTATCCACTTTTTCAATATTTCATATATACTGTAAAATATGTTGCATTCAAGCATTTCATTTCATGAATTCTGCATCATCTTTGTTTCAGAACTTTATCCCTAGAATCTTAGTAAACTGAGCTGTTTTACAGTGCAAATGTGTTCCAACAGCATAATGTGTTGGACTCACCTTTTTGTTGTACTCCTCTGCCTGTTGCATAGTCCTTGGGTAACCCTCTATGATGAAACCTTTAGCATCTTTGTATTGTTTCAGACTGTCAGTCACAAGTTGTATGGCAATATCCTGCAGAATACAAATCATATCAATGAGACATAGACAATTGACAGTAAAGCACTGGTGTATTCCCTATATGGATTTTTCCATCTTAAGCCTATTTGATATAATTCTTTAGTTTGGGCCTCATTGTCAACTTCCATGTGCTCCCAAGTATAGTATCACAATACAAAGTCACATATATCAGATGGCAACACTTTTATGGAAAAACTGGAACTAGTATTATGATATCCATAACCCTTATTATTCAAAAATATGTTTGGATAATAAAGAGCACTGGAATCATGAACTGAGAACTATAATTTCAATCAACAGAGCAAAACAGAAAAGTTCAAAGTAAAATATCATCAAGTAAAATAATTTTTCACTTTTGGCAAAGAACTTTGTAAACTTGCCTATTGGGCAATAGACTGAATGAAACATGAGGTAATTATCCTTTGGATCAGAAGGCCCGAGACAATGAAACATTATCTAAAATGATATTAGATGTTATTAATCAATCTTATTTTTGTTATGTTGGCTAGATCAATTGAAGTTATTATAATGTGAAAACAAGATGCCAATTACTTGATAAGAATTCCAGATCAATGTAGTTATTGAGGATCAATGTGTGGTATCTCCAGTGAATACTTTGTCTTACGTCTCATGATATAACCTAAGTCTATTGCAAGAAAGAAATTCTACTATAGTCTAAAACTGACAAAATCTTAATCGAAAAAATACACAAAACTTCATTCAGAAAATAATTGGATGTCTTCTCCCTTAATTCAAAAGCTGTAATTAGCAGAAAATCCTCAGTTAATCAGTATATAATTTGGAATTAAAAAACAAAACAATGAAAAATAGTAATATCAAATATTTCAACACACAAAAGTACCTACCTCTGGTGCCATTTCACCTTTCTGTAAGAGATCTCCAACCATGCCCCATTTGTCATCAGCTGAGCCTTTCTGCATAATATTCCTGCGTAACAGATCTCCAATAGAAAGATGTACCCAACCAGGGTACCTGTGCACCAGCATCTTACACTGTGAGCCTTTACCACTCCCAGGACCCCCTGAAAATATGATTGACAATTTAAGGTCAAAATTATTAGATCATAATGTAAACACTTTAGAAATAACACTTTTTATAATTGAAAACCTTATATGAGTGGAAACCTAAAATTAGAGCAAAGGGAAGGAAATTTAACGTTAATATGAACACAGCTTTTGCATTGCATTTGCATTGAACATTAAAATATGCCGCTTATCCCAAATTTTTGTTGACTTACCTATTACAAAAACGATTGGTACATCTGGAATGTCAATCAAGGCCTTTTCAGGTTTGACATATAGATCATTCTCCTTGCCATGGCCTGGGGGTGGGGTTGCTGTACGGGTAGTTCCTGCTGTGCCTATGGGAGGTAGAGGACTGGTACGACTGTCTTCTAGTTTCATTATATCAGCTGAAAAGTAAAATCTGAATTTTTAAAGATCCTTTTTAAATGGTGTTTTATTGTGTTTTGTGCAGGCCTGTAGCCAGGGGGAGTTCGAGTGAACCCCTCTCTGGCCAAAAGTTCGAATCATATAGTATATACTATTCTGAGTACTTTTCAAGTGATTTTGGGCAAAAGTTGTCAAATGTGAACCCCCTGGATTATAATTTACAAGTTAACATATTTTACCTGAAACTGTTCTTGAACGTGGTCTGCTACGCCCAGAGCTAGTGCGTCTACCATTTGCGCTGCCATTTATGGGTGGCAGTGGGGCAGGTGTTTTTGCACGCTTTTGTTCGATAAAGAGATTCCAACGGACTTGTTCCAAGCCCGATTCACTAATTTTATTCAGACATTCCTGAAGGTAGCTGATATGATCCTTGGGCCTATGGTACATCAGCCCTGTCATAAGACACTACAAAGAAAAGAAAGAATTAACAATACGATAAATGTACAGTACATGTTTTGGTCTGGCATTAGTCCTGCTTCAAGCTCTTGTGACCATCCCTTCTAGATGCTAATGCAAGACTACTCTGGCTATTTGAATAGATATGTAGTTGATGAATCAATAATAATTGACTTTTCTATAGATTTTAGATATATTTCATTTGAATACTTATGGCTTACTCTATCAAATAAAACTTTATAAATTAGAAGATTGCTAATACTTAGAGACTTAGCAAAAAAATATTTAAAAAAAAAAAATTTTTTGAAATTATTGCTTTGTGTTGCTATAACTTATGAAAAGTATAAATGTCAGACCCATTGTAGACTGTCAGCATTAATTAACATGCTTGTGCAGAAGTAAGCGACAATTGTGCCAAAATGTCTCCATCAGAGATGATGGAAAGATTTTATTTGAGAATATATGAAGCTCACACATTTTTGCGACTGAATGCAGATGATATGCACCAGCGGAGGGGGGGGGGGGGGGGGGGCACACGCCCCCCCCCCTAAAAAGTCAGAAAATTTGTGTTTTGCCTCATTGCTTTTAACAAAATTTGGATCTTTTTTTAATTCGCTCACAGTTATCATCACACGCCCCCCCCCTAACACAAAATCCTGGATCCGCCCCTGATATGTTTCCACATGGGATTTCAACTAGAATTGAAAGACCATGGTTTCCACAATATGATTTCTAAGCAGTTTAGCAGATTTAATGTTAACGTATGGATGTGTGAGCCAATATTATATTGTGGCATCCCTGAATCCTCATTCAGTTAGAATGACAATGTCAGTCCTTCTTCATTGGAGATGAAAGACAGATAAGTGTATGCAAAGATCTCTCAGGTAAAATCAAATTTTTTAAAAGCATAAACCAATGAATATAAAGGGCGCATAGTGACTGAAATAAACATACTTTGTATAATCTAGACATGTTCAATGACAAGGTGAAAGAAATTTATGGCAAGGAGGGATTTGTTTTTATTTATTTTCATTTTCAGTCAGAAATTCCAACATGTTCATGGTGTTTCAGCCTACCTCGAAGAGCTGTGGTACCTCCCTGTTGGACAGGTACGACTTCGCATCGTCTGTTGTCATCCTGCCATACATATAGTACTCCTAAATGACTTTATAAGCCGATAATTAGTTAGTTTTTGAACTAATTTCAGATTTCTAGATTTTCACGTTGACCCAACTTCGTTTCCAAGGAACACAAATCCATAGTAGATGATGACCTTCTTTGTTGGCAGAACATGTATACCCAATATCGACAGCTAGGGACTTGTGAAATTAATTCAATTATGCTTAGTTCGGGCCGTATTATTACACTTTATCTATTTTCTTCAAGTTTGATTCTTTTGTTTTATCAACAACATATAGGACATATGAAAAATATATCAACGATACTGATTCTGCAATTAATTAAGGTGTTATCATTACTTATCAATAAAATCAATAAAACTATTTCTTTGCCAACAGGTGCGCGTGTAGTGCGAGGGTAGCAATGCGGATGAATAGGGACTATTTTCAAAATGTCAGCGCCCTTAGTTTTTCAAATTTCTTTCATTATTTTGTTTTTGTCTGTGAATATATCGTTACAGAAAAGTCAGGTAAATATTCCACAATATGCTTTGATTAACAAGTGCATGTGCTCTTTGTAAATGCAACAATATTTACAAAAGCTCAAGGAATCTCTAAATAAAACACGATAATAGGGGAAAAAATCCCGGGGAAAAAATAAAATTGCTTCATAAACTAATAAATATTGCATTTTTAATTTAGCAAAGACTAGAACTTAACTAGGAGTCCCAATTTAGAATCATTATCCCTCTGACACTGGGTGTGACTAGATGGAGTTTTGTCTTTTGCACATGTAGCGCCCACCCATGGTGCGGGGACGGAAACTTTGGACTTGTGGGTCAAGCACACTTGTATGTAGTCCAACAACATTAGACCTAGCCCGGGCCTCGTTTCTTATCTGACATGTGTTATGGCCCGGCTAGGTCTAACCTCCATGACCATTTTGCCTCTGATGCGTTAATTTAATCGTTCAGCAGGTTTCGACAAGCGGAACTAATTGAACCCTGAAAACATGGCAATATTACACAAAGAATGTGATTCAAGCATGCATACATACCTTATAAACACATACACCCCGTCCCGTATCCCCCTTAGACCCTATTGATGCATAATTACGAAAATATTGGAGACAGGTTTGGAATATGACGAAAATGTCGGTCAGTTTTGGTAACATCGAAATTGCAAATCGTTTCAGGAATTAACCGTCATCACGGCACTGCATTAACGAACAGTTGGTTTGCAATTAATAACTATTTTGCGTGTATATACGCGCTATATAAATTAATCAAAGATACCTGTTATCCTCAAAATTGATCTTTTTATCCCGAGTAATCGCGATAATAATTATCAATCTATTTGACAACAATTTCGTTTCGCTGGTAGTTTAATTTTACGATCCGGGACACTCAGACGAACAGACACAATGACGGACATGCGGAAATGTCACTTTAGAGATTGGTAAGTGTAGCCTCATTTTACTCGTATAAATGAACATTTAACACAATAATATTGTGTTAAATCGCTTGATGTTATGTGTTTTTATATTATTGTCAAGTATCAGTTGCACGTTATCGCGGAAAAATGGTTTCGATGGATTCAGAACTTGCATCAAAGGAAAGAATAGTAAGGAGGTTAAACTCAATAATGGCCCCAAGAAAATTCCTAATAATAAAGAACGCCGTTATTGAGTTTAACGACGTTGAACTAACTTGTATGATGCAAATCTATGGAGCTGTGTTTGTTGGCTTGAGGAACAAAAACCTTTTCTACTTTGAATGGTTTATTTCAGGATGAAAAAGTTGAAGATTTCTTTCAAAGCGAGCACACAAATAACTGGGCAGTCTTGGTAGACACATCAAGGTTCTGGTTCAACTATCGCCATGTTGCCAACGTTCTTTCAATGTACAGAAGTGTGAAGCGGTTGGGTATTCCTGATAGGTAAATAAGTTTATTTAGGAACCTGATTTTAATTTTGGTTATCCTAATGATCACATCTCAACAAAAACAATTGGTCTCGTATGTCATACAATTGATATTTGAAACACAGCTACATTGTATTATTCAAACTTTTGATTGGACATACATGTAAGTACATGTATGATGTTACTTTATTACCTTGAAGTACACATCATGCTTATGTCTGATCATAAGTTATTTTATTACCTTGAAGTAAACATCATACTTATGCAAGAATTTTTGATCAATGAGATTGGGTTTCAACTATACAAAACAGAGGCGCTCAGTCTATCTATCACATTATTTGTTTGGTGTTTTGTAGTCATATTATTTTGATGGTGGCTGATGACATGGCCTGTAATCCCAGGAACCCACGCCCAGCTACAGTGTTCAATAATGCCAATGAACAAATCAATGTTTATGGAGATGATGTAGAGGTGGACTACAGGGGCTATGAGGTAAACAAATAAGAAATGAGTGTTCTTTTTCCTTCCTTGAGATGATGACACACACATGTTTTCATTATTTCTTTTGGAGTGGATAATGTGAACAATATTTGTGTGTGTTGTGAGTGTTCATGGAGTGAATATGTCAAAATAATGACATTTCAATAACATTTCAGTTTGGGTATAGGGCTAAATGATTCCTTGTTTAATGATATTTATGAAAATGTGGTTGAAAAAATACCTATACTGGGTTAACAGGTTAAGAGCCAATTGCTTGATGTAAGACCACCTTCTCTGATGGCCATATTTTCCAAATTTGCTTGAAAGTTGAATCTGTGATTAGAATGAGAATTTAAAGTAATGTATATATTTCGATAAACCAGAATTAAAATTTTGAGTTGAGAGAATGGTGATAATGCTCATTTTATGGATTTGCCCAATACCAGCTTTTATGTTGGCTATAGCCTGCATTTGTTATGATTGTAGACTCAGAAAATATGAGAGTTGATAAGTATGTCAAGGTCTTTCTGATTCATCCCAGTAACTTAATGTAATGTTGAGTTCATGTAGTCTCATATTTGACCTCATATTTTAAAGGTGACTGTAGAGAATTTTATCCGAGTACTAACTGGACGTCTTCCCCCAAGTACGCCAAGATCAAAGCGCCTCCTCTCTGATGACAGAAGCAACATTCTGGTTTACATGACAGGTAGGCTTCTGTTAGTTAGAATTAAATACTTAAACTGCTGAATCAAAAATCTAACAATACATTATTTGATAATACAGTGCAAGTGCATGTATGTTAAAATTACATAAACACAATTATTGCATTGAAAAAACAAGAGTTGAACCTATTTTCAAATCACAATTCCACAAACTATCTTTGGAACAAGCATCTAAATTTCTAAACGTTTGAACAGTAAATTAATATTTTGGGTAATTTTTTTAATAAATTCAGGTCATGGTGGAGATGGGTTCCTGAAGTTCCAAGATGCAGAAGAGATCTCAAGTATTGAACTTGCTGATGCTTTTGAACAAATGTGGCAGAAGAGGAGGTCAGTTTTACACCAAGAAGTGGTGGCATATTGTTATAGCAACTAGTGTCTTTAGGAATGGACCAAAAAGTGGTGACATATTGGTATGGTCTCCGTTTTTTGTGGCGGCGATCGGTGGGTAGTGGTTGGCGATTGGTTGGTGGCTGTTGGCGTCTGTAACAAATTTTTAAAACTTCCAATAACTTAACAAATACTGTTCAAAATGACTTGTTTTTTCAAAATCATCTACAAAAGTTTTCAGAAGTTCAAATCTGACTTTATATTTAAGATTTGACCTGCAATGATCTTTTCAAGGTCAAAAAGATATTTTTTCAACTAATTGCTTCAAATTGACCAATTTTTTTTTCAAAATTATCTACAAGTTCTCAGAAGTTCAAATCTGACTTTACATTTATTTGATATTTCACTTTCAATGACCTTCTCAGGGTCAAAAAAGGTATTTTTCAACTTGCCTCAAATTTACCAAATTTATTATTCAAAATCATCTTCGAGGTCTCAGTAATTCAAGTAATTCAAATCTGACTTATGATTGAACTAATAATATTGTGAGCAACAAGGTGGTGACACTTTGTCATGTTAATGCCTTGTTTATTCTTGCAGGTACCATGAAGTGTTCTTCATGATTGACACATGTCAGGCAGAGTCAATGTTTCAGAAGTTCTACAGTCCTAACATTCTTTCTATCGCTAGTAGCAAAGTTGGGGAGGACTCATTATCTGTAAGTATTACATATACTAGTTTTATCCCATTCTTAGTAGACTAAGTGTTATAGAGAAATAACATGCGGGAATATAATTGATATCTGAGGTGACCGAGTGATATTTATCTCCCGCTGAGTTGAGCTCAGCAATTCCCGGGAATTTCATTTTATGTTAAAAGCTGTGGAGTTTTTAAAAAAATGTTAATAGGTTTACATTGAGATAAGATGTTCATGTTTTGATTATAGTTATCATTTGTAATTATTACATGAGGGTTCCATAACATTTAATGCATACTGCATAATCTACTAATCTCCATAATATACTAAGTATAGGATAAATCAGTTATTAAATGCTCAATTTTTGATACAGGTATATCCCTCGGTAAATACAATATATCAACCCTCAGTCCCTACGGTCCCTCGGGTAGATATATTGTATTTCCCTCAGATATACCCTGTATCAAAAACCTCACATTAAATAACCTCTATATCCTATCTTCACTAGCACTAGTCATGTTAGTTTTTCATGTTTCACTATTTGTATATCATGCCAGGATTTTACAAAGTGTGTATCTACATTTTAGGAAATCAAACAAAGTACAAATTCACTCACCGAATCTTTACTCACTCTACATGTACTGCCAACCAATTTTTGTGCCTGTTTTTTGTGTCATATCATTACCACAAATATCCTTGTTCTTTTAGCATCACGTGGACCCAGCTATTGGTGTGTACATCATTGATAGATTCACATACTACGCTCTTGAGTTCTTGGAGAAGTGCAAACCAGATAGTAAAAAGACAATGGGTCAATTTGTAAGTTTTTGCTGTTTATTTATGTGTCATATCTCTGGAAGTAATTTAATCTTGAAATTATTGCTTTGTGTTGCTATAACTTATGAATTTGATTTAGTACCATCAACATCATATTTTCCACATTTAGGCTAGGCAAATGGAAGTTTAACATCCCAAAAATTGCAACAGTTTTTAAATTAGGCTTATATTGTATATTGATACCAGTTGAAAAACATATCAAAAATATAGAAAAATATATGCAGTGGACAAATATGAAATGTCACATTCTAGGTACCCCCCTCCAAATTTGAGTATGGGATTGTAAATATTTTTTAATTTCAAAATGAAATGCTCTTGTCAACTAAATGAGTAATATTATGATAGTTTACTGACATAAGAGCAACTAAAAATTGTCAACCAACTATTTGAGTGCAATAATTGGCACTTCTAGCCCCAAATATCTGAAAATAGGCCATCAAATAGCCCGAATTTAATATAACAATGTATTTATTTCTGTATCAATTCATCAGAATTGCATGAAAAAAATCAAGGAGGTTAATGTATACCTGAAAATTGTATTTGATCAGTATCAGGGTCATTAGTTGAATATTGAGGGTGATAATAATATTTGAAATTTCAATATTTTACCACACCAACTTTTGGGGTGACCTTACTTTTGTTTAATTACTTCCAAGATATGTCATATTTGAACTCAATAGCACAACTAAATTATTTGTAAAGGCTTATTTTGTCCTGAAAACAGTTATTTGATGTTTTCAGGGAAGGATTATGTAAAAAAAAAAGTAGAAAAACTGCAAATGCCAGGTGAAATATAGGGGAAGCCCTACTTTTAGTTGATAACTGCTAAATTATCAAATGTTTTGCCCTTATTATAATCAATTTGATACATTTTCTGTTAAAACAGAGAACGATTTCTAAGAAATTAAGTACAATCAGTGTTCTAAAAATATCCTTGAAAAGGCAACAAAATGTTAAATATCCCTGTCCCTGACATCAGGTTATTAATATGAGCCAAAAAAAGGTAACCCAACCAAATTTTTGTTAATAACCCAGTCATTCAGCATGGGTTTGACATCATATTTTGCACAATTACCTTGTTCAATGTTCTTTCATTCTACTAAGTGTCATTGATCTATCCTTAATAGTCACGATTTTATGGCCATTTACAAAATGTGCTCAAAATATCGAAATGTGCCTAAATGACTGGACATCAATACCACCAGCTTTTTGTCTGTGGACCTATTTTCTATACCAACAACCCTTGAAACATTAAAACAAGAGATAAGAATGAAGATGAGAGCCATAACACACGATTTTTATGCTCCTGATTTGAAAAACTACGCCCGATACGTTCACGTTGACCTCCAGGCATGACGCCCATATTTCATGGCATGGTATAAAATGGCCATAAAATCGCGACCACTAGAGATACACCACTGAGACTAGATTGATAATACATTGACCAAGGCTCAATTCTGCAAAATATGACACTAAATTCATGCAGGATGACTGGACTGGGTTATTAAGATTTGTTTGGGTTACCTTTTTAGCTCACCCTGTATTAAGGAAAAGTGTTGCTTTTGACTAAGATGTTCTTAACCACACTGTGATATTGAGAATTGAAATGAAGAAGTTCAACTGTAGAATGTTGGATTTCAAGATGAAATTCAATAAAAAATGAGGAAAAGGTTTCTACGCTAGTAAATCCCTGGTCTTTATACAGGGCATGGTTCGATTACGTTATGTTCATTATCAAAAATGCTGCCTTCATTTTGTAATCTTAACTTACATGTACATATATGTGTCTTACTAAGAGAGCAAAAAATAATGCTGATTAAATAAGCTTAATACTTTTATGTTGTAACAACAATCACTTTCAACCTTGCTTATCACCAGCCTTCATTTTTTAGTCATCATTATTTTCATGATCAGTAATGGAGGTACTTGCACAAATGCCTTTGCATACCTTACATGCCATAGAACAGTTATTCCATTTTCTGCAAGTACATCTCATAGAAGTTCAATCTGTCTTACACACACAATGGATGATCTCTAAGAGAGGGGAGCTGCAGGTAGGCAATAGACTAGATACGAGTAGAAATATTCATTAAATATTCAAAATTCAAAATGATGTCATATTTGAAATATTCCCGATAGACCCCATGTTACAAAATCACAAAAATTGAATTATCTTATCTTGTATTGGACAGATAACATTTTCTTTTACTGGACATATTTTAATTTGCATAACTATTAGATACATAAGTGTTATATGAAAATTGAACCACGCAAATAGCTAGATGTAATTTAAGTTAGGGAACTTTCTACTATACCAGCCATGCTATCTGACCCAAATGAGCCATAGTGGTGGTGAATCTGGTAACTACCTACTCACATCTGCGTTATTGGTACAAAAGCTTCGCTGCTTATTTCCCAGCCCAATTATAATGGAGGCAGTTTATTTCCCTTCCACTCCTGGATCTGAAGGTATGCTCTATAACTGTGGTATCCCGCAGCATCAGACGTTGGAGGAAGAGCACGGGGCTGCAATAATTCAGATCTTGCTGCTCTCTTTTAATAGAATTTTTGAAGCCTAAGTACGTTGTAACAAAATGTCAGAACATCGAAGGTATTATGATTTTTCTTTTTATGTCACCACCAAAAGTGGTGACATATTGTTATGGTCTCCGTTTTTTTGCGACGGCGTCCGGCGGTTGGTGGTTGGCGTCCGGCGTCTGTAACAATTTCTTACAACTTCCTATAACTTAACAAATACTGTTTAGACTGACTTCAATTTTTTTCTAAATCATCTACATGTTCTCAGAAGTTCAAATCTGACTTTAGATTTGACATTTGACCTTCAATGACCTTCTCAAGGTCAAAAAGGTCTTTTTTTCAACTTGCTTCACATTGACTAAATTTTTTTTCAAAATCATCTACATGTTCTCAGAAATTCAAATCTGACTTTAGATTTGACATTTGACCTTCAAATCTGACTTTAGATTTGACATTTGACCTTCAATGACCTTCTCAAGGTCAAAAAAAGTAAAAAAGGTCTGTTTTCAACTTGCTTCAAATTGACTAAATTTTTTTTTCAAAATCATCTACGTGTTCTCAGAAATTCAAATCTGACTTTAGATTTGACTTAAGATTTGACATTTGACCTTCAGTGACCTTCTCAAAGTCAAAAAAGGTCAAAAAGGTCTTTTTTTAACTTGCTTCAAATTGACTAAATTTTTTTTTCAAAATCATCTACATGTTCTCAGAAATTCAAATCTGACTTTAGATTTGACATTTGACCTTCAATGACCTTCTCAAGGTCAAAAAAGGTCAAAAAGGTCTGTTTTCAACTTGCTTCAAATTGACTAATTTTTTTTTTCAAAATCATCTACGTGTTCTCAGAAATTCAAATCTGACTTAAGATTTGACTTAAGATTTGACATTTGACCTTCAATGACCTTCTCAAGGTCAAAAAAGGTCAAAAAGGTCTGTTTTCAACTTGCTTCAAATTGACTAAAAAAAAATTTCAAAATCATCTACGTGTTCTCAGAAATTCAAATCTGACTTTAGATTTGACTTAAGATTTGACATTTGACCTTCAATGACCTTCTCAATGTCAAAAAAGGTCAAAAAGGTCTTTTTTCAACTTGCTTCAAATTGACTAAATTTTTTTTTCAAAATCATCTACATGTTCTCAGAAATTCAAATCTGACTTTAGATTTGACATTTGACCTTCAATGACCTTCTCAAGGTCAAAAAAGGTCAAAAAGGTATTTTTTCATCTTGCTTCAAATTGACTAAATTTTTTTTCAAAATCATCTACATGTTCTCAGAAATTCAAATATGACTTTAGATTTGACATTTGACCTTCAATGAGCTTCTCAAGGTCAAAAAAGGTCAAAAAGGTCTTTTTTCAACTTGCTTCAAATTGACTAATTTTTTTTTTCAAAATCATCTACATGTTCTCAGAAATTCAAATCTGACTTTAGATTTGACATTTGACCTTTAATGACCTTCTCAAGGTCAAAAAAGGTCAAAAAGGTCTGTTTTCAACTTGCTTCGAATTGACTAAAAAAAATTTTCAAAATCATCTACGTGTTCTCAGAAATTCAAATCTGACTTTAGATTTGACTTGAGATTTGACATTTGACCTGCAATAACCTTCTCAAAGTCAAAGAAGGTCAAAAAGGTCTTTTTTCAACTTGCTTCAAATTGACTAAATTTTTTTTCAAAATCATCTACGTGTTCTCAGAAATTCAAATCTGACTCTAGATTTGACATTTGACCTTCAATGACCTTCTCAATGTCAAAAAAGGTCAAAAAGGTATTTTTTCAACTTGCTTCAAATTGACTAAATTTTTTTTTCAAAATCATCTACATGTTCTCAGAAATTCAAATCTGACTTTAGATTTGACATTTGACCTTCAATGACCTTCTCAAGGTCAAAAAGGTATTTTTTCATCTTGCTTCAAATTGACTAAATTTTTTTCAAAATCATCTACATGTTCTCAGAAATTCAAATATGACTTTAGATTTGACATTTGACCTTCAATGACCTTCTCAAGGTCAAAAAAGGTCAAAAAGGTCTTTTTTCAACTTGCTTCAAATTGACTAATTTTTTTTTTCAAAATCATCTACATGTTCTCAGAAATTCAAATCTGACTTTAGATTTGACATTTGACCTTTAATGACCTTCTCAAGGTCAAAAAAGGTCAAAAAGGTCTGTTTTCAACTTGCTTCGAATTGACTAAAAAAAATTTTCAAAATCATCTACGTGTTCTCAGAAATTCAAATCTGACTTTAGATTTGACTTGAGATTTGACATTTGACCTGCAATAACCTTCTCAAAGTCAAAGAAGGTCAAAAAGGTCTTTTTCAACTTGCTTCAAATTGACTAAATTTGTTTTCAAAATCATCTACGTGTTCTCAGAAATTCAAATCTGACTCTAGATTTGACATTTGACCTTCAATGACCTTCTCAATGTCAAAAAAGGTCAAAAAGGTATTTTTTCATCTTTCTTCAAATTGACTAAATTTTTTTTCATAATCATCTACATGTTCTCAGAAATTCAAATATGACTTTAGATTTGACTTTTGATTTGACATTTGACCTTCAATGACCTTCTCAAGGTCAAAAAAGTTCAAAAAGGTCTTTTTTCAACTTGCTTCAAATTGACTAATTTTTTTTTCAAAATCATCTACATGTTCTCAGAAATTCAAATCTGACTTTAGATTTGACATTTGACCCTTAATGACCTTCTCAAGGTCAAAAAAGGTCAAAAAGGTCTGTTTTCAACTTGCTTCAAATTGACCAAATTTTTTTTTCAAAATCATCTACATCTTTTCAGAAGTTCAAATTTGACTTTACAAGTTTTCAGAAATTCAAATCTGACTAGAGTTTGAACTCATAATATTGTGAGCAACTAGGTGGTGACATTTTGTCATGTTAATGCCTTGTTTTCCTTATTTCACACGTTGTAGGCAGAATTCCCACAACATTGTTATCACAAACATGTATCAGTATTATATGTTTAAAAAATGTACATATTTGCGAACAAATAGTTCAGAAGACAACAGAATCGTCGATTTAATTCCTCACTTAAGTTACATAAATGGTATTTCGATAAACAGTTAAGATCTGCACTTTTAACCCAAACCGTTTATGTAACTTAAGTGAGGAATTAAATCAAGAATTGTCTTCTAAGCTATTTTTGCGCAAACATGTACATTTTCTAAAACATGTGTTACTGATACACGATTGTGAGAAAAAAACATCGTGGGGATTCTGCGTACAACGCGTGAAAGAAAAATCGCACATTCGACGTTTAGACATTTTGTCATACCTAAACGGGCGTATTCGAGCGGATCACCAGTGCTTTTGGTAATTTAAAAACGACCGCTTGTCTTCTCAAGAACTCACTCTTTTTTATCTGCCTCAATGATAGCTTCTTGTCAATCCCATATATAACCAGAATGAGGTGTCACACCCCAGAAAAGCATGGATAAAGAAAATGTTGTCACTGACCACTTTTCCCAAAGACAATCTTATTTCATTTATATCCAACATTTTGTTTCTTGGGTTGCTGCTTTTGGTTCAGGTTTGAAGAAAATGTTGAAGTTTGTGTTTTGTGCATGATAAATGAGAAGCACAAGGAGAACTGGATGAGTACTGTATTTGAGGTTGGAACACTTTGGATTGCAGTCTTCACAATCACAATATCTGCATCCGATTCTGAATGTGTAGCACATGTACACTCAATGTTTTCCAACCTGACAGACAGAATTACCATCATTCCTACGCACTGAAATTATATTAATGAAAGACTTCCCAGATATCTGAGATTTAAATGTGCTCTATCAGTTTAAATTACCTTTAATAACCATAAAATCGTTTCTCCAACATTATACATCCAGTTCCATAGTAATGTATTCACTCAATGTTTTCCAACCTGACAGACAGAATTACCATCATTCCTACGCACTGAAATTATATTAATGAAAGACTTCCCAGATATCTGAGATTTAAATGTGCTCTATCAGTTTAAATTACCTTTAATAACCATAAAATCGTTCCTACAACATTATACATCCAGTTCCATAGTAATGTATTCTTAAGTAATGATTTATGTATCTGATGAATTTAAATATATGCAAATTTTGTAATTGCGGATTGTAATTAATAATTTAAACAATATTAAATTCCACAGAAACTACAATACATTATTTAGATAAGCCTAGTATAGAACAGTTACCAAATACCCTAATACCAGAGTGGTGATATGTAATTATTCATCAATTAAAAGTGAGGTCACCTTAACATTTCACCTGGTGCAACTAATAATTCCTATTTTCATACTAATAAGGTATAAACCTTCACAAAACCTTATTTTAGATGATGACAAGCCTATATAAATGATTTAGATGTCAACTCTAATACGAATGTCATGCATTGTGGGAGTTTGTCATCAAAACTATAGTCTCCCCTATAGTGGGCGGGGCAAAACTATGAAAATGAATTTTTTTTTTCTTCGTAAGTCTACACGTTAGAATTCTGATACTCACCAAATATTAAGTTCACATAAATATGTAACACCATGATTTTTTCATGCTTTTCTGACAATCTGATCCTAAAATATCTAAATAGATATTCAAAACTATAGTCTCCCCTAGTGGGCGGGGCAAAACTATGAAAAAGAAATAATTTTTTTCTTCCTAAGTATACAAGTTAGAAGTCTGATACTCACCAAATATGAAGTTCATATGAATATGTAACACCATGATTTTTTTCATGGTTTTCTGACAAACTGATCCTAAAATATTTAAATAGATATGTGATAACATGCCTGTTTTGTGGCCTATTTTGTTATACTTTGGGGTCAAATGACCAATTACTGGTCTCAAAAATGATCAAAACGATATTTTAATTATTTGTGAATATGTGATCTATCGTAATAAAGCTTGAATACTTGACTAAAGTATTCCATTTGGGAACAAAAAATTGTTTCCTACCAATACTCAATTTTGGGGTAGGGTTGTAGGGGGTACCTAGGAAGTGAAATTTCATATTTGTCCACTGCATACATTTTTCTATATTTTTGATATGTTTTTCAACTGATATCAATACATAATATAAGACTAATTTAAAAACTGTTGCAATTTTTGGGATGTTTGGGCCTTTTATGAGCCCATTTGCTTGGCCTAATTTGAAATGGTTGCAAATTCATGACATTTTTAGAATTTGTATAGAAGAATGTTGTATCAGCACAACTATATACACAATTACACTTTATTATGGAATCCCTTATACAAATCAATTCCAAAAATAGTTTTACTGTAACTAGACCCATTAATATTATCTTATACAAATCAATTCCAAAAATAGTTTTACTGTAACTAGGCCCATTAATATTATGTATGTGATATATTTCCAGCTCAAAGTGTGCCCCAAAAGTAAATGCATCTCAACAGTTGGTATCAGGACAGATCTGTTCCCTCGTAACCCTGATAAAGTTCTCATCACAGATTTCTTTGGCTCTGTCAGAAATGTAGAACTTACAGATTCTCAGCTTGAAATCACTGACTCACCTCAAAACACATGCAGGTATGTTTGGTCACAGTTTCGTTAATTTTTAAAGACATTATTTTTGCAACTATACATCCTCGCTCAATGTGTAGGTCTGATGTTATGAGCTATAGGCAGAAAATTCATCAGAATTCGAGAGGTCTATCAAGTGAGAAAGGGTGATAGTTTTTTTTTCAAGTTGTAACATTAGTCTCATTACACTATATTGTACTACAGTTATGAAGATGAAACAATGAAGAATCAAATATTTTTTTATTTATTTTCAGTGATGATACTTGCTCAAATAAAACCAAAGATACACAACCAGTTAGTCCTAGTAAAAAGAAATACAGATTTGCCAGTCAATTCCCCACAGAATTTCTTTCAAACTCAGTAAGTATATAAACTTTCTTGCAAACATTGTTTTCAGCCTTACAAGTATTGTAACCCTACACCAGCACCATGAAATGACCATTTAATGGGTGGAGTAAAAGATGAACCTTCAAAAGACTTACAATGAATTCCCTAAATGTATAACAGTATGGAGTATATTCCAAGTGAAGCTAAGCAAGAGGCAGAATTTTACAGAAAAATATCAATTCACTAAGTTTTTTATTATTTCATTTGAAATTTGAAAAATGGAGTCTTATGATATTTTAGTATTTTCTCCCTTTAATTCAAATATTGGCAATTTAATTTGATTTGCCTCGCCTCTCTTCAGATTCTAGTTCCACCCCTATATTTAATATCTAATTGTTCTAATTTCAGAGGTGATACAAACAAAGTGATATGAACTAACGTGAACAATTGTGAGAAACATTAAATAACAAGTGACTATGTATGTGATAGGAACTGTGAACTGCTCAAGCCATAGTTAACAGTACTTCAATTGTTGAAAGCACTATTGAGAGCATGGAGTGAAGAGATTTTAATATTGGAAGACACTCGGACTTTGGACATGGAAAATATAAGAGGATGAACAATATTGCACATGGAAAATATAGGAAGATGGACAATACTGGATGATGAAAAATCTTGAACAGAATGAGGGATGGGCATTTGGGCAATATTGGAAGGATCATTATGAGAATGTAATCAGGTTGTGAGAATTGTGAATCCTTTCAACATCTCATAATGGCTCAGTTAATGTGCAATGGGAGTGCAGTCAGTATGCTAAAAACAATGTATGTGTATGATCAGTGTTAAAAGGATTCAATAAAGTACATGGCCAGATTAATACGGGGAGCTGTTTCTACCTTAAGATATTAATTAACATTGTCCTACCACACATATATGCCCTATGGTGTCTGTGTGAGATAATTGTAACTCAAATGAAATGAAGGAAGTAAGGATTGAATCAATTTTGAAATGCAGTTTGTAATCAAAGTTTGTTTACAAATGAGTGACATTACCTGAAGTGAAGGCAATGAACTCCTTGGTGTATTTTGCTCTGACCATTGATGGATCTTTTTGACAAACCCACTTGAATCTTTGTCATCAAAATTTGATAAAAACTGCTTATCCAATGAGCTTGAAATTTTTACACATTCAGCTTCAAGAGCAGACTTAAGTACCAAGATCTGGCTTTTGGCATATTGGGTAAATTATATGGCAGCCACGTGGCTCTTCGAAGTGTGATGTTTGTAACTGTGTGTTTGGTTTTTAATTGTACTGATTTGAATATTTTATACATTTTATTATTTGAATACAATATATATGTATAATCATACATTCCAAAATTATTCATTGACATTGTGTTTGCTATGTATGTATGGTTTGAGGGCTTTATAAACTTGCCAATATGAAGGTTGTAAGTGAGTAGATTGTTTTCACAAAATTGGCAGGGTGAGATATCATGTCAACTTGACCTTTCCCTGTGGTCTGATAATTGATAAAGAATGCATGCTGTTCAAAAATTGCAGACCATGAGTGCAAACCCAGTGACAGAGTCCAGATTGTTAAAGTCCCCGTCTAAAGTTTGAAAATATTTTTTTATTATTCATTTACTATTTGTCAGGACTTAAAAAGTGATTTTAGAGATTTTTGAACAAAAAAAAATTTTTGAACAAAAAGTTTTGAGCATTTCATTTCATCAAATATTTCTTAATGCATTTCAAAAAAGATTATCTTTTTAACACCAATGCAAAGATTGAACAAAAGACACACTATTTCAATAATAAAATTTCATATTTAATGGGCCACTTCAATGTTTAAGCTTATCAAAAATATTTTGAAACATTAGTGATGTCACTAAGGTAACAAAAACTTTTTGAAAAAAATTGAATTTTTTTTCGATGTCAATCTTTTCTAAATATGCTAGACTTTCATAAAAAACCAATGTTGATTGTCTAACCAGGTTAAAAGGAAGAATAAATTATGTTTTAGATATCATTGTACCATTGGTTTCTATGAGAACTAAAATTTTGAAATGCATTTTTCTCAGAACCATTTTCATGCACTGATAAGTTCATTTCTCGCTTGTTTATGAACCGATTTTCTTAATTTTTTCGGCAAAAACATGGGAGGATGAATGCTATGCTTTGGTATGAATTGTGGCTAATTAGAAGATATGAGTGACCTCTAAAAGTTGGTTTTAAATAAATTCACAAATTTTGGAACAAAAAGTCTATCAAAAACCACTTTTTGAAATTTAAAAAAAAAGTTTCACATATCACACTTTGATAACATTGGGTAAGACTACAATATAAGCCAAAGTGGTTTAAACTTTACATGGGGCCTTTAAGGGATAATTTATGATTGGTCCATATCTCCTCATTAACCTTTGAATACCAGGTATTTTTAGCTCACATGGTGAGCAGGGCTATTGTTATTAATTTTGACATTTTACTGTCTTAAAGATTCTCGCAATCTTTATCCAATCAGCGTTTGCGAGTGTGTCGGCTCACGTATAAAAGGCGAATCCAACTCAAATCCATGCAGGGGTGTATGAGGTACTCCAATATGAAAGAGCTCGTGAAATCTGAATTTATATGCACATGGTCAATGTTTACACATGTTTGGAGTTATTAAAGAAAATGTGATATGGGTGTGGTTCCGGATTTGAAGTCATTGCTGGAAAATATGATTTTAATACGTGAAATTATATCTATAAATACAGCACTAAAAATAACAGTAGACTATATACATGTATGATTGTGTCCAGAAATGTTTGAAACCCCTACGGAAAATTCTGTCTACATTTTGTCACCATTGCTCTTTCTTCCCGCATTCTAGTGCTGTTTGAATGAATATATTAATTAATGTATTTCTAACTAAAATATATCACTTTTTTTTATAAACCACAAACATTTAGATCATAAAAAATTATTCAATACTTGAGTGAGCACGATATGCAAGGGTTACTAAGTTGACACAGTAAATGACCACTGATATTGTGTTAGTTCATGCACACAGCGTATTCTGCTAAGGCCATAAGAAGTAGATCCTCTGTTTTGCGTCCCCTTGCTTGCAAGATTTTGAGTAAATCAGAAAAAACACATCCAAATAGCAATCACAAGGGTCTGAAAGTACCATCGCATTTCAGAATCAGATGAAATGGCGGATAATTTGATGTGCGTCAAAATTGACAGTCTTATAATTATTTGACATACATTGTGTTTTTCTAATTTTTTACCCTTGAATAATAGCTATATTTTTATATATTGTATAAAATGTATAGATATGTGTTTGTAATCACTGCAAATTGGGATGTCATTCTTTTTTATGCCCCTAAAATGTATATATTTCTCAGCAAACAAGTTTGTGTTTTTTTCTTGAGTTTGTGTTTGTTTTCCTTGTACCCTTGCATGATTTGGATTTTGCCAGGACGCAAAACAAAGAATCTACTTCTTATGGCCTAATATACATTTGCTAACACCCCCACTTTCATAGTGAAGTGACTAATTGGTTTATGTTTACGTTTTAATGTGTTTTGGGTTCCTTGTTACAGCAAGGGGGGCCAGTAAAGTAGACTAACATGTTTGCATGGCAAATTTTGATCGAATATGTGAGACACTTTAATATACAATTAAAGATGTTATTTTGGTAATATTAGTGGACATAGCCTTTCACACATTTTTATACATACATTAGTTTGAACAAAATGTCAAAGTTAGAGCAATTCATGTGAAATGTTCTTTGACTGATTTGGTCATTTGGGTATTTAAGGGGTTAAATCATGTGATAAAGCAGCCCTTGTATGAAGTCATATTGATTATATAATCAAAATTAAATATTCATTTTTAAATGTTAATTTTTTGAAAGAATGTCACATAATATAAGCTCTGGAATATTATTATAAAGCTTGAATGTCAGGTGTCTACTTTGATATTTTGTGACAATAGGTGTCTGTTGACTTTATCATTTACATGGCAATGTTAGCCTGTGATCAATCCAGGTACAATACATGGTTCACCAAGCTTAGGTAGTCCCACACGTGTAAGTATCTCATTTGGTTCTTTCATCATTTCATCTGTGATTTCTTGTCTGGTGACTTTGTCTTTTTGGAAGCCACTACCTCTTTGGGAATCCTTCTCCATTGCTTCAACACCTTTTGTAATGAAATCCTCTGATATATCGCAATAATTGAAAATTGCTTTCACTGCTTTAGGTGGATCACTGAGCAGGTCTTCATATCTTATTGCTGCTATTTTGACGCCATTTTTGTTGAGGTCAAGGTACTCAGACATCATGCCTGCCCAGTTTAATGACATCACAGAAAATGCTGACATATTTTGCGCAAAATGTTTTTCTTTTGCCCATTTGAAATTTTCCTTTGCAGGCAAGAATATATCAATGATCATGGTCGTCATTTTCTTCGGTGCACAATTCCTCAATATGATGTTAGTTTGGAAAGCAAAAAATATCTTGAAGAATGTCAAGAATGCGAATGCGTTGTACATAGACTTGATTGTTTTAAGGTTGTCTCTGTACAAATACAATTGGTAAATATCTGGGAATGCCTCTGCCACATGATCCACATCCCTGATGGAAATGGAGCGGGTTTTGATACAATAACTTGTAACATCCTCTGATCTTGGCTTACATTGCAAACGAATCACATTTTTGACCATTTGTGACCAATCCCCTTTCTCCATTACATGTCTCCTTCCTGATAGCTTAGTCATTGAGTCAGGTTCTGCAATTGTGATAAGTCCAGGGGTCGCCTCAAACACTTGTGAGAGTAGCGTTGATCCACACCTCCCAGTGCTCGATATTAATATCACTTTCATTTTGGGGTCACCTGTTTCATCAGCCAGCTTAGTGAAGCTATCAAAGGGCATCTTTATTAATCTAACAGCATGTTGAAATTGGGAGATGTAGAAAAATGGATTCACATCTGAGCTGTAGACATTTATATCCAGTGGAGTTTCAACAAATAATGCCTCATTATTATCTGTAATGCCATATAAGGTTATGTTGTCATCAAGAACACATCTAGGGTCATCAAACTTCTCATGTGTGCATAGAAAATCAGCTTCTTGTGTCACCATAAAATCTGTAAATTTTCCACGCCATATGATTTTGGCAACTTGAGCTGATTTCTTGTAGTTTTTTCCATCATTGATATCGTCAATTGTTGAAGACAGACCTGTCAATCTCCAATATAATCGTTGGAGTTTTACAAACACAAATCGTATGATAATGTACACAATGAATGTGGCTAACCCCATTTTTCCCAAATGGTAAATCCAATTTATGATTCCCTTAACTATGCTGTAAAGTGGTCTCTTTAAGAATTTTACTCAGTTCTCATACCATTTACCCTGAAAAAAATTAGGAGTAAGAAATGAAGCTATTGTTGTCATAGCATATTGTATTTAAGGAACTTAAAAAGATGTTCAGTTGCTCTTTTGTGGTGAATTCTTTTGATGCATTATCCAATATGCAAATTTTCATAATAATGAAGACTAAGAAATATTGATTATGAAAATTCCATTGCTCAACAGCAAAGTGGTGGAATATGTGATGTTTTTAGCTCACATGGTGATTTATTTCATGTTTTTCTCACCACTTTTAGAAATCTTACTCATCATTTAAAGTATGTATTTGTTGTTTCTTACCTCATTGGTTGATTCTTTAAAATGTCTAATATTTCAGCTGAATATTGTACTGTTCTGTGATTTCAGAGTGTGGAGTGAGGTTGGATTTCTAGTTCTTTCCTCACTGGTTTACTCTTAACCAATCTAAGATTTTAGCTGAGTAGTTTATCACCATGTGTTTAATTCACTACAATACTTTATGGCTCTGTTTTACTTTAACATTATTAGAGGTTATAAATCATGTACTTTTGATAATAGTGATGAACCTTTGTTATAGATAAACTATTTCAACTACTACGTGAGAAGAGGTGAAATAGTACATATTTTGGTACAAGCTGCAATATGTTCAAGTTTGAATATATTTCAAAATTTTCTTCCTGAGTCCATTGGATCTTTGGAAAGAAAACTGAAAGTTTTATAAATGAAACAGACAAAGTAAATGCCGTGGCATAAGTTGAGCCTAATTATGATAAATATGGACAGGCAAAACAATGCTTACAAATGTATCAAAAAAGCTCTGTTTTGTTTTTCTTTTGTCATAATGATCACTTATGATTCATAAGTTGTACACCTTATACAGTAAAAACTATATAGGTGGATAACCTTTGGTTCCTCTAAAATGTGTACCACTTGGGAGGTGTTCCACTTATAGAGGTTTATTTATGTCAGAATATTTGTTTCATACAGGGTGGTCCAAAAAATCCTGTAACATTTTTTATTACTCCATCTATAAACAATGACATTTTGGAGTTGTGCTACAAGAAACAACAAAAAGAACTTGTAGCTTGTAGTTTCTTTCTTGACACTTCCAATTATTGCCACTCTGTCTCAATATTTATCCAGTTACTATTCATTTTCAATGTTCTCTTTTCATTCATGTTCTGGCATTAAATAAGGCATCAATTTGGATACATTTATATTTTTTTATTTCAAAAATCTCTAAAAATGTAAATTATATCAATCAGACATCTCAAATGGATGCACCAATTTTGTATAAATAAATAAAAAAAATAAAATAAAACAACCATCTATTTTAACTGGGAACTTATTTTAAATGTTCAAATCTCCATGATAACATGCAGATTTTTTATAGCCAACACAATACCAATGATGGACTCTCACCAAAAAGTAAAATAATTTGTTCAATTTAATTTTAAATAGTTGAAAACTACAATAAGCCTAAAGGTTCCACTTGTTAGATTATTTAATTGGTTATCACAAACTGGAATCTGAAAAATATTAAATAGTAATGTAAATATTTCTGAACATAATGTACGTGTACACTTATACACATTTACATACATACACTATATAAAGTATTATCATATGATCTGTAAAATGAAGCCCTCTGATTGGTCAGTTCTTTTGCTGTACCAATCTGTATTGCTACTGAGATTGTCCCTGTTGATCATCTCCGTCGCAATACAGAAAATATTGGTACGGAGGGGACAATCTCAGTAGCAATACAGAGGAACACATGATAAAAACGTTATTGAATGATTTGAAGTGCATTACAGGATATATTCTGTCTCGATATTATGTATTGGCACTCGCTTTTATCTCGTTCCAATGCGGAATTTCTCGAGCAGAATATATCCTGTATTGCACTTCAAATCATTCAATAACTTATAATATCAGAATGGTTAGTATGATTTTGGAGTACAATATCATTTTAATTTCAATTTGAATTAATATGATGAAACACTGTTACACTGTTATCAGTAATCATTACAACTTTAAATCTTTGATAGTTTGGTTGCCAGTTCCAAAACTGAATGTAATTTTCACGTTGATGCGCATTTAATTAAATGTACTGTTGTAAGCACGTCTGTTCATATTTTCTTGTATGGGTAGTTGTGTCATTTACAATATGGCCATCTTTTCTTGTGTGATTTACAATTTTGAGTATAATTTCATCTTAGATTGCAATAGCCAATTAAAATATATATGGGTTCATTGATATAATAGTTTTTGATAGCAATCTTTCCTTTATGTACATAAAAACTAACTTGCTTAATTCTCCATATTATATTTGTGATAATTTTAGCTTTGTGTATCTCCTGTGATTAACCCAGGCACAATACATGGCTCGTCAAGTTTAGGTAATCCCACACGTGCAAGAATCTTATTAGGTTCAATTTTCATGTCATCTGTCATTTCTTTCTTGGTAACTTTGTCTTTCTGGATGTCAGTTCCTCTTTGGGAATCTTTTGCCATAGCTTCAACACCTTTTGCAACGAAATCCTCTGAGATATTGCAGTACTTGAAAATTGCTTTAACAGCCTTGGAAGGATTGTTTAGCATGTCTTCATATCTTATAGCTGCTATTTTAACACCATTTTTGTTCAGGTCCATGTACTCTAACATCATGCCAGCCCAGCCAAGAGTCATAACAGAGTGCATTGACATATTTTGAACAAAACTTTTCTCTTTTGCCCATTTCAAATGTTTATCAGGAGCAAACATATCAACGAGCATGGTCCTCATTTTCTTAGGTGCACAATTCCTCAATATGATATTAGTTTGGCAAGCATAAAACATTCGGAAGAATGTTGTAGTTGCAAAGGCATTAAACATGGACATGATTGTTTTAAGGTTATCTCTGTATAAGTACAGTTGGTATATATCTGGGAATGCCTCTGCAATGTAATCAACATCCCTGGTGCAAACTGAGCGTGTCTTGATGCAATAACTTGTAACATCATCTGACCTGGGCTTACATTGTAGTCTTATCACATTCTTGGCCATTTGTGACCAAACACTTTTGTCCATATCAAGTCTCATTACGGTTAGCTTAGTCATTGAGTCAGGCTCTGCAATTGTGATAAGTCCAGGGGTCGCCTCAAACACTTGTGAGAGTATCGTTGATCCACACCTCCCAGTGCTCGATATTAATATCACTTTCATCTTGGGGTCACCTATTTCATCAGCCAGCTTAGTGAAGCTATCAAAGGGCATCTTTATTAACCTCACTGCATGTTTATATTGGGCGATGTAGAAAAATGGATTCACGTCTGAGCTGTAGACATTAATATCAGGTGGGGTTTCCACAAATAAGGCCTCTTTATTATCTGTAATGCCATATAAGGTTATGTTGTCATCATGAACACATCTAGGGTCATCAAATTTCTCATGTGTGTATAAAAAATCAGCTTCCTGTGCAACATTGAAATCCATAAACTTCCCACGCCATATGATTTTCCCGACTTGAGCCGATTTCTTGTAATTATTTCCAGCATTAATCTCCTCAAAAGTAGAAGATAGGCCTGTCAATCTCCAATATAATCCTCGGAGTTTTACAAACACAAGTCTTACAATGGAGTATACAAAGAATTGAGCCAGCCCCATATTTCCACTAGATATGATTACTCCTCACAGTTGAGACTACACCAAGAAGATTCTTACAGAAGGTGTGCGCAGGAAAATGTTCAGGAACCCTGAAATTGATTAAGAGAAAACATGAGGTTATATAGAAGTTATGAAAAGGAATCAAAGTTCATCATGATTACATTCCATGTAGTCTATGCCAATGCAATGTAATACATAGTTATATCAGCCTATTAGATTATACACATTGAAAAGATAATCAACTGCAACATTAAGTACATGCAATTAAAGAAATGTTGCACTATCATAACCCAAGATGATATATAGCAACACATTTGGAAACTTTCTAGTGGAAAATCTGAAGCATAAAGATATTGTATCTTTATCATGAATACTCTGCCACTCTCTCTATAACAAGACAACTTTGTGAATTATACACAACTTATAATCATATATATATTTGCTGCTACTTACCACGACTGTTGATTTCTTACAGATCCAAAAACAGTTTGCTAGAGTAGTTCATGAGAGAGTGAGAACAGTGTATGCCTTGTATTTAGCCCTGTATGTGTACACTGTTCAGAGTTCTTACTACTGCAAACAATAATGGCAGTGAATGGCTATTTATAGGTCAATAAAACTGCATATATCCCTTATACCTATATACTATCATATTTCTCATATCAGTTAGCATGACCCTTGATAAAACTTTATTGTATAATAGTAATATCATTCAGAATTCCCAGACTATGTACCCTTAGTGCAGAATCTAGTTATAAACAGGCACCCTCTTTAAATAACTAAATCATACAAATAGAAAGCATTCAGAGTCGGACTGTACAAGCATTTATTCCAATTTCAACAATGTTTTTGCATATAAAATGATTTACTAGTTGTAACCCGAGGCAGAGAATATTGAACAAATATTTCACTCTATTGAGGTGAATACCTGTACATCTTTCACAAGTGATATTCCAGGAAGCCCGAAGGGCAAGTGGAATATCACCTTGTGAAAGTGCTATGTTATTATATCACTGTCTAGCTAAACATCCCTAATATTATTAAGTCATAGGTTAACATTGAAATACATTGAATCTACTCGGTTCGTCTGCCATTTTGACTTACACTGAACTAAATTATTTACACTGAACGAAAACAAATTTGAAAATTCCCGGGAGCGTGGGATATCGCTAGATATCTCACGGTTGTCTTATCTGATTAGCATTGCCATTGAATATCGCCAGATATCCCACGAAATGTGACCCGGTTTTGACCAATCATACTGTCGCTAGCTAGATAGTGATATAATAATGATTAATAGTGAAGATCATATGGAAATTCATTCATGTTTTATTGCACAATAGCCTGAATAATTATTAGATTTTCACTCATATGTGCAACATCCTTTAAAAACATCATTAAAACAAGCAAAAACAAATATACAGCATTATTATTGCTCTGTCGTGATAATCAGTATGTGATTGGTCAGTCTTTTACCATGTGACTAAAAATACCACAAGGTATTCCATCCATGTATAAGTCATTGATATGAAAGGTATATTTTTTAAAATAAATACAGGTATTCAATGTATGTGACGTCACATGTGATGTATAGGCTACTGTAAACATGTGGCATTATTTATCCAATTTTCAATTTTTGAGACACTATATAGTTAATAAATTAATATTGTAAAACTGTTAATATATTTCTTCTGTACTTCTCAGATTTTGGTACACACGTAAATGGGTCAAATAATAAAACAAATATTGAATTCTGTTTTCGCACTCAACATCTTTCAATATTTGTATATTATTATATCACTGTCATATTCCTCACTTCCTGATTGGTCCATGCCCTCCATGTGACTAAAAAATCACAAGTGATATTTAACGGAAGAGACTTGATTTCCGTTGAATATTATACAAGTATTTAATTCTATTTAGGTGAATACCTGTGCATATTTGACAGAGTTAAAATGCTTTTTTTATTTTTGAGAAGATAGCTCATTAGGAAACATGGTGGAGATTAAAAGCAAAATTTTTATTATCAAACAGAAAATATGGTTAAAAAGATGTCTAGAATTTTTTAATCAAAAAAATGTATTTAGATTTTAAAATTATAATAGGATTAACTGGTAAATAATAGGTACATGGTGGGTAAAAGTGTTTTTGGGATTTCACAGATATATTGAATTGTTGTATTGAATGTATTTAAATGTTCTATTGAATGAAGTAAATGTATTGAATAGCTGTATTAAATGTAGTGACATTTTGTATTGAATTGTTATAGTATTTGAGTTTGAATGTAGGAGATGCATTGAATTATTGTATTAAATGTAGTAACTTTTGTATTGAATTGTTGGAATTAAATTTTAATAAAAAAAAACAACAAAACCTGTGCATATTTCACTCGTGATATTCCACGAAGCTTGAATGGCTAGTGAAATATCATCTCTTGAAAGTGTCACAGGTATTCATCAAAAATAGAATTAGATATTTGTTTCATTATTCACTGTAATATTCCTCACTCACATTAATGAAATAACAAATTATTGATGTCTGTTAATCATACCAATGTAATCCCAAGGATATATAAAATTAAAAGTACACTGTACTAGTATAAGTCATGAGTGGTGAATATCATTTGATATTCAATATAGGTCATGTGACTTCCATTGGATATTGCTAGTTATTTTTTAGTCATGTGTAGGAGATAAACCAATCAGAGAGCGAAGAATATGACAGTGATATAATAACAAATTATATTGACCAGTCACAACCTTTTGGTATACAGGTTATGAATGAGTAGACATTTATAATAGCGTAAAAACATAAAATCAGAATATATGCATTGAAGTACTTTTATTCAATTATCTTTCAATACATGTACATGTACAATAATAGTACTGTATATAAATCTTAACATTTTTGATCAAAAGGTGATATATAGTACTGCAACATTGTATGTCACTTTATAAATTGGCACAATACCCACTTAAAATATATTCTTGCATCAATGAAAGCATTCTGGTCAATATACTTACAAAATACAAAGCAATTAACTCATGTCCAATTTTGTCAGCCTTAAAGGAATATTCCTTGCAAAACCATCTCTCTCCTCATATGGTAGCTATAACTAGGGATGGGACGGTTCGTTTCGGTTCGGTTCGGTTTTTCGGATCATCAGCCGTCGGTTCGGTTTTTTTCGGTTCGGTTCATTCATTTTAAGGATTTGTATTGATTGACATGATTAGCTGCTTTGTCTCTGACTTCACTGCTGACTGTCACTTTCTTTTAATACAACCAATAAGATAACTAATTTATGCTTGTACACGACTAAAGAATATAGTACCAGGGACCACATGATTGATTACCGAGGGATACGAATACGCGGATACGAAACGAATCTAGTAAACAAGTGAGCTAGCAACAGACAAGACAGACAAGGTAGGGACTAGGAATATCAAAAATGTTGCTGTAAAACAGTGTTTTTAACTGTTTTATTGATACTTGACCAATGAAATATTAATCCGAAAACGATTTGAAAAGCTGATCCGAAAGTAGGGCCGTGATCCGAAAACCGATCCGAAGGCTATGAACCGCGGTTTTTCGGTATTTCGGTTATCCGTCCCACCCCTAGCTATAACCATATATATGCTTGCCATGTTTAGCAAAACATGCAAAAATGTTTTGATATGGTCAAATTTGATCACTTAGAAATGTGATGCTCAATTCCAGTAAGCTGCCATCTTTTAAAATTTCACACAGGAAGTGATGTCATCGACTCTCAACTTTGCATATAGCATTAGGTGAGGAGCTATTAAGAATTACAAAACCAGCTAAATATTCTTTTTCAACTTTGTATCTTATTTAATCCTTCTGAAAATCTCTTCTTTTATTCTAAGTTGACAAGCCCTGAAAATATTTTTGCACAGAAAGTAAGTAATGATCACTTGTCTAGAAGTGATTTTGTGCTACTTTCCTATACTGTTATGGGCAAGGTTATAGAAGTTGAGAGCTGATGACATCACTTCCTGCAAGAATATCTTAAAAGATGGCAGCTCACTGGAAATAAGCACTAGATTTTTAAATGATCAATATTGACCATATTAAAACATTTTCCCATGTTTTGCTAAATATGGAAACTATATATATGATTATAGCTACCATATCAAGAGAGAAAGGGTCAGGCAAGGAATATTCCTTTAAGTACTTTTTTCCTGGTCACTTTCATACAAGCTTTCATTTGATGTATAATACACAGTGATACTCATAAGTCAAGCATAAAGTTTGATAGTAAATATACTTTTTAGCCAACATTTCCATGGATAAGGGTAACAAAGCCTTCTTAGTCGAAGATTTTTTAAAATCTTTTACAGGAAGATACTTCAAGAGTAGTAGGGAGAATATGGCAGTTTTCTATGCAGGGTACAACATTTCAACTATTTTATCTCGGAAGGGCCCAATCTTTTTACTTTACCTTCAACCCAAACATTTGATATAACTGAACTATAAATTCTAGTTTTCTAACCACCATCACCCAAAATTACATTTTCTGAATAAGGTTATGTCAATGAAGTGGTAAAACCTCATCTTAATCAGTCCCTGTCAGAAATTAGTACAGTCACCAAGTCACTTATTAGCCCGGGGCAACAGAAAATAATCCTGGATACAATCAGTTATTTCTAAGGAGTATGTAGGACAGTAAAACCTGTCTAAATGGAACACCTTTGGAACCTCTAAAAATAAAAAAAGTGTTCCACTTGAGAGGTGTTCCACATATAGAGGTTCATTTTACATTAAGTTAGCTGGTCTTAGGACGCTGAAAAGTGTTCCACTAAAAGAGGTGTTCCACTTTACAGGTTTCATTATATTGCTTTAAACCTCTGGCCCACGCCCTCAAGGTCCAAATCCATATTATGTAGAGTGTGTATGTGTTAGTGGGGGGAGGCAAAATCTTGATGCAAGACTATTGGGTATAAAGACTAGCTGCAAATACAATGTCCCTCTTGATTAATCTTGAGGCTTCTTCCATTTTCTGGTACGATACAGGGTCACCGATTATTCTGGCCGCATTTCGAACGTCTCTTAAGACTTCGTCTAAGCGCTGAATTGAGCGTACAATGATTCCTTCTTGTACATCAGTTAAGTCAGTTATATCTGAGAATTTCTGGAAATATAGAATGAATCATTTTATTTGTTTGTTCATGTGAAAATGCAATTGAAGGAGTCATATTCAATCAATCAATTTCATCATTGGTGACGGGCGTTCACTTCACTTTAAGAGTTTACAAATTGTAGACCCTTTTGGACACTTGTGTTAAAATATGTTTGGCAACTCGCACTTGAGCCAGTTCAGTTGTGTCCTGCCCTCTATAGGAAACCTGAACTACATAAGGAATAAATTAATTTCTTACCATGCCTCTGGACCATTCAAAGACAACTTCAGTGAGTTCAAAGTTTAGTCTCTTAACATAGTCTTCCACTGGTTCAGTGAGTCCACATTGTTTTTGGATGATACCATTGTTCTCTGCAATCTTCTTGATTTTCTCAACTCCCTGAATTAAAAAAACAATATTGAGTTCAATAATGAGTTCAAGAGGGCCTCAAGAGAACAGATGGTTATAAGGAGACAACCCCCTAACATTCCAATGATGTGAAATACAAGGGAACAGAGTCTAATGCCTCCACCCCCACATTTCGATCTTCTTGTGTATGTTGATACGCTAAATATCAATGTATTGATTAAGTTGAAAAATCAATGAATCATGTTCATTTACCTTCTATAAGAGGGAAGGTGTCAATCTAAAATGTTATTATCTTTTGAGAAAACACTGAAATATTGACACAGGGCCCAGGCCTATTGGTATGATAAAAATGCCTCAAAACAAGGTTTTTATCAGCAACTTTGACAACAGAGCAGATCAACGCAACTCACCTATTGGTTAATTAGGCACATTCCTATTCAGAGAAGGACTTTTCTATACATACCTCTTCAATACTTGCAGACATGTTTGCAGCGCTACAATTCTTCTGCTCAAACACAACACATGACAACAAGGCTGCGATGTCACCAGGATGAAGACTTGTGAGAACGTTCTCAAATACAAGCTCAGTTATGAGAAGTTCATGGTTACTGATTTCACAGGCTACACGTCCTTTGAGCTGGACAGTGTTGTTCTCATCAATATATTTCAGCGATCTTAGCACCTGTAAATAGACGGAGAAAATGTGTAATGTAAAAATAGTAAGGGTGTGAAGCTGTAAAACTATTTGATATTGTACTGAAGTGGGAGGTCTATTAAAGATTTCTTATGGATTGTTTTCATCTCAATACAAGTAAATCTCTTAAAATATAAGAGCATTTGTATCTTAACTTCCTGGACAATCTGGACAATCACACTTTGGAGGTAGAGGGCTCCCCAAGAGGGGGCAGTGAGGTCGCTTTTGTCACTTTTAAAATTTCAAAATTCTCACTTTGTCACATTTAATATTTACTTGTCATATTTTGTCAGATTCATTCCTTTTTAGTCAGTCAAAGTATTTAATGCACATATAGTCTGTTATGTTCCATTGTTTGATTACTGGTTAGAATAAGTCATCTTAACTTGCATCAATTTACATTCACAACATATTGTCCATTTTTGTCACTCTCAAAATACTTGTCAGTCCGATAAATGTACTAATTGTCACTTGCAAGCATTTATTTGTCACATTTGTTCGTTTTTAAGTACTTCAAAGTCCCATTTAGTCCCATTTTTAGAGGCCAGGTCGCCTTATCACATACCCCTTGGGGAGCCCCAGGTAGCATACCCCATTGTAGTAGAGCAGTACACAAAGCAGAATCATCTCATACAAACAGTATTGTCTCATATGTAAAAGTATATTATGCACAGAACTGATGGAGTGTGAATGTTGAATGGGTATTTGCAACACTGAATCACCTGAGAAGAATTGTACAATATTTCATCTGTCGATATCTCATTATTCATATATTCAGAATAAACTTATATTTATAAATAACAATACTCATGTTTAATAGCATTGTAAAACCTCTCCATAAAATGTTGCTCTAATCTTGCTCATACCTATTTGTGATTTTTTTAAATAAATAGACAAGCTTTTCTGTAAAGATGTTTTTATGAATTCGAATCTGAACCTTATGATTAGTGTTATTTCCTTTTCTCTTATTTCCTCTTTTCAGATATAAACATAAATAAAATTTAGAATCTTATTTTTAAGGACTCGTTATTTTCTCTTCATTAATGCAACAAACACAATAAAACTCAAAATAACGCAATTACCACCCCATGTTTAAAATGTCATGTTGTTTAATACCAGAGCAGAAAAGAATGGAAAAAACAAGTACTAAAGTAAAAAACAGTCTTGTAGTTAACATAACACATTGTGAATAAAATCAGATATTTAGACATTTCATTTAATTTTAATGGAGAAATGGCAAGATATTGCTATAACTCTGTGAAATTTAAAGCATGGGAATTATCGCCATAATCACTGAAGTGTTGAAATCCTAACATGGGATGAAAATATTGTGGATCTCTTTGCAGCTTGACTGAAAGTAACATCTTTCTCAAACAATCCTTTATTTTATTAGTTTTTGCTTGTTTCATTGGAAGGTCAACATGAAAAAAACTTGTCTCATATAAAATAAACAAGGCGTACATGCTAAATGTTACAACCATTTGTTACAGATGCCAGCCACCAATAGCCAACTGCCAATAACCGACCATCAACGGCCGTCAAAAAAACGGAGACAACAATATGTCAGCATTTTTTGGTGGTGACATAAAAATAAGAGTAATATATGCAAATAAAAACAAACTGATGGTGACACATCCTATCATACTGTTATTGATTTTGATAATTAATTTAAAGGAATTGTTTTACATCTAGAAATAATCAATGAGCTTGTAACATAAACATTATACAGGAAAACCACTCAAGTGAACATATTTACAGCTGAAAGTGTTCCTACTATAGATAGGACTACTACACTGTACTTGATAAAGAAATACTGATAAATCATATACAAATTGATTTTATGTTTAGCAGTGTTTATAATATTAAATCAATCTGAAACCGCTCAGGTCAAAGCTTTTTCCTTGTAATTAAAATTTTATGTGTTTTTCTTTCTTTTCGCCATGGCTTTATGCATATTTGAGCGAAATGAATTTGAAAAGTCTGATAGCAATGGATATATCCCTAAAATAAGACATTGAGATGTTCACTTATAATATGTTCACTTACAGGGATTTAACTGCATTGCTGCATACTTGGCTTGTAAATAATTTGCCTTTTTAAAACAACTAAAGTATTGTATAGTATGCAATGTATATTGATTAAATGCTATATTTCGTATAAATTAAATCAACAAGACACTGGAGAACCACAACCCTTTAAAAACACCAGAGCTATTATATTGTAGTTTGAACTTCAAAGTAATATAAAATATCTTTGGTAGAAAATTAATGTTGTATAACTACTGTAGTATTATCACCCAGGTAGTAAAAATGATCTTACACTTACTTACACTCATTAAACATTATCATGAAATATATACAAAGATTTGATAAGATCCCCTTTAAAACAACAACTACAATTATATTAAGCATGGGTGTAGCCAGTTATTAGACAGCCAAGGCAACTGCTTCACCAAGTTTTTACAGACACATTATATTTATTCAGGTATTTTTTAACTAAAAGTGTTGAATTGAAATCTAAAAGTAGTAATTCCTCCTTTAGCCTTAATTTGCCTCCCCAATTTATATTTGCCTCACCAAACACCGCTGATTTAGTCTGACTCATTAAGTTTGATGTAAGGGAAGATTAATTAATTAAAACACTTGTTGCATCCTAGCTGGGAAAAACTACAACTGAACATATGGATAAAATAAATATTAGATAGCAGTTTAATATGAACATAACATGGCTCAGTAGGTTGTTGAGACAATAACTCAAATACAACCAGTACTCAAGATCTCAACTCGTCAAGCCTGACTGAATATAACTGGCCATTAATTAATCTTATAATACATGAAGGAGGTATCCTCGTCCATGAAGACGATTAAAATCAATAAGGAGTGAATAGTTAGTGCAGAGGAAAGGATTGAATTATACAAGGAATATTTCAGCAAAACAATGAGAAATTCAATACAATATGGAAAAATAAAACAATAAAAATTTATTCAGGACAATTAAATCCAGTACAAAACAGGATAATTTGCTGCAATAAGGAAGATCAGGAAGTCATTAATCATATATTAATCCAAGATGATTCGTGCTCGATATCGCTACACAAACCTTGGAACAATATTTGTTACGACATGGGCAGTAATCTATTTTTTCTTTATTTTGTTGTGGATCAACTTTATCCCAAACAAGGAAGATGAAACAGAAGCAAGTATCAAAGAAACACTTAAAAACATGGACTCAATGGTGCACGAACATGAGGATACAGAGGTGAAACAAATGCAGTTACGATTTTTTGGAGACAATGGCGACAAATTGGAACACACCACAACTACAGAGCCATTTCAGGATTTAGATGAACTATCGCAGAATATAAATATGGGTGAATTATCAAAATTCCAGGATCTAGTTTCCTGGGCTGGAATGGAACCTAAAGCCGTAATTTACATCATTTATTCTAGACTACAAAAGATGAGAATGTTATTAGAATCATTACAAGCAAACTTTCTGACTAATTTTCGCTACCCTATAGTTGTTTTTTATGAAAAGAAAAAAATGGGTGACATTCCGCATATTCGTTCATTTTTGGATTCACAATACAGGATATTTTTCCAAATAGTTAAATTTGAAACTCCATCTTTTATTACTAAAGAAATAGTAATTAATCCAATGTGTAACTATCCTGTAAGCTATCGACATATGTTACGATTTCAATCGAAAACTGTATACCAACAGCCGATATTAAAAGGAATGGAGTATTACTGGCGATTGGACGATGACTCAGAAGTAGCCGCACCAATAAAATTTGACATCTTCAAATATATGAAAGAGAATAAGCTGCAATATGGATATCAAATACAAACGTATGACAACGGTTATTGTTCGGGAACTTTCTCAGAAGCTATTAAAAAATACAAGAGAATGAATCATATAACTCCATCATTCGAGCTAGAAACATTGCGGATTTACTTCACAAATTTTGAAGTAGCTAGTTTTGAATTTTGGCATTCCAAAAATTACACCAATTTCATAGAATATATTGATCAATTAGGGGGAATATATTACGAAAGATGGAGTGACGCAGCTATAAAAAGTCAAGCACTTTCGATGTTTATGCCAGAAAATAAAATTCATCAGTTTATTGATGTGCCATACAGACATGTAAATTATGAAAATTATGGTGTGGATTCTGATGGTAATGCTCTTGATTGATGAAGACAAATCAATCTGTAGTACTCCCACTTCCATTCCCTCGTTAGGTGTCATATAAATACAGCCATGAAGATGTTATTGTAAGAAGGATGATTATTGAAGAGGGGAATGCAAAATGAGTGGCTGAGACATGATGATAGGAAACCAACAAACCTGACTTAGAAGTTTTCAACCTATCTAGAGAGGCAAAAATATCCAGTTTGTATGATTGTAAACATCTGATACCATTTAATAATGTTGGCTATGATACTGTAGTTCTATCATCAAACAATATTAAACTTTCTCTTCATGACATTAACAGTTGAACAATATCAACATTGATTATGAAAATGATTTTTACTAATCAAGCTGATAAAACTTTCTCATAATGACAAATCATGTTTAAGCATAGATATGAAGTACTATTGTAAAACACTAACATTTCACTGGCATCTTTGTTTTATTAAAAGAATTCAATCATGTTGAACAAAAATGTTGCAACTGTATGAGTATGGGTCATGCCATTCATCATTCTCAAAATGGACTTGAATTGATAAAGCCTCCAGTAAGACAAAAAAAGGTGTACAAAGGTATTTACAAAGGTATCAAAGGTGTTCCAATTATAAAGGTATTACTGTACCTCAGAGGCAAGAAAATGGTAAAGTGAAGATTCAAGGGTGATACTGATTTGGGTAGGGAATTTAACATGGCAGTATGTTAGATGATAAAACCACCATGGACTTTAAAGGTAAATGAAAAGACTATATCCAGGCACAGGACTATATATGTATATCTAATCCTAATTACCATAAAGGTTACAATTTCTCCAAATGAAATATAACATCTTGCCTTGGCGTTTCCTCTCTAAATAAGACTTGTTTTCAGTGCCCAAATGTGTTATTAAATTGAGGAATTAGATTGCTTAATATTAAAAGCGCTCTTTAACAACAATAATTCTTGCACTTTTATTCTCTCATGTGAAAATAGGCAAACAACTATGAGAAACCTATTGAGGGTATGTTATTTTGGTCTTAATTAGAGTTGAAAGCCCATGGTGTTACCAAATCATGAAACAAGACATGTTTACTGTATCAATTGATGTGCATTTTAACAATGATCACCTCAAATGCTGAGAAATCAGTAAATTATAACATACAATTTGATAATTATGTAAATAATATGGTATTCTAACACTATGATTTACAGAATGTACATATGCATTGCATATTAATTACTATAAGCAACATCTTGTTTGTTGTAAAAAAAATCAATATAAAGAAGTAGCTAAAAAATCAAATGAATATAATTTTATAGGTGAATGCAACATATACATACATGTCTGATGATTATACTGACTACATAAGACCAAAGAATGTCTTATAAGTAGATGTCATTGCATAAAATGTGCCACATGATTTCTATTGATCGCTAATCTTTCAATAAATATATGTGATCAAAAAAATCAATTACCCAGGTCTTAATTAGAAGTGATTTGATATTTGAATATGAATGAATGTTGTTTGTCTAAATGTCATATGCTCACTGAGCAATATTGTAAAACATGTAGATATAGATGGGATATTTGTTGGAAACTAGAAAAAACAGAAACTCACCAGGAGTACCAGATTCCAACAAATAAAACATTTTTTATCGAATCACTCATCATTTTTAGAATTGCATGACAGAAATAATACCAGGTAGTAGTAATTTATCTCTTAAAAATCTAAAGTCTACATTGATTTCAAATTCCCCTCTCGAGTAGAGGTCAAGCCCTGGGGATCAAGCTCACAAGGTTTCAGCCTATAACATTTAAATTACACTTGGTCATTTTGAATAGAGAACATATTGCAAACTGCTTCTTGAGTATAAGTCCTATGCCCAATATAAGGTATCTGCCTATACACTTTGAAGCATATCTGTAAACCAGACAGATGGATGAACTGACAGCTTCTTTACATCTCCAATCGAACTTGTTTTGATGGGGTGACAAGTAAGAACAAATATATAATTGTGAAAAGTATTATGCCAATTTATCCATCTTATTATTCATTAATTGATAATTACATGCTTTATTATGAGTTAAATTAATCAATATATTACTACTGCAAAAGTTCTTTATATATAGGTTTGTTAAGAAAGGATGTTTATATATTGTTAACAATATAGTTATACCAAGAAAGCTATGTAAAACAGCAGCAGTGAAAATAAAAAAATAAATAATAATAAATAATAAAAGTTTTAAAAATTCTGTTTGTTTGAATATTTGATGATATAAACGTATCTCTGAGAGATTTTGTTTTCTGTGTCCGTTTATGTGAAGGGAGGTGTTATGTTGTAGAATAAGAACTTAAATGTTACCTGTACTCTCTGCTCGTATTCAGGCAGTAAAGACAGACTCTCATCAGATAAGAGAAACTTGATCTCACGCATCTTTTCTTCCAAAATCATATTCTCACAGACTTGAGCAAACTGAAAAATATTGAAATAAAATATTTTATTTGTTTTATGCTATTGAAAACTTCATTATCTACAATAAGTGATTTCATTGACAGCGATTTCAAACAAATCACATTTTGAAATTAAAATGAAATAAGTGGAAAAGTGTGTGTGAGTTGCATCTTTTTTAGACATAACTGACCATGCAGATGTCCTATGCAGATGTGACATTGCATTATAACAGTAAGCGTTTTAGTAGTAAATGTAAACCTGATTTTGAGAAAGAGGTCACCAGTGTAGAAACATAAAGTTGAGAATATTTCACAATTTTAGCAGATCTACTCTCAAACTCATAGCTTCAATGCTAAGATGACGTTTTTTCGCCAATTTTTGTTCAAATAGATGCAAAATTTTCACTCTAACAATTCTGACTAAAACTGATCAAAATATGCTAATTTTTATGACTTTTCACATTTTTAACTGGGTGGGTGCAAGCCTCAAAATATCTGGTAGGTGCAGCACCAACTCACTCTACTGCTGAGGATAAAAATATCACTATGATTTCGAGAAATGTTAGAAATTTTAAGTCTATAGTGTTATGAAATAAAAATTTAATACAATAACTTACATGTTGGTTGAACAGTGAGCAGTTTGTACAGCTATATCCTCCAAATGTTCCCTCCATTTGTTTGAGTGCTAAGAATTTCTCTACAAGATCCATGTCACGTAATTTGAGATCGTTGACTGGATCCAAACCAGGAAGGCCATCTGGATTCCCCTCTGTCAAGCGCAGTAACTCCTGAGTTGCTATAGTAACTGCCTGTCCTGGAGGGTCACTCTTAAATCGAGGCTGTTCTCGCTTTTTAAAATCATTGATAATTCTTTCAGCATTTATTTTGAGCGTTTTTGTTGTTATCACTGAAATATTTCCTGATTTCACTTCCACCATTTTGTGACCAGTAGCTCCCTCTGGCATGAAAAGTTTATTGTCAAGAATCGGTCGTACAGTTTCACTATCGAGATCAATTTCTTTATCAGATAACTTAACATCTGAATCACTTTTATTACAAAGTATAAGAATACTAAATGTTCGCTCTTTTTTCCCACTATGAGTCTGTAGCACCAGGCCAAGGATTCTGTCATGAATCGGAAGACTTAAAATCACGACCCTTCCTGGAGCAAGAGCTTTTATAGCATTCGGATGATTGAGGACAATTTTCTGGATATGTTGACGAAGTTGTTTGTAATCGCGACAAGCCGTGAAGTATTGCTTTAAGTCTTCGTCGCATATGAAACATTGCACATCTTCCTTCTTATATAGTTTCTGCCTGGTCTCCTCTAGAAGCTAAAACAGAAGAGTAATATGGAGCAATATAACATTCTTTTTATTAAACATAAGTGTTTCTTTGTAAAGTTAATATACATAATACAAGTAAAGCATTTATAGAATGCTTTATGCTATAAGGTCTTATTAAAAAATGACAATTGTAAATGACTCTATTCTACAAACTTTTGATTATCACTGATAAAGCTCCATATTTTCTTTAATTTCTACATCAATAGAATGTTCACATGTTTATTGATTAACTCTTAAACAACTATGCAAACAAATTAACCTTTGTAGAAGAGAAAATTTCTACCACTCTTTACTGTAGACAGGTTTTGAATTTGTAACGTTTTGTCATTTTTTGAGAGAGGCTATATAATCATTTTTGGTGAATTTTAGGTCCTACACAATCCTTTTGATCTTGTACCAAAAGTAAACATTACGATGTATCATCTTGTTTAATGTTTGACTATAGCAGATAGATGTAGTAATTATCAGACAATCTCAGAGATTCGTAATTAGACACTAAATTCTGTGTTTTAAAAAAAGCTTTTAATATTGCTATATTTGCTATTTAATTTCTATGTTCACTAAAGACAGGTGAATTCTATAGCTATGAATTTTGCCAAGATTTAGTATTCACTGTTAACAGTAGGTAGGTGTTCCCTCTACAAAAATTTTCTCTGTATAGAAGTGTTCACTTGAGAGAGGTGTTTGCTAATATAGGTTTTACTGTCCTTAGAGAAATAAACGATGAAATGTTAACATATTGAGCAAGTGTGTATTCCTAGTAGGAATGTACAATATAAACAATGTGTCATCCACTAATATCAGTTCTTAAAGTTTATGCCCCTTATTCTGACTATTCTGGACATAGTCTTTATTTGATTCTGACAAGGCTCCATTCATACTACAAAACTGCTCCAAATCTACTTTTAATTATTTTTACTTTTATAACTTGTACGTAGAGCCCAATTAAAAATCCCATGTATTTATATTCTGTTAAATCTATTTCTTGAGAGACCAATAAATTGACAAAAACAAATAAACAAAAAACAAACAAACAAAGATACCTCTTGATTTTTGGTGATATCCTTCTGTGCATGGAACTCAGAGAAACTTCTTTTCATCATGTCTTCAACTCGTAGCTGTTCCACACGGAGCAGGTTTAGAATCATGGAGTATGTCAAGCGGAACTGAGATTCTAGTTTAGTGGGCTTACCCTGAAAATAAAATATAAACCTTCCCCAAGAAGTGATACTAATGCTAATAATATGAGCAGAGCAGCTTTACATTTATTAACTACACAATACTAAAAGTAGAATTTATTGGGTGGCAACATAAACAAATTGTTACAATATAACAATACAATATTATGTGTATGACATTTTTATTTTTGTATGTCATTTTTATTTTATAAAAAATGTTCATCAAAATGGTGTGGTTACCTAGCCAATATATAGTAGAAAGTTCCCTTTAACTTAAATTACATCTGTTTTAGTGGTTCAATTTTCATATAACCCTTATGTATCTAATAGTTATGCAAATGAAAATATCTCCAGTAAAAAAATGTTCAATACATCAATAAATCTGTCCAATACAAGAAAAGATATTTCACTTTTTGAGATTTTGTAACATGGGGTCTATGGGGAATCAACCCAAACTTGAAGTCACAGTTTTGATAAAAATTAAATTTTCAAAGTTGATTAAAAAATTTCGACACCATATTTGTAGATGTACTTTTACATGTAGATTTTAAATATGACATCACTTTGACTGAATTTTGAATATTCAATGACATAAATCATGATTATGTCTACTGTATCTAATCTATTAAGAACCATGCCTTGTTATTTTCAGAACATGTGCCTCCTTCAAAATACTCAAAGCTGCGTAAAAATGCATATGTATATTCCATTCATGACAATACTATTGCTCAATAAAATCTACTACACTTCATGATAAAACTATTGCTCAATACATAGTACTAGAAAATCAGATATATAACCAGATTTTATGGTGGACACTCGGCATTTAGTGAAAGATATATGGCAGTCAAGATTTTGAATTCAACAATATTTTCAACCGGCTGTATACAGAGACTTGGACTTATATAGACTTTCAATACTTGAGGGCTAATGCATTAAAACCAAGTGTGTTGCTTCTTTTCCCAATTTGATTTTAAAATATGAATATTATTTTATGAAGGTGGTCTAGGGCATGGTGCTGTCTCATAAACATTCCCAATAAACTCTACATTTGCTTGCTTCCATTTAATGGATCAGTGATGAGATACTTTTTCAATAACAAGAAGTGTTAAAAAATTTTCATTTGTAGTTTTTGTATTGTGCACAAATATTGCTAAAACACAAAAAAGTATGATCTCATAAACATTGGTTGAGAAAAATCTGTATTCAATAACAAGATCTCATACTTTCATAAAGCAGAATTTAGTGAAAAACATTTGATTCCCAGAACAAATAAACAGCCTTTTTGGTCTCCTTCAGGAGAAAGATGGCGCTACCTACCAACATCATGTTATGCAGATCAGCCATCTCAGGTACATCTCCTTTACACAAGAGGATTACAGTTCCAGTAGTATCTAAGCCCCTCCTACCAGCTCTTCCTGCCATTTGGATGTACTCCCCTGGAATCATGGAAAATTCATATTCAAAATATCAGGATGTAATAATAGATTTACTGAGGTAAAGCAAAATGGCTATATATATCAGTATTGCATTATGGTGCATGAAAGCCTCCCTTATACATGAGTAAAATATTCAGAGCTCTTCTACCCATTTGGACTCCACTGTTTAGGCTGGATAAAAGATAAAAAGTAACAGGAAGAAACATAATTTGAGACTGAATCCTAACAATCATTTTTATATATAAACCGTACCCTTTGAATTGGTTCAACTTTGCATCTCAAAAGAGAGCTTCATCTTCACCCTTTCAATTTTCAATAAATCTCTGAACTTAGCAAGTTAATCAGAGTTTGTCATCCAAATACGGACAACTTTCTATATTTACGACTATTTTTTCTGACGAAATCGCATAATTATTGTGCACGCATTTAGCAAGTATTTCTTCTGGCTCACTAATTTGTTGACAATAGGTCAATGCAGAAGGTGTGAAATGATTTATGACCCGAGGTGTCACAAGCATCAGTAGTGGGGGTGGGGCTGCTAAACTGTAATACAGTCTATACAAGGCAGAGGGTAGTTTGTAACTAGACTGCGTGCAGTGTATATAAACTGGGAAACAATGGTCAAATCCAGGGGAGGGGGAGATTTCCCAAAGATGACCTTTTATAAACAGGTCTCATTTGCCATTGAAATGAATCTCTCAATGTTCACTTGTGTTTTATGAGTATTCTCTGAAAGTTTGGATCGAGTAACTTCAATATTTTCTCGGCCAGATGTTTCTCTTGACTGTGGAGATCAATGGGAGTTATTTAAAGTAAAAATAAGGGAGGAATCTATCAAGTATGCTAAGCATAAAGCAAAAACACGTAAAAAACTGAAACAATTTTTACTTAATAAGATTAGTAATTGTGATGATAATGATATATATTAACTTCATTATAATACTTTACTTGAGTATGAAGCAAAAGCTGCCCAAATACGGTCACGTGTACAGTGGATTGAGGAAGGTGAACGTAATACAAATTTTTTTCTTGGCCTTGAAAAACACCAACAGAAGAGTCAAACAATATATAATTCAAAACGTCCCAATGGAACTGTAGTTAGTAATCAGAATGAAATATTACAAATGCAGGAGAATTTCTATAAAACCCTTTATACTTCAAAAAATATACAAAAGGATAAAATCAATAATTATTTATTTTTTTCTATGAATGTTCATCTCTCTGGTAGTAATGTACAAAGTTGTTGATTTTCTTTCTCAGAGATATTTATTTTTCTTTTTGACGTTTCGTAGGATGTCCCTCCTACTTCTTCAGAAATAAAATTATATTTGAATCAAACTGAAATAATTAATTATTACATAACAATGAGACAAATAGCAACCGTTACTATAGAAAACTTCATTGATGTTACAATTAAAAAATTATTGAGAAAAATAGCAACCGTTACAATAAAAATCTTCAATGATGTAATATACAATTAAAAACGTTACTAAGGTATTACACAACATACCACCTAGAAACGACACTAAGACATTATGAATATGAATATATAAACTATAACATCTTATAATACACGGGATCCAGTGTGCAACCCTGATCCCTGTTTAATTCTGGACTTTTAAGTTTAATATGGAAAGTCAATATTTAAGTAAACACAATATTAGAGTATGCTTTTCATCTACAATGACTTTAAGGGATAAATTGGTCCATTTGAAAGACAAGGTTGAAGATGAGAAAAAGGCAGGTGTGATACATAAAGTTGAATGTGGAGATTGTAGTCAGTGTTACATTGGTAAGACAGGGCGGGATTTGGAATGTAGAGTAAAGGAGCACAAGAGGGTCACCTTATCTTCCAATGGACAGATAGCTTCAGCCATTATGGAACACTCTATCAATAAAGAACATGAAATAAATTGGACAGGTGTATCGGTTATTGATAATGAAAAACACTGGTTAAAAAGAAAAATCAAAGAAGCAAAAAGTTAAAGTTAAAACACTTGCATTATCTAAACTGATGTATTTAGCAAAATGTATTGACACTCCAAATGAAACTTTTTTGAAAGAAATTACTTCAGAACTTTATTCATTCCTGTGGGATGGAAAAAGAGATAAAATTAAAAGATCTGTCTTAATTAATACTTTGTCTAAAGGTGGACTCTCAATGCCTGACTTAAAATCTAAATTCAGGGCCTTTAAAATTAAATGGATATTAGATATTGAGTATTGGAATAAACATGCAAGTTGGAATATTCTAGCAAGAGAGATATTAAGCAAAACTGGACTCCCAGATACTTTGATATTTAAATCTACTTATAGAAAACCAGAGAATATTTGTAATTTTAATATCTTGCCTCAATTTTACAAAGATCTACTCCATGCTTTGAGTATTCTTGGAGGCTCAGAATCCAAAATTTATAACATAACATTTGCAGAAATTAGACAAATGGTGATTTGGCACAATAAAGATATAACTTTTAATAACAAATGTCTGTATTTTGAAAACTGGATAAATTCAAATATATTATATGTTAACCAGAACAACGGCAACGCCAAAGCGTAGCGAATCCCATCGAACATTTTTCAAAACGGGCACCTTCTACCAAAAGTGTCATTAGACAGTGTGCCATGCTTATAATATTCACATACCAAATATGAACAAAATCGCTCTACTACTTTTCAAGTTATAGTAACATACGTTAAAATGGTAGCCATTTTGAAAAAAGCCCGCCTCCTACCAAAAGTCTCATTAGACAGTGTGCCATGCTTATAGTATTCACGTACCAAATATGAACAAAATCGCTCCACTACTTTTCGAGTTATAGTAAAATACATTAAAATGGCGGCCATTTTGAAAAATGGCCTTCTAACAAAAGTGTCATTAGACAGTGTGCCATGCTTATAATATTCACATACCAAATATGAACAAAATCACTCTACTACTTTTCGAGTTATAGTAAAATACGTTAAAATGGTGGCCATTTTGAAAAATGCCTGCCTCCTACCAAAAGTCTCATTAGACAGTGTGCCATGCTTATACGTATTCACATACTAAATATGAACAAAATCGCTCCATCACTTTTCGAGTTATAGTAAAATAAGTTAAAATGGCAGCCATTTTTCAAAATATCCGCCATTTTTCAGAATGGCCGCCTTCTACCAAAAGTGTCATTAGATAGTGTGCCATGCTTACAGTATTCACATACCGAATATGAACAAAATCGCTCCACTACTTTTCGAGTTACAACAAAAATCGTAAAATAACGAGTAAAGGCCACCATTTTTCAAGATGGCTGCCATGTGCTTTTTTAATATCTACATTTCTAGCTTTATTAATGTCCTATATAATTTTTTTTACATTTAAAACATATTGCTATTACAGTTTTACATATTGCACCTAAATTACTGTAAAATCGGCACTAAAATGGCTGCCATTTTTAAATGAGCGGCCATTTTGAAAATCGGCTTTCGAGCAGAACTTCTACCCCCATAGGTTATATGTGTACAAAATATGAATAAAATCGGGCCAACGGTATTCGAGTTATTGCCCGGACGGACGGACGTACGGACGGACGTACGTACGTACGGACGGACGGAGGCGTTCCCTATATCCCTCCGAACTTCGTTCGATGGGATAATGATCTAATGTGTACCCAAGATGAAATTCTTGATAAGCTTAAATCTAGGGTCAATTGGATGGCAGAATATATAACTGTCAAGCAATCTTTGCCATTTCAATATAGAGTTAAAATATTTAGTGAGGCAAGCAGATGTACATATGTTAATACAAATGTAAGTTTAAGGTTTTATGACAGTCAATTGAAGCATTATAGATTTTTGGATAAACATGCAACATATATTCAATCTTGTTGGAACATATAGCAACTAAAACATATTTAGAATCATTTTGGATTAATCTTTGTGAAATTCAAAAAAGTCAAATGCTGTTTCAACAGACTTGGATACTTTTAAAGCAATCAAAAAATAAAAAAGTGGCCAATTTTAAATACAAACCTTTACATTACATTTTACCATGCAAACCAGAACAACGGCAACGCCAAAGCGTAGCGAATCCCATCGAACAGCCATGGATGGCATTTTTACAAACAAAGTACGTATATAGCAAAAATGGCAGGCATTTTGAAAAATGGCCGCCTTCTACCAAAAGTGTCCTGAGACCATTTGCCATACTTATAGTATTCACATACCAAATATGAACAAAATCGCTCCACTACTTTTCGAGTTATAGTATAATACGTTAAAATGGCGGCCATTTTGAAAAATGGCCACCTTCAACCAAAAGTGTCATTAGACAGTGTGCCATGCTTACAGTATTCACATACCAAATATGAACAAAATCGCTTCACTACTTTTCGAATTATTATAAAATATGTTAAAATGGCGGCCATTTTTCAAAATGGCCACCTTCTACTAAAAGTGTCATAGGATAGTGTGTCATGCTTTTAGTATTCACATACCAAATATGAACAAAATCGCTACACTACTTTTCCAGTTATAGTAAAATACGTTAAAATGGTGGCCATTTTGAAAAATGGCCGCCTTCTACCAAAAGTGTCATAAGACAGTGTGCCATGCTTATAGTATTCACATTCCAAATATGAACAAAATCGCTTCACTACTTTTCGAGTTATAGTAAAATAGATTAAAATGGTAGCCATTTTTTAAAATGGCAGCCATTTTTTAAAATGGCCGCCTTCTACCAAAAGTGTCTTTAGACAGTGTGCAATGTTTATAGTATTCACATACCAAATATGAACAAAATCGCTCCACTACTTTTCGAGTTACAGCAAAAATTGTAAAATATTGAGTAAAGGCCTCCATTTTTCAAAATGGCTGCCATGTGCTTCTTTAATATCTACATTTTTAGCTTTATTAATGTCCCATATAATTTTTTTACATCTAAAACGTATTGCTATTACAGTTTTACATATTGCACCTAAATAACTGTAAATTCGGCACTAAAATGGCCGCCATTATGAAAT